TGTGCGCACACCCTTCCTCTCTGGAAGCATCATCACGTGCATCTCCAGGCGTCTGATTTATTAATGAGGACAACACAAGGAGAGCGTGCCTATTCTGCTGTCTGCATCAGCCCCTGACAGCTTCGTGGAATTGAAATATCTTATTTAATGTGAGTAAGAATCATTTTAAATATCAATTGTGACACTCAAGGCCTCGAACCAGAAGGGGCACTCTGTGTTTCCTTGGGTGCTGGAGAAGATGCCCCATTCTTTAGGCAGTTATTTCCTCCCTTGCCTGTCTCTTGTCTCTCAGATTCCATGTATCTGAGCTTGCTCTTTCTGCACTGCTGTGCGCCCTCCACCCCACACCCATCTCTCCTTCTCGGAAGACTAGACTGAGCCGGCGGGGTCCTGCTGCACCAAATAAGACGCTGTGGTGGGGCAGATTCTGGCCTGTCTTCCTGCTTTCCGCCCAGCCCCAAGCCAGGCCCCCCGGGCTCTCTCTCACTGCCTTCTTCTCTGGCCACCTCACTGGAAGAAAGCAAAGCTTCCTCCGCCCTCCTTACCCTGCAGCTGTCAGAAAGCCTGAGGAAGCTCTAAGTGCAGTTAAGGAAAGATCCAAGATAACTTGTCACATACACAAAGAGAGGAGCAGAAGAGCCCAACAGGAGGCTGTTAAAAGGGGCAGGGGGAGGGGAGGGGTGTGCATGTGCATTTGCATAAGGAAATTCTGAAAAGATACTCCAGAAATTAGTAACAGTGGTTACCTCCATGTGTCTGCTGGGAGCTGGGAATGACCAGGCAGCCTGGGGACAGGGATGGGAGAGACATCTACCGGGTATTTTGTCTTTTATTCTTTAAATTTTAACCCTGTGAATATATTTCCTGTTACAAATCAATGAATAAGTGGTCCCCACTAGAGGTGGGCGGATGCAGGTGTTCACCAGCACCTGGAGCCATGCCCTGTGACCCGTCCTCATTGGAGGGAGAATGAGGTTGCAGGTTAACAGGGAAGGGAAGCCGCTTACCCACCTTCACTGCTCCTCGTCACCAAGGAGCCAGGCTCAGGCCTGTCCACCTGAGGACACAAACAAATGCTCAAGAGGTTGGGAGATCAGGCTGGTAAGGAGAAGTTCACTGGGGTCCAGAAGCCGACCAATACCTTCCGCACCTGCCAGTGACTCATACCTGCCATGTGTCAAGTGCTGATTATCCAGGGCCTCTTGTAATGCTCACATCAAAGACAGCCATCCCCATTGTGTAGATGGGAAAACTGAGGCTGGCAAGGCCCTCTAACTTGCCCAGGCTATACGCCTGAAAAAGAGCAGAAGTGAAAGTCCAGCCTAAATGCCGCTGAGTCAGGAGCCCTGACGCTTTCTCCACGGTCTTGCTCCCTCTTGGGCGGATCTGGTGCACAGGGCATTTCATCCATCCCCCTGCCCCTGGAGGAGATCTGGACAGGGCTGGGCTCATGCTTGCCAGGCTGGTAGCCACAGTTGGGTGGGGCAGATAGAGCTGTAGGCCGAGTGTCCTGAGGGCCCAGGAGGAGCCCTAGGGGCTAATGGGAGCTGTTGCCGCCTTACCAGGGTGCTCACACCGGATTTGCAAACCAAGATGCTGGCTGATGGCCTCTTTTACCCTCCTGGGAGGCAGGGGGGCAGTTTGGGTGGAGTGAAGCGGGCTTCCCTGGTGGGAAAGGCAGTGGGCGGAACTCTTAGTTTAAATAACTGTTGCCCACAAATCAGATAGGTCTCCCGGGCAGGGAGAGAGAGGCGGGGACACCAAGAGCAGGGCTGCACCCACTGTGCCAGGCCAAGGGGCGCCTGCCCTCAGCCTCGGGGGAGCCCAGGGGAGGCCTGGGGCCCCAGGGTGGGGCAGGCCTGCAGGCAGATGACTGACCTTCCTTAGGCCCGAGCGGGAGCCTGTCTGTTCCTGGTTGGAGCAAATAGACACAGAGCCTTCTGCAGAAACCTGCTTTTATTAAAGTTTAAATTTTATCACGTATCACTGACATCAGCAAACAAACCCGAATCCAATGAGTCCCCAGTGTCTTTTTTATAATGTACACTTAAATTATATGCTCAAAGTGCATTTTTAAATTTTATTTTTAAAATAAAGGCAATATATGCATACGGTAAAGAAAATTCTGATGGCAGAGAAAAACATAAAATCAAAAAGTATAAGTTGCCCTCCCTCCCCATCCCTGATACTTCTCCCAAAAGGGAAGTAACGCATTCTAGAGAATCCATCTCAAAAAATTTTATGTACATGCCAGAGTATATGTGTGTGCAAATATATACAAGCATATATACTACTTCAAGTTGTCCACTTGGTATCATACCATTTACACTATTCTTTGACTTTTTACCCACAAACTCAAATTATTTTTATTGGGTCAACTTGCACAATCCTAAATATTAAACTGAGGGTCTGGTAGCCTGCATCAGTCAACAGCAAACTAACCTAGCACTCAGCTGTGACATTGTTTAGCTTCTTACTTCCTCATGTTTTTATTTCCAAAAACAGCTCCCTTCTCTAGCTTGGACACTCTGTCCATCTTTGTGTGCCCCTTGGAGACTGCCATAACAAGCAATGCCACAGTGAACATCTTATACCTATTTTTTTGCCACATCTCCTTAAGTGTATCTAAAAGGCCGGCTACCAGGAGTGCAACCTCTGGGTTAGAAGGCTTGCATATTCTTTTTTCTGATAGATTTTGCCCCAAAGACTAGACCAATTTACACTTCCACCAGCCTCTCTGAGGGTCCACCTCCCTCCCCCTCGCTCTTGCCAACACTGCGTGTGATCTACAAGGAAGTCTTTGGAACTATGATACACAAATGTCCTGTCTTGATTGGGCTTTTCTTTCATTGTAACAGAGGTTGAGCATCTTTTTGTGAGTTTGTTGGCCATTTCTGTTCATTTTCTAGTCCCTGGTGCCTTTTAATAACATCTGGTTCCATTTCCAAAGATAGAAAGCTTTTCTGGCCAATCTCTCCTTCCATCTTCCCTCTTGGGGCACCCCATTGCTTCTGAGACCCAATTTCCCCACAGCTGGCTCCCGTCCCCGCAGGAGAGCTGGGGCAGAGGTAATCAAGAGCCTGTGATGGGCTCGAGGACGGGTGGAAGGAGGGCAGGGAAATTTGCCAGAGTTTTGAGTGCCTGCTATCTCCCCATCATGGTGCTAAGCACCGTGGTGAGGGACAGATAGGAGCTGCAGCGGGTGGCAGAGATAAGAGGCTTGGCCGGCCAGAAGCCTCTGCATGATGCTGCAGAGCCAGGGCCAGAGCGCGTTTGGCACATGCCCACCTGCGGGGCTGGAGCCGTGAAGTCCAGAGTGGAAGGGGGGCCCTTTGGGATATGATATTGGTGTTTGAGATGGTCAACAACTGGGCTTGCAGTCAGTCCCTGGGGGACCCTGGCTCTGCCTCTTACTACCTGTGAGACCACAGGTCGATGATGACACATTTCTGAACCTCAATTTCCTCACCTCTAAAATGGGCATGCTAGTAAAAGTACCTGCTCCCTAGGAGTAGCGTGGAGATTAAACATAAATATCCCAAATGTAGACCCTGTCCGCAGAAAATGACAAAAGAGAAGCTAGTGTAGTGGGCTTTGCACGAAATGTAAGCTTAATATCTGCTAAAAATGCTTTTATGCTGAGATTATATTTCTTTTTGGTGCTTTCAAAAACATGCCTTTAAAATAAAATCCTGACCACTGCTATTTCTTTTCCTCCCCCTGTCTGGCACTTTTTTAAAGTCTTTGTTGTTGTTGTTGCTTGATTGTTTACCTGTTTACTTTTTGGTTGGTTGGCTTTAATGATCCTACTCGGCAAAGTAAAAAGTTGACAGTCTTATGTTGAGCCGCATGGTCCGTGATATCTGGTCGTCTGGGAACTGCTGTATGAGAGGATGGATGAGAAGAACTTAATACAACATCTGCGGCGTGGATGGTGCTCAGAAAGTGGTAGTTGTTTCATCGCTGTGTGGTGATGATGGTGGTGGTGGTGATACTGACGGGGACAGGCCACGGCTGGAACTCATGCAAAAGAAAACCTGGTCACCCGTGGGACTAAGGTTGCTCTGTCTCAGGGCTGGCATAGCCTAGGGGCAGGCAGCAGTGAGCTTGCCCACCATGTCAGCTGGGCGAACCCTAGGACACCCAAAGACGGGGGAGATTTCCTAGGCACGGCCCCTCAAAGCTCTGAGGTCCCTGCTAGCCTGTTCATTGCCCAGGGATAGGAAAGGTGATCCCAGCGTGGGTGCTGGGAACAAGCCCCTCCATATTGGAGAGCCCCGCCCACCAATATCATGCCATCAACCTGGCCTCCTCCCTGCCTCTCAGCCCAGAGAGGGCACCACACACAGTGGGTCTCTAGCTGCCTTCCGCCCAGCACCAGGCTGCTGCTCTCCTGGCCAGTCACACACCTCCGGAGCCAGCTGCCGAGGGGCCCCTGGGCTTCGTGCATCCTGGCCACAGGGCGCACATGTACAGAAAGCCCACCTGTTCTGCTCAGAAGGCTCTGCCTTTTCCCTCCACAAAGATGCAGTGGAGCTGCGCATAACTTTAAGGACGGAATGAAGCCAAGCATTTAGGGAAACAAGTCAATTTCCCTGTCTCTCTCACCTCTCCAGTTCAATGAATACTTACGGCACAGTCCTGGGACTGGCCAAAATAAAATGCCCTGACCTTTCTCAGTCATACAAGTCACAGGCAGGGGAGGACAAAAACCTCCAACAGTCCTGGAAGACCTGGTCAGGGCCAAGGGCTCAGACACAGCACCTCCTGTCCTAGGGAAAGTGCAAGCTAATTCCTGGGCCCCTGAGCAAAAGCCTAGTTGCCTTCCTATTGATAAAGACCCCTGTGTGACTCCAAGACATGGCCAAAGAGTAAAGAGCTCCCTGGTGTTATTCATTCCAGGAGATGGTGATCTGGCGACCTCTGCCCTCTGACCCCAGTCTGACCTGGGCATCCTGTAGCTGCTGACTTGCTCACTGGCTGTCTTGTCTGCCCCCCAGGTACATGATCACCAGCCTGGACCGCACCCATGCTGGCTTCTACCGCTGCATCGTGCGTAACCGGATGGGGGCTCTGCTGCAGCGGCAGACAGAGGTCCAGGTGGCCTGTGAGTACAGTGGGTACTCTGGCGGGTGGGTGAGAAGCAGGAGGGGATCTGCAGGGTCCTCACCCCCCAGCCGAGCCCTGGCAGAGCCAAATCCCAGCCACAGCCTTCCATGCTCATTGGGTACTAACGGTTGCCCCTCCCGCTGATCCGGACGAGCGTCCTCACTTCACACTTGGTAGGAGTAGGTGACGCCTCTGATACGTGACACATGCATCTGAGCTCGACACTCTTTAAATGAGCCAGCTACTCAAAGGGGGCCCCTCCACCTGCTTCAAGAGCCTCACCTAGGATCAGCCTCACACCTTTGGTCAGGGGGGCTTCATAATGGCCAACCTGAACCTCTCCAGCTATGACTCTTCTTGGCAGACCACCTGGGGACACCCATGACCCAGCTCAGCCCTGGGGCAATAACAGTGTAGGGTCCTCTTGGTCTCCGCGGCCATCGGGAGATGCCCATGGTGGGTTCCATAACTCTAAGAAGGAGCCAGGAGATGACAGGTTGGCATTCGTGGAAGGGCCAGGCTAGCAGCAGTTAAGTGGCAGGCCCTCATGGAGCCTCTGGGGGTGACAGCCTTCTCCCCAGTGCCACCAGCCCCCAGAAGGACTTCCTCAGACAGAAGATGGGAAGGCAGCCTCAGAAAAACCCAAGGGCCAGGGCCCCAGAGCCACCAATCAACACTGTCCCCCTGTGGCTCAGTATTGCCTTCCCAGTTCTGCCCCCATCTCAAAATAGCTGCTGTGTGAGACATGGAAAGATGAAAGGCTTTAACAATCCCTGAATCTTTAAAAAATGACACCTCTCATCAGAGCCCAGAGGGGCTCACCTCCAATTTAGCACAGGAGAGAGCTTGCTCCTTGGAGAGAAGTAGGGAGAGAAAGTTAAAAGAAAAACCTCAAGTGAGACAAAGTGTGTTTATAATAATTATGGAAAACAACCATAATCAAAGTGGAGGATGGATTGTCCCCATAAATCAGCACTAACAGCAGCTCCACTTACTCCAAGGAGTGGAAAAGCCCTAAATTACAGTGACGGATCAGGACTGCTGCCGGCCGGCTGGAGGACTCCCAGAGAGCTTCATTTAGCCGGTCCCCAGAGTCCAGCAGGGCCAAGGGCAGGGCAGTGGGTTACCTTCCAGAAAGACTGAGCATGGTGTGTACACAAGTGTGTGTGCAAAGGTGTGGGTTCATGCACATGTTGTGCAAATGTGTGCATCTGGATCGACCAGCTTCTGTCCCTTTGTGTGTGGGAGACAGCGTTCCTGTGCATATGCCTGCAGCCACATTTGTACATGCATTGCGCTGCCTTTTTGCTCACCTATTCGCTGGTGATGACATGTATGTGCGTGCGTGCGGTGGGAAATGCCATCCAGGACACCGATCAGTCCAGGCTGCTGGGGTGGTGAAGTATCTGCCCCAAGGCCTTGGCTCATGGGAGACAACAGGAACTTTTTGAATTTGAGAGCTGGTGAGATGACACAGTCTCCTGGAAGCTGGCCCTGCTGATCAAAGAGAGAAAAGAAGGGAAGCCAGTGTCTGCATGGCGGAAATTCTTCTTCGCTTGGCTGTGATCAGGACCCATGAGCCCAGGAATCAGCCCCCTGACCCCTTACCATGTGCATGCTCCTTACATGTACCCAGTGTGGAGATGCCCCCTAGAAGCTAGACCAGAGCATGCATATGGCCCTTCCCCCTAGATCCACAAGTATCCTCTTGTCCCCAAGCTGAGGGATGCCTTCTGACCAGGCCCACATGCAGAGCAAACACGCAAGATGCCCCAACTGTGGACAGAGGCCTTTGATAAGGACCCAGCTCACCTGGCATGCCTGCGTGCTGCAGTGAAGGGCTTAGACTGACCTGCGCTCCCAGCCTGAGAGGGGGGGAGAAGCAGTGTCAGGGACTCAGGCTGCCCCAAACCCTAACCTTCTGTCCCAGCACAGACACCCCCCCGGGGGTGGGGTTACCTGGATCTCCCCACCAGACAGTGCAGGCCCCAAGATCCAGAACCATCACAGACAGGGATCTAAGCCCAGGTCCCTAAGGAGATGCCAGTGGAGATGCAACAAAGCTTCCAGGATAATCCCTTCCTCGGTGCAGCTGTGTGAATGTCTTCACTGCGGGTTCCCAGGATGGGTCTGAGAGGCAGGCAGGCATAGTTATCAGCCACATCTGGAGATGGGGAAATTGAGGCTCGGAGAGCTTGGACAACAGCCCAAGGCCCCACAGCCAGATTGCTACCATCTACCTTCTCGTACCTCGCTACCATCACCCCATGGGGTGTAGCTGTGACCTCCTGGTTCAAATCCTGGCTCACCTCTCCCTACCTGTGTCACCTTGGGCAAGTCACTTAACCCCTCTGTGCCTTCGCTTGCTCCTCATGCATGAAGAGGAACGCTAATATCAGTGCCTGCCTTGTGGGCAGTCACACAGATGAAGCCATCAGTGGATACAGACCATCCGAAACAGTCGGCCTGGAGAACCCTCAGGGCAGAGCGGACTTTCCTCTGTGAGGCCAACCAGGGAAAGTGCCGGGAATAAACGTGCACAGCCCCTCTCACCTGTCTGCTTTCATGGGTACTTCTCCAGCCACCACATCTCCTCTCCACGCTGGACCCAGGGTGATACGAGGGAGGCACTGCATGGAGGTTGCAGAATTTGAGGAGGCGTGCCCTGTAGGCACTCCCCGCACACCTGCAGGCCCCTGGGGGCAGGTGCATCATTCACTATATCCCAGACCAGAGCTCTCCCCGCTTTGTGCCTACCGGACCTGCATCCGTCCCTCCGTCCCTTACACAGCCCCACAGAGGCACACGGGTCTCAGGATGGGTGGGTGCGGCTGCCTCTCTCCAAAGCCCTCTGTCCCTGCTGGTGACCTTGACCGCTGCCCTTGGGGCTCTCTCCAGGGGTCAGGCCAGGCAGGCCCCACCCCCAGCTCCCACCCCCCTTCCCAAAGAAGGACTGAACTGGGTTCTAATGAGAAATTAAATAAGGCAGCTGTGCTTACAACTAATGCTAATGGCAGAGTCGTTACAAAAAGATTCTTTACATGTTTTTAATTACAGCAATTAAGAGGGAGTCAATAAAACATCAGCCCCCCTCCCCAGCTCCCTTCCTATCCCCACCCAGAGTGTCTTTGTTTTTCTAAAGTCACCATAAAGGTCTGGTGTGCTGCAGTGGGCTGAATGGCAGGAGAGGGTTGGAGAGCCTCCCTCAGGCCACGGATCCTGGCACCACCTCTGTGTTCTCACCTAGGCAGTGTCCGCAGCCACTGTCACAGGTCCACCCATACAGCACAGGGCCAGGGGCTCCTGCCACATCTGGGAGCTGGGCTTCCCTCTGCCAGTGGCTCAACAGCCTCCATACACAGTGGGACTTGAGGGCATCCGGCCCGCTGTCACATAGGTGGGGGTTGGTGCCCAAAATGTCACCCAGGGGCCAGCCTAGGTGGCCTTGTAGAGCAAAGCAAGCCTACTCCGCCCTCAGTACTCTCTCCAGGCTGGGCCCTTTGATAGTCTGTGTGCTCCGACTCATTAATCAATGGGTTTTTTTAATTCTCCACCTGGGGGCAAGCACTGAATGTAGAACATTTAGGGGCCAGGCTGTGGTTCAGGCTAACATTATTGTGTCTTCCTGGAGCACCCATTTTATCTGAATGTTTCATTTAGTCTGGAAACAGCTATTGCCATATGCCCACCACATGCTGAGCTCTGTTCCGGGCAGTGAGGACACAGGGGACAAAACCAAGACACATGTCCCTGTCCTCAGGTGGGGGTGACAAAAGTTAAGAGGTAAATATATGATGTAATATAGAATATGGAAGGCCCGTGAAGAAATGAAGTAGTATAAGGAAAAATGAAAACCAGGTGAGAAGGATGGAGGCCAGGGTAGGGGTCCGATTTGATGTGGTGGCTGAGGGAGGCTGTCTGAGGAGGTGACAATGAGCAGCGTCTCAAAGGAAGTGAGGGAATGAGCCACATGGACAGAGGGAAAGGTCATTCCAGGCCAGGAACCAGTACGTGCAAAGGCCCTGGGGTGGACATGGGTGTCTGAGGCCCAGGCAGCTGGAGCAGAGTGAGGGAAGTGGTGAGTGGGAGGAGATGTGGATGGCATTCTGGATTTTACTCAGAATGCAGAAGAACTCATGGATGTTGGGGCAGAAACAGGATATATGATCTGATTGGAGGGGGAAGCATTGTTTTCATAGTAAACAAAAAAACTAGAATGAAATACCATCCCATGCCCACCAAATTGGAAAAAACCAAAGAGTCTAGAAAGATCAAGCATTGGCAGAAATTCCCAACGCTGCTGGTAGTGTGAATCTGGAGACGAGGTTGGCATTATCTCATAAAATTAACGTGTGCATACCCTACCACCCAGCAATTCCACTTTTAGGCACATACTCCAGAGAATCTCTTAGCTGTGTGTGCAAGATCCACGTGAGACTGTTCTCAGCAGGACAGCAAAACACTGCAAACAAGCCCCAACCGCAGAGTTCTGTGCTCAGTACACAGATATCCGCACAGCTCTGAAAACGACTAAGTCAAGGACACAGATGGAGCTCCCCAAAAAAATGTTGCACAAAGAAAAGCAAATCACAGCACATGACACAGAATCATTCCAGGTATAAAGGGCTTAGAAACAGACCAAGTTAAACATAAATTGTTTAGGGATGCCTCTGTATGTGGTGAAACTTCAGCAGGGGTGGTGGGGAAGCAATGCCGTGATCGGCACAGGATTCAGGATTCACAGAAAATTCAGTCACCTCTGGAGAGCAGGGATGTGACGGCAGGGACACCCTGCGGGAGGGCACGAGGTTTGTTAGTGTTCTTTTCCTTAAACTGGGCGGTGGGTATGTGAGTGTTCGTTCTGTCTTCTTTAACCTGTACATATAATTATATTCACTCTCTTATATGCATGACATATTTCCTCATAAAAAGTTTTAAAAATAAATAAAAGCAATGAATATATTCTGAATTAGAATGCATGTTTTACAAGACCTTTTAAGATGTAACAGACAGCAGGAATTTTTAGGCCACATCCGGTTGTGCCCCAGGCTCACACTTCTTTGCTCTTGGGGGAGTGTATTGGGGAAGGTGGGCCAGCACTGCAAGGTATAACGTGGCGTACTAACAAGCACGTACCTGGGAGCAGAAGTGTAGGGAACCATCTGTTTCTACCTTAGAGTGAGTGAGTGCTCCCAGGAGATCCTGAGTCCCCAGGCTCTGTCAGCACGTGGCCTCCCCTCCTCCAGCCTTTGTCCTGCACTGGCCAGCTGAGCAGACTCCCTCTTAGCAGCCTCTCTCTGTGCTGTTCAGTACATGCGTAGCTATGCCCAGGGCCCCATGAGCAGAGACAAGAGGCTCTCTGAACAGACCCAGGAAGCCTGTTTGACAAAGTGGAGCAAATGGGAGGGTGCAGGGGGTCTGAGAGTCACAGCGAGATGGGGAGATGTGGGATGGACAGGTGGAGGAGGGCACCAACTACAAAACATGGCCCGTGGCCCGTGGTGCCCTTCCCTCATCCAGCCAACCCACCACATGGACATCCATCTGTACAATCATTCATCCATCCCACTGGACATCCATCCATCCAGTCATCTGGCCATCCCACCACACAGACATCCATCCATCCATACAACCATCCATCTATCCATACAATCATCCGGCCATCCCACTGGACATCCATCTGTACAATCATCCGGCCATCCCACCACACAGACGTCCATCCACCCATCCCTCCCCATCTATCCATCCTTCCCTCCATCTATCCATCCCTCCAACCATCCAGTTATCCATTCATCCATCCATCTGCTGAACAAACCCTCCACCCTCCCCTACTGACATTCTTTAATTTCCTCTCACTAGCCTTTCTCTCCTACCTCCGGGCCTTCACACGCCCTCTGCCCTCTGGACCATCACACATGTAGCTAACACCTACTCTTATTTATGTCTCTGATTAAAAGAAGCCTCACCCCACCTCCCAGTCTGAAGTATGTTCTCCCACTGCCTCCCTGAGAAGGGCCCTGTCCCTTCTCCCTACCGGGTGCTGCAGTATGTCACTGAGGATCTGTAGGTTAGCTTCCTGACCAGACTATAAGCTCCTTGAGGGCAGGGGCAGGTCTTTCTTCACTGCTGAGCACACAGCCTGCCTGATGCACAGTGTGTGATGGCATTGGGTGAGTTTAGAGAGAGCCTACTGTGTGCAGAGCTCAGGGCCAGGCGTCTTGTAGGGATTTGCTAATGAATGAAACTGAATATAACTGCCTCTTAAAACTTACAGTATAGTAGAAAGAGATAAAGCATGTGCATTAAGAATGTTAATGCAGGGTATGAGTCATGAAAGAGGCAAAGAAATACACAGGAAGGGAGAGGTTTGAACGCTGGCCCAGCCGGGCCCTGACTGCTTGCCGTTGGGTCAGCCACTCTGTCTCCATGAGCTTTAATTTCCTCACTGATGAAATCGGGCTAATAAACTAGAGAGAGAAGAAAGAAACACTATTACCATGAAATTGCTTTAAATTGTTCAAATATATCTTCAGAGTTCTGTAAAAAGTTTTTTAAAAAGATAAAATTATTGTAGCAACCAAAATCAATGTGATTTATTGATGCAATTTTTTATAGACAGAGCCAAGTAATAGAAATTAGTAAACAACTAGAAATGTGTATTTATTAAAGTTGAGCTTGTCGTGTTATTATGAGGGCTGGATGAGACAATGTGTGTGAAGTCAGGGGTCGACACAGGGCCTGGGTTCAACAAGTCTTTGTTCTTTAACTTTGGGTGGCATGGGGTCATCTTTGTTAAAGAGGTTGATTGTTCAACTGTGAAAAATATACAGGATTCCAATATTTTAATACTACAAATAGCAAGTGTAGTTTTTAGCACTTTAATGTACTCCTCCAGTTTCTATGTCTGCATTACAAATTACCCCCAAAATATAACGGTGGACAGCAATCATTTATGATGCTCAAGGATTCTGTGGGTCTGAACCTGAGCACAGTAGGACAGCTGTCTCTGCTCTGTGGTGACTGAGGCCGCAGCTGGAAGGCTCAAAGGCTGGGGGCTGAGATTATCTGAGGGCTCATCTGTTCACTCACATGTCCAGTGTTGATGCTGGCTGTCATGTGGGGACCTCGGGTCCCCTGACACGGGCCACTCCCATGTCTGGGGGTTAGACTGAGCTTCCTTACAACATGGCGACTGGATTCCAACCGAAGTGTCTGGAGAGATCCAGGAGGAAGCTGTATCCTTTTGAGGACCAGTCGTGAAAGTCATGTCACATTACATCCAGCGTATTCCAGAGCATGTTGGGTAGGAGATGAATATTGACGTAGGCATCTTTGGAAAGATACAGCCGGACACATGTGTTATTTTCTCACCTAATACTGACTATAACCTATGTGGGAGGTACTCTCCATTTAGTAGAAGTGGAAATTGAAGCTCAGCAAGGTCAAAAATTTGCCCAAGATCATGCTTGGCATGATCCTAACAGAGGTAGGATTTGAACCCAGGTCTCAATGACTCCAAAGCCACTAACCTTACGTTCACTGCCTACCAGATTCAGAACAAGGATGCCCACAGCAGAGTCTGCCTCTTGATAGTCTTAATCAGCTAGACCCCTCTGGAATACTTTGAACTGTGACAGGTTGGTGACCCATGGCTTATTCTGGTGGCATTCCAGGCAGGGACACAGGACGTGGTGCGGGCGTGGAGACCGGAAAGGTTGTTTGGGGTGAGATAAGGGAGGGATGACCTTGGATCTAGGCAAGGGAATTTGGCCTTCCCTGGGGCAGTGAAGAGAGCCCAGAGGTACAGAGCAAGTCCGTGATGTGGTCAGGAAGTTCGTCAGGGACAGTGTGGAAGACGGATGGGAGGGGAATCCACGGTAGGAAGGAGATCATGTGGGGATCGGTGCAGCTGGAGGAAAGGGCCAGCTTTCTGGCGGGGCCCGTGGGAGCAGAGGGGCCTGGTAAATGGGACTGATGCTCCAGAGGAAGAGCCAGGGAGAGGGAGGATCACAGAAGGCCCGAGGGTTTGAGCCTGGGGATCCTGGCAGACGTGGGCGGGGCAGCTATTAATAGAAGTACCAGAGCAAGGAGGGCATGGCACGGAGGCAAGACGCCCAACATTTTCTCTTGGAAGCTGGACGTTGGGTGTTGGAGCTCAGGGAAGAGCCAGGATAGGTATGCTGTCTTTGCAGAGGGACTCTTATCAAAACCATTAGACTTGGGTTGGCCGCCAAGAGGGCAGTGTGGCCAAGAAGAGAACCAAGACCAGGTCTTTGGAAAACGAGAGTATAGGCCAGTGGTTCTCAAACCTGGTGGAGACCCAGGCATATGGAAGCAGGGCCCTTCCATGCCCAAGGGAGGAGGGTAGGACAGGAGCAAGCTGTGGGCTTACCAGGCTCCCAGGGGACTCTGAGACCCACCGAAGTGTAAGAACCACTGGCCTGAACCCAGACGGTAGTTCCCAACCTCGGCTCACACTGGGAACTCCCTGAGCGGCTTCAGAAATACAATGTCTGAGTCCCACCCACCCCCAAATGTCCCTCCCTCTGGGAACACAAAAGGGGATTCTAAGTAGCAGCTAGGCTGGGGCTTTCCTGGTAGAAGGAAGGAAGAAGAGATCAAGGTAATGAGGAAGTTGAGAAGTAAGTCAAAGCAGCAGATCAGCCGTGTAGATGTGGCCCCCTTGCTTAGGGAGGGAACAGTAGAGGGAAAACGCAACCGAGCTTTCAGTGGTCAGCACCTTGCTGCATGCGTGTGAATTCTGACAGCCAGCTCACGCCCCGTACCAGAAATCAGGAGTGTGGGGGTGAGATCCTGGCGTTGGCATTTTTTAACTCTGCAGGTGATTCTGACTGACACACAGTCAGGTTTGAGGACAAAGATGCTTCTCACACTTGAATATAGACACACTTCACCGGGTTGTTAAAACGCAGGTCCTGAGACAGCAGGCCTGGAGTGGTGCCCAGGCTGCTGGCCCGCGGACCACACTTTGAGTAGCCAGGATGCAATAAGTTTCAAGAGTCTTAGTGGTCAGTACACACATCCCTTCCCACCAGCCATCGCCCAGCCTCTGCTATCTGAATTAGACCCCACCCCAACCCCAGCAGGCAGGGGGGCAGCCAGAAGTTTCCCACATGCATCTCCACTGCTCTCTGCTCCTGTCCTGGCTGGCAGAAGTCAGAGCTGGAATAAATGTTCCCCTTCTTATCTGCCAAGGGGGTTGGCATGTTCATAAAAGGGTAGTATGGTGTTTAGTTCACACGTTCACATAGTTTCACACACTCCCCACAGGGGGCAAGGGAAGGAAATCTTCAAACCGTTATGAGCCTGCAAGACGCTCCGACCCACAGCATGCCCCCACCTCCCACCGAGGGCACAGGAGGTGGGCCTCAAGACATGCCCTTCACCTCACACCTAAAGCCCTGCTGTGCTCTAGGGCAGGGGAGAAGGGAAGTTCTGACTCCAGGCTCTGAGGTCTGAGTTCAAATCCTCACTGCTCCTTCCTAACCACATGTCCTTAAACAAGTTGGTGGACCTCTCTTGAGCCTGTTGGGGCCATTTTTCAGTTGTTAAATGTGTGAAATGATGTCCAACCTCTCGTGGCTGTTGGATGAATCAATCGATTCATGGATATATATGGATATAAATGGATGTAAGTCCCAAAAGCCCAAAGCAGGGCGTGTCGTAGCGCTAGGGTTAGCGGGTGGGTGATGGAGTCATGCGGGTGGTCTGAGCGTGGTGTCCCCCTCCCCTATGGTCATCCTGTCTGCCCCCCATTTCCCTCCTGCTGCCACCACTCCCAGCCCTGGAGCTGGGCAGCCTGACCCCGACAGCGCTCTTCCCCCCGCAGACATGGGCAGCTTCGAGGAGGGCGAGAAGCGCCAGAGCGTCTCCCACGGAGAAGCCGCGGTCATCCGCGCCCCGCGCATCGCCAGCTTCCCCCGGCCGCAGGTGACCTGGTTCCGGGACGGCCGCAAGATCCCACCCAGCAGCCGCATGTGAGCACCCCGCTGGGGGCTGGGGGCAGGGAAGGCGGGGGGCTTGCCCTGGGAGAGGAAATGTGGGGCCACATGAAGCTCCCCAAATGCTGAGGAGGGCCCTTTCCACAGAAGCTTTTCAGCTCTTCTGGGGTGTAGCCAGATCGGGGACCTCCCAGATAACGAGGAAGTCTGGTTCACGAGGGGCTTTCTGGGAATGTGCGTGACAAGACTTGGAGCCGTGACAGCTCCCTCGCCTTCCTGGGGAATCCCAGGGCATTGGCTGCACGCTCAGCTGGAGACTAATCCTGCCTCCCAGAGCACTTAGACAGCCCAGACAGGCCCAGACGGGCGTTGTCACCGTGGTGTCCGGCCAGGGCTCCGCGGAGCGGACAAGGCAGGGGGCCATGGGAGGCAGGGGATCCCCAGCGGGTGGGCGGCCCCTGGGTGTTGCCCGTGTGTTTTGGCTGCGGGGAGGAGGGGAGGCCTGGAGGGGAGAGAGACACACAGTCCTTTCAGCGTTCACAAGGGCCCCTCTGTGGCCCAGGGCGTCGGCGGTGCAGCCTGGCTTGTGGGCAGGAGCCACAGAGCTAACACCTCCTCAGAGGGCAGGGGTGAGCTTTCCTCCTGGGACACACCCTCAGGGTGTGGAGGCAGCCCAGGCTTTCCTCTTTCGGACTCCAACTCCCCCTACCCCAGGGAGGAAGAAAGATCGCCATTGTTCTATCTACTTGGGGCAAGTCCACAGTGGGTGGAGCCGGTCCAGGTCTCTGTAGGAAGCAGGTGCCAAGACGGGCAGTTCTTGCCCTTGAGGAACATGAAGCCTAGTGAGAGAAGCATAATAATAATGACATGATAATATTCTGGCAGTAACAGTGGTGCCCGTTTACCAAGTGCGGGCTGTGCTCTTGGGCCTGGCCTCACACCCCACACACCGCCTCTCCTCAAGCACAATTCCTCCCTCTGAAACAGAGACTCTCTTTCCCCTTTGTTCCCTTTTCCATCCCCAAAGCTCAAAATACACCTGATGAATGTATGACCCTCACAACGGCCCTACCAGGTGGCTGGTTTTATCCGCATTTTACAGGCAGTGAAGTGAAGCTCCTGAAAGTTTAACTGCTTTGCCAAATCTCACACGCTTGGTTCCAGGCTTGCCGACTCCAGAGCAGGCTCCTGAATTCTGTCCTTATGTGGAAATGATGAAACAACTGGTACCAAGGCGTAGGGGAAAAAAGGATAAAGTGACTGCACTTGTAGAGAATCAGTCCTGGTACACTGATTCTCAACCTGGCCACTTGTTGAAATTATACAGGTTAATTTAAAATACATTGATCTTTAGACACTACTCTTCACTCACATTCTGATTTCATTGGAAAGGGATGTGCCCTGGCACTGGGATTTTCAAAGGCTCCTCAGTGATTATAATGTGCAGCTACTGTCCTAGAATGTATCAGTTACCTACAGGCATGATAATGTTGCATAACAAATGGTCCCAATGACCTAAAGCAATAAGCATTTATTTGTCCAGTGAATCTGCAGATTGGTGATCTTGGCTGGGCTCTCTCATTTGTCTGGTGATGGCTGGCTTTTGACTCATTAGAATAACTGGGTGGCTCAGCTCTGCTTTACACATCTCACCCTTCAGCCAGCCTGCCCTAGCATCTTCTGGCAATTGCAGAAGAATAGGAGGGGAAGCAGAAACAGATTGATTTTTCAAGCCTCTACTAACATCCCATGGGTCAAAACAAGTCACATGGTAGAACCCAGAATCCAGGAGCAGGGAAATTGACTCCACCGTTCAGTGGGAGGGCCTGCAGAGTCACATGCCGAAGGGTGTGGCTGTAGAGCAGGTGAATACTAGAGTGGCACCCCACGTTAACAGATGAACTTACGCCATGTGAGTCAGGGTGTGCTCCCTTCAGCCCAATTCAGGTGCAGTGAAGCCAGCAGAACATAGCTAACCACTAACACAGATACTGAGGTTGAGTTGTAGAAGGTGGGGGGGCTCTGCCACACAGGTGCTGAGGTCATCCCACATGTCCTGCGTGTAGCAGTGATGGCATCCTGCAAACCGGTCAATTGGTAGTGCTATCTGGAATGCCATGTTGAGGTTCTGAGGCTTCATCCAGACTCAGGGAGGAATGCCACGATAGCTTAGCAGTATGTGCGGGGCTGCAGGAAGGGCCACATGGGCACTTACCTGCTACATTCACTGCAGTACCTGAAACCCTTTCTCCGACCTCACACCCATCATCTCTTACCTTGCCCCTTCACACCTCCCTTCCTCATTCCTGACCTCACCCCCTTCTCATCCCCAACAGCCTCTGGCACCAGGACAGGTGGTCTTGGCGTGCACACACATGCACACCTTCACAGTCACACCCAGCGTCCCCCAACCCCCGCCAACACTCCTAGCAAACACCTGAGAACACCGGTGATTTTATCTCCGCAACTACAGCAGATTAATATACATAACCGACAGGAAAAGTCCCTGGAAGTAAATTCTCTGGTGTCTGTTTGCTAGAGATACCTATCTAATGAGTGCTGTCAGCCAGGGGGGCGCCTGGGCTGCGGAGGGTCACTGTCTGCAGGAGCTGCTCTCCCTGTGGGCGCCGCCGAGACAGCGATTAGCAACACCTCGCCCATCCCCTGGTGCTCCCTGTTGAGAAGGAGACAAGATGCCTCACAGACACATGCTGGGGGCTTTGGGCAGGTCCTAGGATGATTTATTTTATTCTTAATTAAATTATCATTTGGGCCCCCATGGAGCCCAGAAAAAAGGCTGGTTCAGTGGGAGTAGTAGATGGAAGGTGGGTGGAGCTGGGCCAATCAGAGACACAGGAAAGACAGACCTAGTGGGTTGAAACCAGAGAAGTATGGCTGAGAAATAGAACCCAGCCCGGCCTGAGAGCTGAGCCCTGATGTCCATGCCCTGCAAGAATTCTGCCAGCTCCCAGCGTGCATGCTTCTGGGGTGCAGCAACTGGAAGCCTTCCAGAGTGCCAGAAACAGCTTTGTGTGCTTTGGAAATGAGGTACAGGGTCATTCCAGAACCACCTATCAAGGGAATGGTTGTCCTGCACGAAAGGCCAGGTCAGAGGCCACCAGCACATACCAGTCTCTCTGCGTCCCAGTCCACACCACATGCAGAACTCGAACCTAGGCCCTGTGGGTCCCAGTTCAGAGCACTCCCCACGTGATAGTCGGGCAATGCTAGCTGCAGTGACAGACAGACCTCCAAATCCCAGGGACTTAGCAACACAGACGTTTATTTCTTGCTCAGTGAAAGTCCCACCACAGGTGAAGGGTGGGGGTGGGGAGGGGTCTCCTCCAGGGTCATTCAGGGACCCTGGCTGCTGGATGCTCTGCTGTCATCAGCACCAGGCCTTCAAGTTGCCTTGCTGTGACAGCATGGCAGCTGCCCCGGGCGTTCTTGTGGTCCAAGCCTAGAGGTGTTGCACGTACCTTCCTCCGTATCCATGGCTCAGCCACACTGTCCTGCCCAGAGGCAAGGGGCTGGGGACAGTGACCCCTGGCTTCCCAGCAGCTTCAGTACTCTGTGGAGCAGAGCCTGCAGCTGAGGTGGGCCGTGGCCGTCCCTGCCACCTCAGTGTGCCATCCCACCAGGACAGGGCATCAACCACAGCACAAGCCACAGTTTGGACCTGGTAAATCTTTGGTGGGGGCTGTCTTGTGCCCCATAGGGTGCTTAGCACCATCCATGGCCTCTGCCCACTGAATGCTAGCACAGCCCCAAGCTTCTCTCACCAAGAGTTGTCCAGACATTGCCAGATGTCTTCTGGAGGGGCAGGTAGAGAACCAGTAACCAAGAAGGATCGATCATAATACAGACCCAGTATTGCTCAAGAAGAGAGTAGATTGGGGGAGGAGTCTTCCGGGTCACAGAGGAAGGGGATTGGAGATGGGAGCCTCCTTCTCTGGAGGCCGAGGGGGCTCAGGACAGGCATTGAACTGGAGAGTGGCACCGGGCCGTGTCCAGCGTGCCCGCCCACCAGAGGCTTCACTCAGCCTGTTCCTGAAGTGCCCTGGCCATGGGAGAGGGTGGGGAGGGGGAACCCAAGTGGTCCAGGGCAGGGCTGCTCACCAGATTAGTCCTGATGGACTGTGTGCCAGGTAAGGGCTGTGCAACACGGAGGGAGACAGCCTCAGGCTAGACAGGCACCTCACTGCAGCAGGGACAGACATCAGCATCCCTCAGCCTCAGGGCTGGACGGGCCCCTCACCAGCATCTGCTTCCACCCCTTGCTCAGATAAAGACTCTGAGGCCCAGCCAGGTACAGGCTGTGTGCCCCTTAGAGGCCAAGGCCTGAGCCGCTAACCAAAGCTGCCCCTGCCCTGGCCACAGCCCAGCTTCCCTTCCCCCAGCCCTCGGGCACCCAACAGGCTACACTAAAGGGCGAGAGCCCATGTGGGGAAAATGGTCACCCTGTCCCATCTCGTCACTTTAAAAATATTTTGGCCTGCCTCTGTCCTACCTCCCAGCACCTCATTAACTAGAAGTTAAAAAAAAAAGAAATTGAACATTATTAGGGAACCCAAGAATTGGGGCAGAGGTTTTGCCTCCCTACTTCCCCGAATCCACTGACAGTGTGAGACTTAGCACGTGAACCCCCAAAACCAGGACAGGGGACAGCAGCACAGCCAGGCCTGGAGGGGCATTAGCAGGGACATTTATTTGAGAGCCTGTTTAAAACCATGTAACATCCACCTAATGGGAAATTTGAAAAGAATTCAACTGAGTTTGTCCTTGTTAAACTAACATTAAGGATGTTTAACAGCTGTCTCGGGCACATCACATTAAAATCCAGAGATAGGCTTGACAAACTAATGGTTTTGTTTGCTGTTGGGAGTATGGGCGAAGGGGGAGCTGGGCAGCCAGCATGGGCAGCCCTGGCACAGTCCCACCCACATCCAGTGGGGTTCCCTGCCTGCAGACAGCCCACGGAAACACCCCACTGCTCGGCCAGCCTCCTTTCTCCCCTGTCAACCAGCCGACGTGTTTTTGTTGTTGGCTTCTGGAGGTGGAAACTGATACCCTAAGAGGGGACTGGAGGGGCATATAAAGCCCAGAAGTCTGTGTTCCTGGTGGCCTGTGGCTTTAGGATCAGTCGGAGCAAAAAGGTTAAGGCACTGATTCTGGAATGGTCCTGCTCATTTCTAAATTTATTGTCATCCCTCACCATTCATTCATTCATTCCAGTAAATGGATTTCCTTGGTCTCTGGATGCTCCTGGTTGCAGAGAGAACCTCACACGGCCATGGTGCTATGATGTGGGAAGGGGCAGGATTCCATGGGAGCTCTGGCCCCTAGCCCAGGCCTGGCATGAGGGCACCGAAGCTTCCTGTGGATGGTCCCAGACCTGACCTCTGGGCCTGTGCTGTATTTGGGTCTGACCGCCAGTGCCTGCAGCACTACAGACTAAACATGGCTAGAGTTTAGGCAGTAAGTGCTTCTGGGACGTGGGTTGGAGGAGGGCTCCAGGGCCCCCGGCTTCATGTCCCTGCTTCCATCCCTGGATGCTCAGGGCCCCTGTCTGAGGAGTCCGTTTTTTCTTCCCAGAGCCATCACCCTGGAGAACACCCTTGTCATCCTGTCGTCGGTGGCTCCTGACGCGGGCCGCTACTACGTGCAGGCTGTTAATGACCAGAACGGGGATAACAAGACCAGCCAGCCCATCACTCTCGCTGTGCAGAGTAAGTAAGCAGCAGGGCCTGGGACTGACCCGGAGCACGCCACTAAATCTTGGGAGTGGGGCTCCAGGGGGTCATTGGGAAGATGGAACGGTAGTGGAGGAGGGGGACCGGAGGAGGGCAGGGCAGGAGGGAGAAGAGACCGGCTGTGGTGGGGATGTGAGGGCAGAAGCAAGGGGGGAGCCGAGTTCTGGACCCCATCTGTTCCCGAGGCAAGTCGGGGGTCCTGCGTCAGGAAGGGGGTACCTTAGCTTGGCTGTTAGCAGGTCCTCTGGAGGCCTGGGGAGGGCGTGGAGGGTAGGAGAGAGCTCGTGTATGTGTGGACGACAACCACCCCAGGGGCTGAGGTGCTGCCAGGGAGAGCTCGCCAGGAGACGGGAACCTCATTTTTAAAGAAATATACTAACTGCGTCTGCTCAGCTGGGATATAGAACGTGCTGCTTCTACTTGGAACCAGGCAGTTCCCCCCCCCATGGGACTACAGGCTGTCTGCCCGGGCTCCTGCCTAAAAGTGCCCCTCTGTCCATCCCTGAAGACCCCCCAGCGTCCTGGAAGAGAGAGGCAAAGCTCTCCCCAAGCCAGAGCACAGAGGGTAGCAAACTAAAAGGGTGACTCCTTGGGTTTCCTTAGGCAAAGAGGCATTTGTCCCACCGAGACAGAAGGCCGGTTTCTGGTCCGCAAGGAAATGCCGGGATGTCCTCCCTGGCCTGGCCCTCCCCGCCGGGCTGGCCCCTCCCTCCCTGCGTCATCCGTGGGATAGGGAAGGTGGGGTGGTGGCTCCAGCAGTAGGAGCTGGCCAGGATTCACAGTCATGGGACAGAGCTTCCCGCAGCAGCCAAGCAACCACTCAAGCTGGGGGAGCCAGATGTTCACGTCCCTCCACATCTGTACAATGGCTGCTCCAAAGGCAAGTCTCATTTATCATCCATGGCTGTGCTGGGACACAGGCACCAGCAGTCAGATGAGAGCGTGCATCCTCACGGGGTCTTCCTTTGTCCTTCCTCCAATCCCAGCCTCTGTCTGCCGGTGTCCAGAGAGCCCTAAACTCCTCAGCCCCTTCCTGGACCTTCTGATCCCCAGGAGAGCCCCTTTCCATATTTGCAGTTACCTCCATTCCAGGCTACTTACAGACCTGGATGCAGGAAGGAGAGTTCCACCTGGATACTGACCCGTCAGGGTCACGGGTGTAATCTCAGACGTTGGCCTGGGCCAGGGTCTCAGTCTAGTCCCCAAAGCCTGGGGCCCAGCCCATGACCTGGGGCTGCTATTTCTATACAAAAAGAAATTGAATCATCAGAGGCACGTGTTTTCCCCATAAATTTTCCAGTGATTAGAGTCCCTGATGCCTAATGGAATTCAGTCATTTGGTAAGAGGCAATGTTCCTGGTCCAAGTCAAGGCCAGGCATCATCTTGGGTGACTCAGTTTACCTGAGACCAGAAGTTGGAGCCTCCCACTCTCTGATTCTCCCCCAGCACCTAACCACCTCCTCACGGGAGTTAAACCAGTTCCTCTCCTGGCTGACGGTGGGCCCTCTGCTCTCTGCTCCATCTCAACACCCACAGCCCTCGAGCTGGCCCCCGGGAACCCCCATGTCCCTCCCAAGCCTCCCCCAGCTATTTCTCCCACCCCACTGCCATCACGCAGTGTTTGTACTGGATTGAGAGCAGAATCAGCTGATTTTCAGCTAAGTTCTCCTCCCACAAGTGACTGCACTTCAAAACCCTGCTCATGTCGGTGACACGGATCCCCCAGCCTGCCTGTCTGCCAGCCAGTTTACTGGGAGCAGTTGCCTCTTTGCTCACGACGAGCTCCATGTCCCCTCGTTTACCTCGCCAAGCCTCGCCTCGCCCTCTGCTCTCCCCCTTCACCCCTGCATCCTTCCTCTGCTCAGTTCAGCTTCTCAGCATCCCACGAAGGGACACCTATGCCCTTCGGAAATGCAGAGGGAGAGACCAAGACCGGTGACCCTGAGAGCGCCTCCTGGCCCGGGGTGACCGTGGTGACCTTACACAGACCGTCACAGCTCTTGAAGAGTCCATACCTAGGTGGTGGCCCCACATTCAGGGATCAAAGCTGCACTGTGCAATAGAAATATAATGTGGGCCACATAAGTAATTTAAAATTTGCCAGTGGCCTCATTTTTTAAAAAGGCAAAAAAATCGGTGACATTAATTTTGTTAATGTATTTTATTTACCCCAGCATATCCAAAGCATTACCATTTTAACATACAATCAGTATGGAAAATATTAATGAAATACATTACATGGTTTTTTTTTCCCATACTAAGTCTTCAAAAAATGTGCATATATTGCACTTAGAGTGCACCCCGATTTGGGTGCTAGATTTTCATCCGAAATCCATCCTCTGTGTTTGGATTCGTAAAATTTACGACTGGAAAGGTGGAGTCGCACATCTAAGCGGTTCCACATATACTTCAAAGTGTTCTAATAACCAATGTGGGGATCTATTTTTAATTAAATGTAAGTAAGATAAAATTAAATCACACTTAATCAAAGGGGCACCAGGCACATTTCAAGAGCTCACAGCCACCTGCGGTCTGTGGCCCCTGGGCTCATGGGCAGCTGGAAGCCTGCCCCGGAGAGGGGAGCAGCTCGCCTCCCTACCCCACCACGCACCTGACCTGTGGCCCAGGTGAGGCACGTGGTCCCTGACCCTCAGTTTCCTCCTCTGTAACATGATGCCAGGGATGAAAAGAGGAAGGGAGTGGAGCATAGATGACAGCGCATGTCCCTCACGCCTGTTATCAAAATCATCCCTGTGGCAGCAGGATCTAACTTTTCCTCTGCATGGGGAGCCCTTTTGCTTCCCCTGGCCCTGGGGCCCTGTCCACATGTGGAGCTCATGTGGAAGATGCCTCTATTCGTTGCTCTTGTGTGCATGTGATTTTCCTGGCTAGACCTTTGGGGCCCCATGCACCTCACTGTCCAGAGCATGAACCTAATGAGGTTGGTATCCTGCAACCCATCCCTGAGGGCCAGGTTGACCCCTCACCCTAGTCAGTCATCCAGAGACCCTATGAGTGAGATGACTCCGCACAGCCCTCCCCAGCTGAAAGCAGCCGATGGTAAGGGGTGTCCTGCCGGTTCTGACATCCCAGTCTACCCGAGCTGTCCCCCTCTGCCCACCTGAGCTGTCCCCCTCTGCCCACCTGAGCTGTCCCTCTATGCCCACCTGAGCTGTTCCTCTCTGCCCACCTGAGCTGCCCCTCTCTGTCCATGCATCAACTGAGAGCTGCCATTTTCAGAACAGAGGGATGGTGAGATTGGGGGTAGCCAAGGACCAGGGGTGGGGGAGTGGGAGGGACAAGGGCTTGACCACATCAGGGGAGAACGCAGGTGAGGGCAGGTGGACATTAGGTCCCAGAAGCTCAGGGAATGGCGCCGGGGAGGGGTTCCTGGAACTGAATGCCAGAACAGTCAAGGAGGATGGGAATGGAGAAAAAGCATGTGCGTGTGCAACCAGGAAGTCACCAGGGACAGGGAGGAGGTCGCATGCATGGGGGCTGAGGGCAGCAGGTTGCTGGTGGCAGCCAGGGTTTGGAGGTGACATCTGGGAGGTGGTAGAAGTCCGTGGCTCCCAGCAGCGTGGACAGTAGCCTAAAGGAAGATTTGTTTTCCTCTGAGACTGAGTGAGGACTGAGCCCGAGAGACAATTGGGGGGTGGTTAATGGTGCAGGTTTTGTAGCCAGGGAAGCCTGGTCCCCATCCTGGTATCATCTGTTATGAGCCAGTGTCACTGGGAAATAAATTGCTGCACCTCTTTGGCCTCCATTTTCTTGGCCTTGTCATCTGTAACTGTGGGTAATAACGATGACCTGTCTCAGGGATTCCTGTGAAGACAGAATGGCTGGGTTCAGCAGAGGGCCTGGACAGTGAGTATCCTCTTCCCTGCCATCAAGAGACCCCTGAGGGTCTCACCACCTGGTAGCCTCTGGGTCCATCACTTGGTCCAGGCCCAGCGGTCCTGGGGAGGAGGTGAGGAAGCTCTCCTGAAGCACAGGCAGGCAAATTCCCAGGACGAGGGACTGGCATTTATTGAGCATCTACTATGTGCCAGGTACTGCGTGCTCACCCCAGACCAGCCTAGCTGGCCGGCCCCACCAGAACCTTCCTTCCTGACACCCATCACATACACCTTTAATCCCTTACCCATCTGAGCATTGATCTGACTTCCCCCCAGACCACGCTCTCTGAGAGGACAGACCCCTGCCCATCTTGCTGGGTGGGGAATCCCTGGTACCCGGCCCACAACTTGGCATGGACTGAGCACTCGCCCAGAAGGAACTTGTGGAGTCGGGGGCTGTATCCAGACGACCCTTAGAGGCAGTGATTTCTATCCCCATTTTGCTGTGCACAAAGCTAAGACTCAGCAGGATACAGTGACCTGCTGAGGCCACCCCCAAGGCCCTCCTTCTCTGGATTCAGGGTCCTCAGCCACTGCTGGTCCCTCCCCTCAAGCCCTGTGGGCTGCTGCCTGGGCCTGGGCTTGACCTCCAGGGTCTCTGGGTGGGTGTTGTCTCCCCTCCACCCCTCGAAAAGCCCATGAGCCAGCCTGAGGCCCTGGGGCGGCCCTCACATTGTTAAACCACGCAGGGTCTGTTTACCCAGGTACGCGGGGCACGCTGCTTGGGCTCTAACTGTCTGGCTCCTTCTCATGCTCCATTAATCTGGGCCGTGGCACCTGTGCACCTGGCATGTAATAAACAACTTAGAGCACACTTTTATGGATTCAGCTATATCAGCAGCTTTCAATCCAATAGCTCTTTATGGCACCTACATGAGGCTTTTATACTGTTGCAATTATTTTGCTTTATATTCTTCCTTTCTTCCCGGTTCATTTTACTTTATTTTTTACATTTTATTCCCATCCTGCCCAGTCCTTTCCCAGCCGGACCTAGAGTCCAGCCAGGGAAACCTGCCCAGGGCTGACCAGGGTGGCCCAGGGCAGCAATGGGGCTGCCGCACACCCTCCCCGTAAGGGCGCCCTGTCGCTATCACCCCAGGGCTGCACGTGTCATTGTGGCCTACTTCCTCCAGCGCCTCCTGGAAAGGGGCCAAATGAATGGATTTGTTGTGAGAGAAAAAGTCCCTGGTGGTTGTATTTTCCAGCTCTAGGGAGCAGGTGTGTGGAGAATCTTGAAGCTTTTGCCAATTTGGGGCCTATGCTGACCCACAGAGATAAGAGCTCACTACTACTTCAAGAACTCAAAAAATAAAAAAGGAGATGCTACTGCCTCTTAGAAGAGTTTGGGGTGTTGTTTTGTGTTAATAAACCCCCCTCGTGACAAGTTCTCTTTTGTTTCAAGCATCAACCCTGGAAGTTATACAATGAAACCTCTGGTTCTGTTCACGCCTCCACCTGACAAGTGTATGCGAGCCCCTACTGTGTGCCAGACACCATTCCGGCACTGGTGAAGTGGGGGTGAGCAAGACCGTCTTAGCTTGGGCAGCCGCAGCAGAATGCCTCAGACCGCGGGGCTTCCACACAGACCTGTTTCTCACAGTTCTGGAAGTCCGAGATCAAGGCACCAGCATGGCTGGTTTCTGCAGAAGGCCCTCCTCCTGGCTTGCAGATGGCTGCCTTCTCGCCGTGTCCTCACGTGGCAGAGAGAGAGAGAGAGACTGAGAAAGGGCAGGGTGGCCTCGGTTCTCCTCCTCCTCTCATCAGGGCACCAGTCCTGCTATGACCTCATTTAACCCAGTTACCTACGGAAGACCCCCACCCCCAAGTACAGTTACATGGGGGTTAGGGCTTCGATGTACGGTTGGGAGGATCGGGGGCTCAATTCGTCCAAAGCAAAGATCCATGAATACAAACTCCCTCAGGCGATGTATTAACTTTCTAGGGCTGTTGCAATAAAATACCACAAACTGGGCAGCTTACAACAACCAAAGCTTGTTCTCTCACAGTTTTGGAGGCTAGAAGTCTGAGGTCAAAAGGTCATCAGGCTGTGCTCCCTCGGAAGGCTCCGGGGGAGGCTCCTTCCTGCCTCCCCTGGCCTCTGCTGGCTATGGCCATCCTGGGCATTCTTTGGCTTATAGTGGCACCCCTTTGATCTCTGCCTCTGCCCACACCTGGCTGTGTGTCTGTATCTAAATTTCCCTCTTCCCGTGAGGACACGTCATGCTGGACGGAGGGCGCACCTGAAGCAGCAGGACCTCATCGTAACCTGATTATGTCAGCAAAGACCCTATTTCCAAATAAGGTCATAGTCAGAGCTGCCGTGAACATGAGTTTAGGGGACGCTATCAACCCCATACAGGGAGTTTGTATTCTAGTGGAAAAGATGAGAAATGAGTAAGTAAGCCAGGAAGATAAATGCAGGTAGAGGAAAGGGTTTTGAAGGGAAAAAACAAAACAAAACAGGACAGGGCAATGGAGGGAGGGATGGTTGTATTACAGGAGTGGGGAAGGCTTGGAGGTCTCCCTGGACACTGTGAAGAGACCATCAGCAGAGGGGGACAGGTGAGAGGGACCCTGGGGTCTGCATCTGGAGATTCAGCTCTGGGGCTGTGCAGAAGGCTACCCTGTGACCACCTGCTCACTCCAGAGGACAGGGCACCTGTGGAACCAGCCTCTGATTTCTGACCTTTGTCCCAGCTAACCCCTGACCTCTCCCCAGATGTAGGGGGGCCTGCAGACCCCATTGCTCCGACCATCATCATCCCTCCCAAGAACACCAGCGTGGTGGCCGGGACCTCGGACGTGACCATGGAGTGTGTGGCCAATGCCAGGTGGGTGGGTGCACCCTGCACACTCCCCTTTCCTCCCCACTCCAGTGGGCACTCCTGCCCTGGGGGCTCTGAGGGGACCGGTCAGAATTCAGAAAGGTCCAGAAGTGTCACATGAGGAAATGAAGGGGGACGAGGTGCTGAGCCCAGAGGAGGCATGCCAGCTGCTGCCCGAGGGTGGTCAGGGACAAGCAGGGCCTGCCCGTTCTCTGCGGCCCCAGAGGAGACCCAGCCCCAGGTGGAGGTGACGGGGTGGCAGATCTCCGCCCGGGATACCTGGGACTGGCTGTGGGTGTGCTCGTGTCCAGCCCCTAGAGCAGCCTGGAGGGCAGGTCGCCTCTGCAGCAGCTCGTCCGTGCACGCAGGCGTGTGCAGGGGGGACAGCTGGTGGATAGCAGAGTCGCAGCACAACAGGCCACCCCAAGACCAATGCTCACTGCTCTGCTCTGGGACTCAGGCTTCTCAGCTGCCAAATGGGAGTGATTTGCTCACTACCTCCCCTTAAGGCGTGTAGGTGGGGTGCTGACTCCAGCCTGACCTGACAGCTCAGAAGTGCTCAAGAAAGATCCAGTGTGCTAGGTGGTGAGTCAGGCCAATGACGCGGACGTCACCTCCAGCCGAAGATTCCTGGAAAGCATGCCCCTGTAGCAGCATTGCCTAAAGTGTGCTCCTTGGAACCCCGGTTTCCCTCAAGGGCAAGGCAGGTGACCAGGAAGCAGTGGTGCACCTTAAGGGCACAGAGAAGACCCGCAGTAAAGAGCCCGCATAGCGCCACTCAAACCAGGGTTGCCAAACGCGTTTGAGCACAGACCCCCCTTTCATGGAACTGCTCTGAATGCCCCGTAGAACTAGCATGGGCCCCACTTTGGCAGGTCCATGCTCAGGGATCCAATGATGCTGAACCGGCGAGCTGGGCAAACCCAATCTCGGGGGGCTTGGGGCGCCAGGGCCAGCAGTGGCGGGAAAAGGGCCCAACTCCCACTCCTCTGTCAGGGTCAGGGATGGTGCGTCCCTCTGCCCGCCTTCCTTGCCCCATCTCCAGACCTCGGGTGTTCCTGTCCTGCTTCTCCTGTCACTTTCCCTTGCCTTTAGTCATTTCCTGATAGACATTTGGGCAGGGCAGGGGAGAGCAGGAAAAGGGGTGCGTGGTAAGGCTGCTGTCTACTCTTGAGAGCCCCGCATGCCGAGCTATATCCAGGGCCGCATCCTCTTCCAAGTGTTTTACCTGCATTAACACATCTGCCGTCACCTTGAACCCTGGGTGGCACAGTTGCCCCCATTTTACAGGCAAGGAAACTGAGGCCCAGCATGCTGCAGAAACTTGCCCAAGGGCTTACACCAATAAAGTGGCAGGAGTGGGGCAAAGCCAGGACACCTGGCCCCCAGGGCCCACCCCCTTACCACCTCCTGCCCTGTCTCTCGGGCCTCCAGAAGTCCCCGGGTGAGCACCTGCCCCTCTGCCCCTCCAGGCCCCTGATGAAGCTGCACATCATTTGGAAGAAGGATGGGGCATTGCTGTCAGGTGGCATCAGCGACTACAACCGCCGGCTCACCATCTCCAGCCCCACGAGCAGTGACGCCGGCTACTATGAGTGTGAGGCCGTCCTGCGCAGCAGCAGTGTCCCCTCTGTCATCCGTGGAGCCTACTTGTCTGTGCTGGGTGAGAAGGGATGGGGCTGCTGGGGTTCCCCCCAGGGGTCGGGGAGCATTGGCTGGGGCTGACTTAAGGGTCACCCAGGCAGTGGTTATATCAAAAGGAGCATGGCTCTGACCCCCTCCCTTGGCCCTTCCCCCTGCAGAACCGCCCCAGTTTGTCAAGGAGCCGGAGAGACACATCACAGCGGAGATGGAGAAAGTGGTGGACATTCCCTGTCGGGCCAAAGGTAACCACAGCGTGGATGAAGGGGTCATGGCCCCCCAGACCTTCAGCCTTTCTTCTTCGTGTCACGGGCTTTTCTAAATTCTCCTCTTTCTCCAGGCGTCATCACTTAGCAGAGAGTCAGTCTGGCTGTGAGCAGACACCCCAGGAACAAACAGGCCAAATTACCATAATCTCAGGACTGGAAATCAACCCACTTACCATAACTGGAGGGTTACAAATGAATCCAAATTACCGTAATTTCAGGATAGGTGACAGACCCAAATTGCCCGTAATTTTCAAGTTGTAGACAATGCCGAATTACCGTAATGTCAGAGCTCCCGGAACTTTGGGGTGCCCCACTGGAGATGTGTCTCATAAACTCCGCCGGGTTTCTGGGCCATTTTCCTCCATCTCCTCCACCTGCCGTTTCTACTTAACCCCCCCTGGTCAGAGTTTGCACGTCGCCCATCCCCACCCTGTTCCATCTGGTTGAGGGGAGCTAAGCCACAGCCCAGGGGCAGGATGAAATCTGGGATGCGAGGAGGGAGTATGTGGGTGGACGGGGTCTGATACTGAGCCAAGAGGCAGGGCGTAGCTCGGGAGGGAGGGTCCCAGCAGCAAGTGATGATGCGCTTCTGAGACCACACCAACCAGAGGCAGAGGTCCACTCGTTCACTCACTCAACAAACATTTTTGGAGGGCATACCGTGGGCCCGTATTCCCAGGGCTGGGGAGATGCAGAATGAACCCAACAGCCACATCCCTAAGATCACAGATGTACATTCTTATGAAGGAGGCAGGCCAACCAATGAACAAGTAAAAGCATTTCATTTCATTTCATCTAAAAGGCCACGGGTTGTAAGATGCCCCATTATTTTATGTACCACTAAGAAAGAAAAAGGACTGCCAATTAAATTATGACATGCTGTTGATTGTAAGACCCATGCTGATCTCAGAGATGTTACACCAGGACAGAACACACTGTGGAGTGGATGAAATGCAGCTCCATGCAATACCAGGGTTGAAAAGTGCTGGGAAGAGAAAGCAAGCAGGCTCAGGGGACCTGGAGCAATGGGGTGCTCAAAGGAAGGGCATGTGGGGAGCTTCAAGTCGCATTTGAGCAGAGACTCAGAGTGGGGAAGGGGTGGCTTGGGGGTGGCTGTGGGAAGAACATGCCAGACCAGGGGCGCCCCATTCATCTCCCTCTGTGGGTTAAGGAGGAGGGGCTTCTGAGGGCCCCTCTCTGCATGTTCTTTGACATAGGGCTCTGTGGTCTTCTGGGCTTAAACCCCAGCCGGTGTTCCCAGAGCATGCAAAGGTTCTGGCAAATATTCAGTAAAAAGAAATTAATGTATCCCATCCAGCATTTCCAAGCTGAATTAAAATTTTCTTGAAATGCCTGCTATATAATAATTTGAGAATTGCTGCTCTAAGAACATCTTTTACCTCTTCCAACACCAGTAGTGGCACCTCTAAGAGGGTCGACGCAGGGATCTCCTCCTAGGCTTGCAGCCCCAACCTCCATCTGAGCACCCCTCAGAGGCAGGAGGGAGGCAGGAGGCAGGCTGACTGCGGGCGCGTCTCCCCCAGGTGTGCCCCCGCCCTCCATCACCTGGTACAAGGACGCGGCCGTGGTGGAGGTGGAGAGGCTGAACCGCTTCCGGCAGCTCAGCAATGGGGGCCTGCAGATCAGCGGGCTGGTGCCCGACGACACGGGCATGTTCCAGTGCTTTGCCCGAAACGCAGCCGGCGAGGCGCAAACCTCCACCTACCTGGCCGTCACCAGTAAGTTGGGCCTTCCCTGTGCTGCCCTTGAGTCTCTCCTGTCAAGATGCAGCTCTCCTCCAAGCCCGGGGCCTCTTGGGAACAAGATGCTGCATCGTGCAGCAATAGGGTCCCAGATGACTGTCCCTCTGCAGTGGGTGGCTCTAGCCAGGTAGACCCACTGCTTCCGTAGCCCTGCGTCCAGCCTCCGGTCCCATGAATCCTCCCCAATGCCCCAGAGCCAAGGGTGGATTCACTGACTCTTCGAGAGAAGGAGGATGAAACCACTGGCAAAGCGTGGCCCCCGTTGTGTCCGTGCAGGGCTGCAGGACCCATCCCAGCCGAGACTTGCTTACCTCTCCAACAAGGAGCGCCAGCTTTCCTCTCAGTCCCCATATGCAAATCCCACCCCCTTGTGGAGTCCCTTGGGGTTATAGTAGCTGCCTGCCCGCTTCCTGGAGCTGCAGGAACTGTCAGATGCTGCTGAAGTTTCACCTGAGACGGTGCCCCCCGAAGGTGGCCATGTGGCAGGAGGGCTGCCGTGTGCTTCCAGAGTCCACTGAGCATCCGTGAACCTAGCCCGTATTGAAGCCCCTCTCCCGTGCGCGGCGGCCCAGGTGGTTCCCCGAGAGCTGGTCCTGGGGGAGGCAAACACAGAACAAACGGGCTGTACTGACTCCTGAAGGACCGCAGCTGCACCAGGCTGACGGAGGCTGCAGGGCCAGGCCCTGTACAAAATGCAGGGTGTCATGGAGGGGGTGAGATGCCCTCAGAGGTTCTCAGTATCCCCCATGTGGAGGCTTGAGAATCAAGACAGGGTGGGGACTGGTGTGGCCTGGGTCCAGTCCTTCCTTCCACGGGGGCGGGTGTGGGCTTCTTCCCAAACCTGGGGTCCCCTCAGGGCACCTGCATCCTTCCCTGTAGGGAACCCACACCAGCCGGAGTGGTAGGAGCAGGACAAAGACCTGGCCCTCTGGCGGTGGGGGCTCCTCCCAGGGTGTAGCTTAGAAGCCCCACTGTCTCCATTTACAGGTATTGCCCCCAACATCACCAGGGGTCCCCTGGACAGCACAGTGATCGACGGCATGTCAGTGGTGCTAGCATGTGAGACTTCGGGGGCACCCCGGCCAGCCATCACCTGGCAGAAAGGTAGATGAGACTGATCTTTGGAGGGTGTGGGCATGTGACAGTCTAGGGCAGTTCTCAGAGCTCAGTTCTGGAGCCGGCCAGGTTGGGTTCTCCATGTACAGTTGTGAAGGTTGTGCACTGCATAAGGCAAGAGGCATCTTTCACAGGACAGTATGCACCACATGTCACCTGCCAGGCTCAAGGCCCAGCTCTGTGTCTTCTGAGACCTGTGACCTTGGGTGAGTTATTTACTCACTCAGAGCCTCAGGGTCCCTGTCTGTAAATCTAAAGACACTAATACACATACCTCGGAGTGGCATGAAGACTAAATGAAGTGCATGTAGAGGGTCTGCAGTATTCCAGGGAAGTGGTGAAGCCCGATGAATGATAGCGGTTTGAGGGTGGTTGGGGGTGTGGACAGGCGGCCATCCCCTGCTCCCCAGGCAGCTCGGAGGTTCTAACCACGTGAACCAGCAAAGCTCAAGCTGTCCGCCTATGCCTGCCCGCCCCGCGTGCCTCTTACACCCCTCTGTGTCCAAAACTCACCTTCAAGGCTCCCCCGCGTTCACACACACGTGTACACACAGTCGTTCCCCACACCCACAGCCCTCTGTTCAGATGGACCTTCTCCACAGGACTCACCCCACCCCCAGCCCCCAGCCCTCCCCACACCCCTCCCCGCCCTATTTCCCCACTTTCTCACTTACAATGTAATCTGCTTACTCGTGTTGTTTAGTGTCTGTCCCCCCAGGGAGTCAGGGTTTTCAGGATTATGCACGGCTATTCCCCCAGGGCCTAGAACAGACTCTGGCACATCGTAGTTGCTCAATAAGACTCTGTGGAATGATTGTGGCACACGCAGGCACATGTCTACACACAGAAATAAACACACTCGCCTGGCATGCTCACTAGTTTAGTGGTCCTGCACACGTGTGCAAATAGACACACTTACCCATGGGCTTGCACATGGAGAGTCCCCTGTCCATAGACAGGTGGGATTTTCTTTAAAATAGATACAGTCACAAAAACCTGCACTCTCAATGGCCCATCCTCCCCCCACCGCTCTCTCCCTTCCTCTCTCCAGTTACCCGGCTCCCTAGTCCCTCTGCAGAGGGAGGTCTGTCCCTCCCAGGGTTGTCCCCCCATGTCCCTCTCCACCGCACTCCAACTCCTTGCTGCTCCCCCCATCGCTTTCCTCCACTCCCCTGAGGGTGACAGGATGCCCATCAGCACCTTGTTGGCTCCGTCTGACCCCTCCCCCTGCCCAAGTGCCAGCCGCCCCCCAGAGCTGTGTCCAGGTGCGTCAGGAGACAGCCCAGCCTTCTCAGTGAAGGGCAGATGGCATGGTGGGTGGGGAGATGGCCAGCTACCTGGGCTCCAGGCTGCCCGCTCTGTGACCTGTGCCCTTGTGACTGTCACCAAGTCAGAAACCTCTCTGGGCCTCAGCCCCGACCCCAGCCCTGCCCACTCTGCCCCCACCAGCATTTCTAATACTGGCAGCCTGCTGGAGACCACCCTGCCCCCAGCACAGGGCTCAGAGTGCCAGGGGCTGTGGGCAGGCACCCGGGCCCCAGTCTGAGCCCACCCCATGCTGCCCTCAGGGGAGCGCGTCTTGGCCAGTGGCTCTGTCCAGCTGCCCCGCTTCACGCTCCTCGAGTCCGGCAGCCTGCTTGTCAGCCCCACGCACATCTCCGACGCCGGGACCTACACCTGTTTGGCGACCAACTCTCGCGGGGTGGACGAAGCCTCAGCCGACCTGGTCGTGTGGGGTGAGTGTGCAGGGCAGGAGCCCCCTGTGCGTCTGTGCGGAGGTGTGTGCTGCAGAGCATTCCGTTACCACGTGCACCTCCACATCCACATGTCTGACCTGGGGCTTCTTGTAAGGACTTGGACAAACTAATTCAGAGGAGAGGGACCAGGAAGGGCAATGGTGCCCTGTAAGCAAGGGCTCATGCCAGGCTTGGCCAAGTAGAGAGAGCACAGGTGATGGGTAGCTGTCATCATACCCTTTAGGGCAGAAATCAGCAAACTTTTTATATAATGGGCCAGACAGTAAATAGTTTTGGCTTTGTGGGCCAGACAGTCTCTGTCACAACTCCTTGGCTAACTTTTAGGTTTCATCAAGAAAGTGACTATAGGCAATACTTAATCCACTGGGTTGGCTGGGTTCCAGTACAAGTGTGTTTACGCAAACAGGCCACCAGCCAGACTTGACCCCACACTGTGGTTTGCTGACCCCTGCTTCAAGGAAACTTCTCAAGCCCCTCCCAACTCTCAGACTATACTGCTTGGGATCCCCACTCAAGAGAGACACACCCGTGGACCATCTGTGTGAGCCCGGTGGCCTGGTGGGTGATGTAGGAATCAGACGATCCTCTTTATACCCTGGCTGGACCACTGATGGGCTCACCATTAATGAGAATATCCCTGACCATCTTCAGATGTCCTTTCCTTCAATCCCTCACATGGGACTGTGGGAGCCAAATTCAGTGGACCCCCTTCCACTATGAACATGGCTTCCAAGACCTCCAGTGCCATGGAAGCATACTGTTACTCACATTCTGGGCCATTCTCCATGGTAGACCTGTCCATGTGCCAGGTCCTCCCACAGAATTCAGCCACACCTGTTCACCTATAGACGCCCTTTCCACACGCCAGCCTCTCACCTGTTACTCTGCAGCCCGTGCCCCTTCTCACCACGCTTTCTCCCTGCTGTCTCCCAGCCCGGACCCGCATCACCAGGCCTCCCCAGGACCAGAGCGTCATCAAGGGTACCCAGGCCTCCATGGTGTGCGGAGCGGCCCATGACCCCCGTGTGACCATCAGGTACTCCCACGGGGGCTAAAGGGAAGGGGCAGCTCTGGGGAGAGCTGGTAGCTGGGCAGGTGTGTACACCAAGGAGGTAAGTGTCACCCACAGGGGGTGGCCACAGTTTTGGGGAACCGTCTGCAGTGCTGGTGCAGGGCTGAGGTATGGGGGCCCGAGGAAGTGCCCAGGAGCGCAGCTAGTCTGTACTTACTGGGCAGCGTCAGAGGGGAGAGCGAGAGAGAAGGGATGTGAAGGAACGGAGTGAAGAGGGGTGCAGTGGGGGAAGGAGGTGGGAAGGAAGACGCATTTGGGCTTGTGGGAGGTGGAGGCTCCGAGGTGCCCGGCTAGCCTTCCCTGCCAGGTCTTAGACCCTCTGCCCACCGAGTGGACAGCAGAGGGTGTGGGCGAGCAGGCGCAGGAGCAGAGATAGGCCAGGGCAGGAGAGGGCCCTGAGGTGGCACCCGTGAGGGGAAGTGCCCGAATGGGGGCCAACATCACCATCTACCATGAGAACAGGAGCTTTAGCAAGCTCCTTGGCCTGCAGGGAACCTTTCCACTGTGGAAGCCACTAGAAAGGCTTAGGAGGAACAGCCCAGGACAGAAGCAGCCAAGAAAGATGTAGAAGAACCCCAGCTCCCCAGGTTGGGGTGAGGACACCCTGGCCAAGCCCCAGGGAAGCCTTTGGGAACTAAATTTTCCCTTTGGACTCCCTTGAGCTCTGGGATGCGGAGTAAAACATTTAGCTGCTTTCTAGGAAATAAACATTCCCTCCATGCCACTTCTCTATTTTATGGGCAAAATCGCTGTCGCTGCGATGGCCCGGAGCTGGAAGAGCCTGACACTGAGGCCACTTGGAGCAACAGCCCCACCGCTCCAGAGGCCCATCCTAGGGCGCCATCTGGTGGTCACTGGGCATTTGACTGTCTGTGGGCACAACAAATCAACAAATGGGACCCAAGAAGCCAAGGCTGGCATAAGGGACATTAGACTTTTACGCCAAGACCCATTTTTAGAGAGTCCATCACAGGCCCTAGTTTGAGAAACCCCTCCTTAAATATAACCATTGACCCTTTGGGACAGTCATCATGTGCTGCCAGCACAAAGGCTGACAGGAGCCTTGGAATCATGTAGATGTACTTAGAATATTGTCAACACATGGTACAGAATATGCTACTGATACTTATAAAGTACTTGCACATTTCATTCATTAGACAATTCCTGATGATCAGAACAATTCAGGGACCTCTTAATATGTCTGCAGTCCCACCTGCCACCCTGGTGACCTACAAATGGGAAATCACTGTTATCCTTTACTGGAGGGGTCTTCGCCTTAGAGTGAAATTACCCATCGAGGACAATCTTTCTAGATGGTGGGAGAGAATGCACTGGTTCCTCAGCCTTCCAAACTGGCAAAGTCTGTGGCCAGAGCCACACCCACATCTCCCACCCCCACCCATCTTCCTTGGACTTGTCGGGGAGGGGCTCCCCTGCTGCCCTCCACCTTCTGGAGGTGGGTCTTGGGGGCTGGGTGGACCCCAGACTTCAGTATGTTTTACAGATTTCCCAGGTGATTCCGCCATGCAGCTCATATTGAAAATCCTATTCTAGCTCTAGGGGCTCCTGAGAAGACAGGCTAGTAGAATCCCACCAACCACATTGAACTTAAGTGTGGCCACTTAACCCTGCATTACATGTCCTCAGAATAAAGCTGGGGTCTGGGGGTGCCTCCCTGAGCAGGTATAGGTTGCCAGCATGAAAAGCTTCCTAAACAGTTCCAGAAGAAAATGTGGTGTCTGAGCCCAAATATAGACCTAATCTGAGCAATCCCCTTTCAATCACTGTTAATATTAATCATTATTATTAATCCATTTTTATTGCTTTTTCTGTTACTATATATACAGCTAATAGATTTCCCTTTCAGGAGGAGGAAAACATAGGAAATGCACATAAGCCAAAAAAATGGAGAGAGAGAGAGAGAGAAAGAAGAAAAGTAGATTTACCTGTTTCTCTCACTTAGGGTAATATTTGAGTGCTATTTTAAAAACCTAGAAAATACTGTTTCTTAATCTGCCTCTTCCCTTAAGAACCTATTGTGAATCTCTTCTCCTCTCAATAAGTATTTTTGTATAAACTTAATTATATGATTATTCAGTCATCCATTTTGCAGATGAATAGAATTTATGTTGCCAGCTCCCTAATGGTGAATATTTGGATTGTTTCCTGATTTGGGCTAATATTAAGAAATACCATTATGAATGTCCTTATAACTAAATATTTTTGTACATCTATGAATGCCTGGGGACTATCTAATATTATTTAAAGCTAAGAGGATGCCTGAAAACCACTCATCAAAATTGTTTAATAGCCAGCTGTATCATTGCAGATGACGGGGGAAATTCTGCCCGGAGTTAAACAGACTTATGGGTTGTTTCTTTCTTTTTTTAAGTCTTCTGTTATGAACATTTTCAGACATACCCCACAGTAGAGAGAATTGTCCCATCAACCCTCATGTACCCATCTCCATACTTCAACAATTATGTTAGCATTTTGTCCATCTTTTTTTACTGGAACATTTTAAAAAGTCTCAAACATGTAGTTTCCCCCTTAAATATGTCACTGTGCATTTCTTACTGAAAAGGACTTTTCTTTAAAACTAACAATCGTGTCCCTTGTCACCACCTAATACAATGAACAAGTCTTTGCTTTCTCCTCGTATCAGTCCATATTCCAGTTGCCCCAATTGTCTCAAAGGTATCTGTTTACAGTCGGTTGGTTTAACTCAGGGTCAAACAAGATCCACACATATTGTGTCTCCTTTGTTCTGCATAATCATCTCTCTTCTTGTTTTTATTTTTATTTTCATTTTTGTACGGTTTTCATGCAATTAATTAGTTGGAGAAACCAGGTACTATAGGACAGAGGTCAGCAAACTATAAAGAGCCAGAGAATAAGTATTTTAGGCTTTGAGAGCAAAATAATTTTTGTCACAACTACTTAAGTCCGTGTTTGCCACAGAAAAGCAGTTGTTTAGACTATGTAAGCAAACGGGCATGTCTGTGTTCCAAGAAAAATTTATTTACACAAACAGGCCATGGGTCCCCGTTCGCCAATCCCTGCTGTAGAATACCCCACGTAATGGGTTTGGCTAGCTACTTTTTCACTGTGTGGTTCACTTGTTCTTCTATCCTTTGTATTTCTAATGAGATTTGAGTAACTGCTAATTAGATGTGAGTTCAATTGTCTTGGCATAAATCTTCACAGATGGTGATATATGCTTCCTAAAGCAGCACATCCCAGGGCAAAGAACTAGCCACAGGTTGTTTCTTCAGCAGGAATTACTCTTGGCAGCTAGGTTTGCTTTTAAGTAAAATGCTACCCACCCCACCACACTGGCAAGGATGAATCTTTTCCAGATGAATTGAAGGTGATTACTTCTGGAAATTTGTAAATATGTATAAAAGGCCTTAAAATTTAACTCTGCAATTTCACTGCTGAGCATTTACCCTTGAGGGAATGATTTAGAATGTATGAAATTATGTTGCCACAAGGATGTTTATCACAGCATTTCATATAATATCAGAAAAACAGAGCTACACTGGATGTCCAACATTATGGGATTAATTGCACAATTGCAAAGCAATTGTATTTGAACCACCATGCAGCTGATAAAAACCGTGGCATGAAAATGTCCCATTAAAAAGTTTATGCTGTTTCCTTGGATGGAAAAAGAAGCTTTAAAATCTATCAGAATGAATGGATAGATGTGATTTATGTGCATATGCTATAAGAGTAAAAATACATAATTATAGCTAACTTCTATTGATCGCTAACCATGTTCCAGGCACTACTCTTAAGTATTTTATATTAACTCACATAATCCTTACGGCAACCCTATGAGGTGGTATTATTTTCCACATGTGACTGGTGAGGAAAATGAGGCATAGCTTGGTTAAATAAACATACCCAGGATCACAAAGCTGGTAAGTAGCCAAAGCAACATTTGACCGGGAAATCTGACGCCAGAACATGGTAGCTCTGTGGGACACTGCCCACAGGGACAGGGGAGAAGGGTCTGGAAGGTATATGCTCAAATGCTAATTATGGTCACCCATTATCATGAGAAAATTTTTCAGTTCTCTTTTCAGCTTAATTTTTGTCTTTTATCTATACTTGCTGCTTTTCCATTTCTTTCTTTATTTTTTTTTTAGGCTAAAAATATTACAGCCTCCTTCTCCATAGCAATCTTGTGTTCTCTAAACCCAGATACTTCTAGGACCTTGCCCATCACCCTGTCCCCAGTTGAGTGAATGATGAGTTATTTGCAAAACCCCCACTCCATTCCCTGCCCTGGTGCCGAACATCCTGGCCAGGCTTCCCTGGGGGGCAACAGCATGGCATCCTACCCAGAGCTGGCACTCCACATGTGTTGGTGACAATGGCTGTACTTCCTCAAGAATAATTCCAGAGTAGGTATTTCTTATTGTCAGACACAGGCATGTGTATAATTTCTCAAGTTCCCCCTTGTACTGACTGACTGAAGCTAAAGTGATTTTTTGGACACTGAAGTCAATTTGTCACAGCGACGCATCAATCTAATGATTCTTCATAAAACTAATTCCAAAATGTATTCTATGCTGAAACTTTAATTCTTCCTCCAGCTGCAATCTTTTAACCTCTTTGGAAGCATACCTTTTGCCGGCTCTTCTGTGCTGGCTGTTTGGCAATGGCTTCTGGCCAGAAACAACACAGCTTGACCTAGACCTGAACTGAAGGTGTCAATGACTAATAATGACTTAATCTGTTAACTCTCCTGGACACAGCACCTACCCGAAGGGGTGACGGAGTGCAGGTGGAGTGCAGGCCGCTGTGCTCAGCAGTGCTCCCGCCCAGGACCAGCCCCAGAGGACCCGCTGTGGCCTGGGGATCACGCCCTGACCTCCTTTGGCGCCCTCTTCCTCAGATCAGCCTGGAGCCAAGCCCCCATCAGGAGCCCTGCTAATTCCCTACCTTTCTTTACTTAATGGTCCTTTTTGCTCTTAGGTACGTCTGGGAGAAGGATGGGGTCGCCCTGGGCATGGAGGGCAACCCCCGCATCCGCCTGGACAAAAACGGCTCCCTGCACATCTCACAGACGTGGTCAGGGGACATTGGCACATACACCTGCCAGGTGCTCTCAGCAGGAGGCAACGACTCTCGGAGTGCCCACCTGCGTGTCAGGTAAAGGCAGCCTGCCCAGGCTTCTGGGGCAAAGCCGGTGAAGGCAGCAATGGGAAGGCTCAATCTGGCAGGCCACCAGGCCACATGTGACCTCTCAGCAGCAGGGGAGTGGGGGTATGGCTTTGGACACGTGGGCCCCAAAGCCAGAAGAAGAATCTCCAGGTAGATTGAACCTCCAGGCAGCCGGCCAGAAGGCTGAGTTTGATGGCTGAGCATGTGGTGTCATGGGAGCTTAGTATGAGTCCTGGGGGTCTGCTCACCTGACCTAGACCTCACAGGTGTCCCCTGCCTCTCTCCTCCAGACAACTGCCTCATGCCCCTGAGCACCCAGCGGCGACTCTCAGCACCACGGAAAGGCGGGCCATCAACCTGACATGGGCCAAGCCCTTCGACGGCAACAGCCCCCTGATCCGCTACATCCTGGAGATGTCGGAGAACAGTAGGCTTCCCACCCGCCACCCTCCACTGCAGCCGGGGGGCCGAGGTGCCAGCTGGAAGCACGGACTCAGGGAGTCAGTCCGGGGCTAGGTTCCCACTCCCCCAGTTCCCAGTTCTGTGCCTTTGAGTAAAAGTCCCCCTGGAAGCCTCACCTTCCTCCTCTGTAAAAGTAAACGGTGGCACCCGCCACCTCGGTTTCTTGCGACAGCTCCCTGGGATGATGTCCATGAGGTGCGGGCAGCCTGCACGCCAGACGCCGCCGAGAGAGGGGCAGTTCTTTTTCTTTTACTCTGTCCTCCACGTTCTTGAGCTGTGAACTCCAAATTTAGCAGGCCTACTTTGAACGGTGTTTTGAATACAGTTAGCCTGGAACTCATTGATTTGAGGGAGAAAAAACAATAAGAAAAGCATCTCAGTTCCCATGAGCCCTTGCTTCCTCCCCAAGGCTCCCCGGCCCCTGGGCCATGTGGGCTAAGGGGACCAAGAAAAATGACAGGACCAGCTCGATTGGACCGGGATGGGGGAGGCCCTCCTCTGCTAGCCCAAACAAGGCTGGGCCTCTGCTGGGAGTGGGGGGTGGGAAACATGCTCCCACCCCCTGCAAGATGCCCACCTCTGCTTCCACCTCCACGCAGATGCCCCCTGGGCAGTGCTCCTGGCCAGCGTAGACCCTGAGGCTACCTCGGTGGTGGTCAAGGGCTTGGTTCCTGCCCGCTCCTACCAGTTCCGTCTTTGTGCAGTCAACGACGTGGGGAAAGGACAGTTCAGCAAGGACACGGAGAGGTGAGGGGAGCAGGTGCTCTTAAGGGGGGGCTCAGTGACTCCACCCAAGGGGGTACCAAAAACTAGTATGGCGGAGTGGGCCCAGCTGCTGGGCAAATCCTGGCTGGCTCCTGGTCTAATGCAGCAAGCCGTACTCACCCCCGCCTCACAGGTGAAATGAGATCATTCAGACGAAATGTCGTGAGCATTGCCTGGTACGGGTGAAAATGTAGTTGTCCCTCTGACTGTGAGCTCTGCAAGCACAGGGACTTGCCTCGGCCTGCTGTGCATCCCCATGGGCTTATCAAATGGGCTTGAAGTTCCCGAGGCGCATAGCATCCACACGGACCTCCCAGATGCTTTGCATGACACACAGCCCTGTTGCCCTGTGAGGCTTTCAGCAAAGCATTTTTTAAAATGATGAAAATTGAATAAAAACAGCTGGTTTGTATCCACTTTAAAACATGATACATAATACCCACTTATGTAGGAGGCAATTCTAGCCACCTCAACCCTATAGAACAAGTCACCTCCAGGGAGAAAAAAAGACATCAAGCAAGTCAGAATGACAGGGACACAAATCCCATGCACCAAAGCTGTGTTTTTCCAATGCACCAAAGTTGCTCATTTTTTAGTGTTTATTTTCATTTTTTCCAGATTTTTTATTGAGCTCTAATTGACATATTGTGTAAGTTTAAGGTGTCGTGTGATTGCCACCATAGCGCTGGCTAATTCCTCCATCCCATCACGTAATTACCATTTCTCTTCTGTGGTGGGAACAGTTAATATCTACTCTCTGAGCAACTTTTAAGTATATAATATAGTATTATTAGCTATAATCACCATGCTGTGCTTTAGATCCCCAGAACTGGTTAATCTTATAACTGGAAGTCAGTACCCTTTGACTATTAACTCCCTATTTCTCCCCCTCCCCAGCCCTTGGTAACCAATACTCTATTCTCCATTTCTCTGAGTTCAGCTTTTTTAGATTCTACATTAAGTAAGATCCTACAGTATTTGTCTTTCTCAGTCAGATTTACTTCATTTCGCATAATGCCCTCAAGATTTATACATGTTGTCGCAAATGGCAGGATTTCCTTATTCCTCCTGTCTGGATGACATCCCATTGTGTAAATACACACAAACACACATCTTCTTGATCCACCCATCTGTGGACAGACACTTAGGTTGTCTCCAGCTCTTGGCTATTGTCTTAGATGCTGCAGTGAACATGGGGTGCAGCCATCTCTTTGAGATCCTGTTTTCATTTGGATGGATACATTCCTAGAAGTGAGATGGCTGGATCAGGGGGAAGTTCTGTTTTTAATTTCTTGAGGAACCTCCATACTGTTTCCCATAGTTACTGCACCAGTTTCCATTCCCACCGATAGTTCACAAGGGTTCCCTTTTCTCCGCATCCTCACCAACACTTATCATCTCTTGCCTTTCAAGTGATGGCCGTTCTCACAGGTGGGAGGTGGCATCTCATTGTGGGTTTGATTTGCATTTCCCTGATGATGGGTGACGTTGAGCACTTTCTCATGTACCTGTCGGGCATCCGTAGGTCTTCTTTGGAAAAACCACTATTTGTTTTCTCTGCCCATTTTTTAACTGGGTTGTTTGCTTTTTGTTATTGAGTTGCAGGAGCCCCTTATATATTTTTTATATTAACCGTGTACCGGATGTGTGATTTGCATCTTTTCTCTCATCCCATCAGTCACCTTGTCATTTCATTAGTTGTTTCTTGGTGGTACAGAAGCTGTTTAGTTGATATTCCACCTATTTATTTTTGCTATTGTCGCCTATGATTCTAGTGCCATATCCAGGAAATTGCTGCCAAGACCAATATCAAGGAGCTTTGTCCCTGTATTCTTCTCATAGTTTCACACTTTCAGGTCCTATGTTTAAGTCTTTAATCCATTTTGAGTTCCTTTTTGTGAGTGATGGAAGACGGGGGTCCAGTTTCATTCTTCTGCACGTGGCTGTCCAGTTTTCCCAGCACTCTCACTGAAGAGACTGTCCTTTCCCCATTGAGAAGAATCACTGTCGTTAAAATGTACATATTACCCACAGCCGTCTGTAGATTCAGTGCAGTCCCTATCAAAATTCCCATGGCGTTTTTCACAGAAGTAGAAAACTCAGTCTTAAAATTTGTAGAGCCACAGAAGACCCAGAATAGCCAAAAAAACAATCCTGAGAAAGAAGAACAAACCCAGAGGCATCAGGCCTCCTGATTTCAAACTACATTACTAAGCTTTAGTCATCAAAACAGTGTGCTATTGGCCTAAAAATAGACAATTTTTATATAGACCAATGGAACAGAACTGGGAGCCCAGACATAAACCCTCACATGCAGAGTCAACTACTATTTGACAAGGGAGCTAAGGAGCTTTGGTCTTTAAAAGACTCTCAAGTATTTATGCAGACCTCTGGCTTAAACAGATCGTTGTGGCTTTGCCACAGTTCTGATAAGCCTGAGTCTGTCTGTCTCTCACTAGGAGATGCCCCAGGGGCTGTGACACGCTGGAGAGACATGGCAGGTAACAGCCTGGCAGGGGAACAGTTGCGGGAGAATTTATTCATTCACTGTGTATTGACCACCTGTTATGTGCCAGGCCCGTATTTGGACCACTCAGGGTGGTGCAGAGAACAAAATGCCCACAGCCCCAGTCCTCCCCAGCTACAAAATCCCAACAACGGAAGGCCTCACGGCATAGGGAAACCACACTGAGACGCTGCCGGAGCTTCAGGCTTCCCTGTGTGACACTGATCCATCTTCCTAATGAACCTTCAGACTAATACCCTGAGTCACCCAGAAAAAGGTTAAAGCACCTGTTCTTCAGGCTTTACAAAGACACGGGAATGTGCAGTACCTTTTGGAAAGCTATCCATCAGAAAGCAAAAACATACAAATAAAGAAAAAGGGAGAGACATCCATCAAAAATAATTAACTTTTGCTCTGAGTGGATGCATGTCAGTTATATGAAAAATACCCCGAGCTAGAACACTGTGTCCCCGGAACTGCCAGAGAAAGAGCGGTAGCGCACGGTGGATGGGCTGGCTCTCACCCACACCCCGGGCCAGCGCCCCCCACGCTCTCCCTGCCCCAGCCTAGGGCTCAGCTGGGCAGGAAAGGACGCCTAGTTACAGCACACGGCTGGCAGCCGGGGAGTGAGGATTTAACACTCCTGCTTCTAAAACACCCAGTACTCATGACATCACCAGCCCCCAACAGCGGCTTCTTCCGCGAATGGGCCACGGAGGCCCATGTCCCTCACCGAAAATACGCACACCTGGTGCTTCACAGTGTTTTCAAAAGACTCCTATACATTGTGCCACTGGGGCCTCAAAAGTCTTATGAAGCAAGTAAAATGGAACTTTATTATCCTTCTTTTACAGGTAGAAAGATAAGCTCAGAGAAGTTCAGTGACTTGCTCAAAAGCACACAGCCACTGTGCAGAGTCATCCAAGGACAGAGCAGGGCAGGCGTCAGCTTCCTCATATCTTATTGAATTACCGTATTTGCCCTCAAGGCTAAGAGTGGAAAGGCCCACCCACTCTTGGTGTCTCCCCATCCAGGGTCTCCCTCCCCGAGGAGCCCCCCACAGCCCCTCCGCAGAACGTCATCGCCAGCGGCCGGACCAACCAGTCCATCATGATCCAGTGGCAGCCGCCTCCTGAGAGCCACCAGAATGGGCTCCTCAAGGGCTATGTCATCAGGTAGGTGTCCACCCCGGGACAGGAGGGGCAGCCCAGGCCAAGGGAAGGAGACGGGGGAGGGTCAGGAGTGGGTTGGAAAACAGTCATGGCAGATCCTTCGCCACCTAACGAGGACAAGGCTACCATAAACACCTCCCCTACGACAGGCAGGATCTAGGTTAGACATCCAGAGGACCTCCCAGCAGAACCAGCCGTGGAAATCAATCGGAACGGCTGGCAATCTCCTAATGGCCATGTGGATGGGCAAGCCTGCCAGATGTCAGGGCCACACAGCAATAGGGCTACAGGGAGACAGGTGACCATCCGAGGGACCAACCACCTGGGGAACTAAGAATATCCCATCTCAGGCCAGATTTTCCTCAGGTCGGACCCTGAGTCAACTGACTACAGGGCCAAGAACTGGTCAAAAGGCAGAAGTTCTTCGGTCCTTACTGCAAAACGAAGCCCAGTTACATAGATCGTTGTTTACATTTAACTGAGGGTATCTTACTGGTAACGTAAAAGAGGGTTTTTAAGGGTTCCTAAAATTGGATGTCCATAAATTAAAATGAGCCCCTTCTTTGGAGATACTACAAATTCTCATCGATATTCCGAATTCTGGCTGGCTGCAGAATGCTAGGCCACCTCACATGTCTCTCCCCTGCGTGTAGACAGTCTCACAGCATTGGAATCCCCCAAATTTGGAAGAAGTTGATGTGGCTGCTCTATTACCAGTTAATCATATTGTGGGTTTTTGGTGAATTCTAAAGGGCAGCAGTTCTCAAAGTGTGGTCCCTGGACCAGCAACAGCTGTACTTTGAGAACTTGTTAGAAACGCAAATCCTTAGTTCCTACTTCAGACCCACTGAATGGAAAACTTTGGGGTGGGCCCAGCGATCTGTGTTTTAATGAGCCCCCAGGTGTTTCTGACACATGCTAAGGCTTTGAGAACCATGGCTGTCATGTGTGTAATCCATCCAAATAATTTGGGGCTTTTCTTTTTTTTTTTTATTGAGGTATCATTGATATACAATCTTATGAAGGCTTCACATGAGCAACATTGTGGTTTCAACATTCACCCCTATTATCGAGTCCCACCCACACACCCCGTTGCAGTCACTGTCCATCAGCACAGGAAGATGCTATAGAGTCACTACTCATCTTCTCTGTGCTATGTTGCCTTCCCCGTGATCCTCCTACAATATGTGTGCTAATCATAATGTTGGGGCTTCTATTTTCCCAAAAATCAGAGGTATACATGCATGTGGGTCTTCTCTGAGCTCTCCATGCACCAAAATTTGCCCATACAGATCCCATTTCTCTTGTCCAGCAGAAGGTAGAAATGGGTAAAGTAGGTAGCCTCAGGTTTTCCTCTCCACCTGAGTGAGTGACTGTCAAAGAGGGGGCTACTGTCCTATAGGGAGAAAGAAACTGAGCCCAACCTCTGGAGATGGCTCTCCCATCAATGACCCCTCAAAGCTGAGACCAATGAGATCTTCCAGGAACACTGCTGTCCCGCAATGTCCTCCTCCCCCATAGAAAAGAATAGTCCAGGCACATGCCCTAGACCCATGCTCTCTGCTAAGGTGACTACCTGCAGCTATTTAAATTAGTTAAAAATAATAAAACTACAAACGTACTTCCTCAGTTGCATTAACCACATTTCAAGGGCTCAACAGTCACCCACACTAGTGGCTACCCTATGGGCAGCACAGATACAGGGCCTTTCCAGCATCACAGACAGGCAGCTTTCTGGCTTTCTCCCCTCAGGTACTGCCTGGCTGGGCTGCCGGTTGGGTACCAGTTTAAGAACATCACGGATGCTGATGTCAACAACCTGCTGCTGGAGGACCTCATCATCTGGACCAACTATGAGATCGAGGTGGCCGCCTACAACAGCGCCGGGCTGGGCGTCTACAGTGGCAAAGTCACCGAGTGGACCCTGCAGGGAGGTGGGTGGGGACTGTGACCGTGGGGGAGCGGACGCTTCCTCTCTCCCAGGTCCGTGCCCAGTGGGTCCTGTTCCTGTCCAGTCCTGACTGCCTCAACCTGCCACCTACTTTATCCCATCCCAAGCTGTTGCTCACTGTTCTCAGCTACCCCGTGAACAGGAGGACCAAGGAGACAGGGAAGGGGTTGACCCAGTGACAGGCAGAGGCGTCAGGGCCACAGGGACCTTCTGTGAAGTTTCCGTATTAAGTAGATATGAGACAACTTACATTTGGTGTTGCACCTGGAAACTTCCCCTAGGCTCTTTCATATCTATCTGTTGTTTATCGGCACGCTATGAAGTTGCCAGGGAAGTTGCTTTACACCCGAACCAGTCTAAGGAAAGAGGACGTCTTAAGGTCTATGTCACAAGGGGAGAGGGTGTGCAAAGCAGAGACTGCAGACCTCATGCCTGTGTTTTCCCTACTTAGCTGGGCAACACAGACTGACTGTGCCTTCTCTACTCACCCCGCCCCACCTCTCTGCTCTCCTCTAGTCCCCACAGTCCCTCCAGGCAACGTGCATGCAGAAGCCACCAACTCCACGACCATCCGCTTCACCTGGAACGCCCCCAGCCCCCAGTTCATCAATGGCATCAACCAGGGCTACAAGGTACGGGAGGCCTCTCCTCGCCCCAGGAGAAGCCTGGAGAGTCTCTGAGGGAGGCTTGTAGGCTCAGGGGTGGGGGGAAGGGGAAGGAGGTCGGGAGGGACACCCCATCTGCTTCTAAAATCACTGAGTCAAGCCAAGTGGAGGACTCTTGATCAAGGCCAAGGGCACACAGGCTCTCTCCAAGGCCACGTATGGGCTACCAACACTGCCCAATCTGTAACCTGTGCAGGAGACCATTTTCCGTGAGACCTCTTTATAAACAAAACCGGGTTTGTTTCAGGCTCAGAAACACTGGGATATAGACATGGCCTGTTAGAAAAATTCAGAACCCACTTCTTACTGCCAAGTGGGGGCTGTAATGGGCATCCCCCTGGGACATGTGTCCTTGGGCTGCACTTGACCCCACAGCATGTGGTTAAGGGCGTGGCACCAGGACTCTGACAGACTTGGGCTGAAGTCCTGGCTCCAGCTCCTGCTGGTGCCCTAGACAAGGTCTACATCTGTCTGAGCCTTGATCCTTCAATAACCATCCATTGAAGGTGCTGTGCTAGCTGCTAGGGAACTCAAGTAACTCCGTTTCCTCATTTGCAAGTGAAGAAGATAATAATGCCTCTTCCTTGGGGCTGCGTGGAGATTGAGGTCACATTTCTAATTTGACACCATGGCAAACACTCAGAAAATACTAACGAGCTCCCCGAAAGTGATAGCAGCAGTAGCTGTAGGAAAAATGCACTAGCTTGCTTGGGCCATCCGAACAAAGCGAATGGTCTGCGCGACCTCAGCAGAACGGCCTCACCTCACAGTCCCGGGGGCTGCAAGTCTGAGGTCGAGGGGTCAGCAGCATTGGTTTCTCCTGGGGCCTCGCTCCTTGGCTTGCAGATGGCACCAGCTCCCTGTGAACTCACATGGGCTTCCTGCGAGTCCTGTGTCTAGGTCTCCCCTTCTTATAAGGACACCAGTGACAGCGGATCAGGGCCCACCCTAATCACCTCATTTTACCTTAATTGCCTCTTTAAAGACTGTCTCCAAATACAGTCCTACTGTGAGGTCCTGGGATTAGGGCTTCTACATATAAACTGGGGGTGGGGGAAGACAATTCAGCCCAAAGCAAATATAATAATAGCAGTGGTAATAGTAGTGGTGGTGGTAGCCAATTTGTTATAATCGAGCTGCTGTAAGTCAGGACTTCCCTACCATCCCCTCCTAGAACCCAGACCTTAAATCTCACTCCTGGGGCTCTCCTTTACCCCACAAGGAACACCATGCCAACCTCCCCTAAGGGACCTGAAGGTAGAAAGAGCCCACAGTATGTGGTCCACACCACATTTTTCAACTCTGCCCCAGCAGCTTGGGGAAGGTGGGAGGATGCAGTTGGTCAGCTCCCTCCAGATGCAGTTGGCGAGGCAGTGCATTTGGGGGGCATGTGGCCAGGAGGCCAGATGTGCAGGGGAGAGAACCATAGGCGGTGGCTTTGAGCACAGGGATCTGGTGACTTCATGGTGACTGCTAGGGCTTCTGGAAGGTTCCCACCCCTGTGCCAATGTCATGTGTGCCACAACAAGAATTATTACAAGGACTAGCAGCTTTAGATGTTATTGCTGCAAATTGGGGGTAGCTGGGCAGGAAGGGGCCAAGATTGAATCGCAAAGAGAATTTTCTGCCAGTGTTGTAAACCAAGGTGGGGGGTGGGTATCCTAAGCCAGATACATCCAAGCCACAGCCCTCCCCCTCCCAGGAAAGCTGGGCACCAAAGCTGAGCAGGGCTGTCCTGGGCAGGGTGCTGTAGCTGAACACCGGCAGTGCTGGCTGGCTGGAAAAGTCTCCTAATTGGGACCCTGGGGGAGGCAGGGAAGCCCACATGGTGCTGAGGAGCAGAGGAGCTGCGCCTGGAACAGTTAGCTGCATGCAGCCCAGTCTATTTCCTGCCATGTATGGGAGGGCCAGGCTGCATACTTCTAGGGTTGAACGGCTCCTAGAGGACCAAGAAGGGGAGCCAAGTGGCCAGGACAATCAGGGCAACGACCCAGAGAGATCAAGAGGAGGCTGCAGAAGCCCACCTGGTTTCCAGGTCCACACCAGCACCCTGTAGCTGCTCCCTAAAAGTCAGCGAGATGAGTTGCCCAAGTAATTTGAGCACAGGAGCTGGTGGAGGAGGGAGAAGCACTTACACTCGGAGGGCCCTTTGGCCCAACCAGGCAGGACACTAGGGCTTTGCTCACATGCTTCTCTTACCTGAGCTGTGCAGGATCCTTAGGAAATCAGTCTTATTACATCAGTCCATTTGACAGAGGAAGAAACTGAGGCCTGAGAGGCAAGTAACATTTAAAGGCAGGCAGTAACTGCAAAGCTCAGATTCAAACTACAGAGCCTGCACCTCTTCCTGCATTAAAAGAAAATCTGTCACATGATCTAATTGTAAAATAGTAACTCTAACTGGATTTTTCCTAAGTACAAATGGATACACAGGGATTTTGTTTTTAGCTTCCTTGGCCTTCTGTATCACAGAGAGAAAAAAACAGCACCTGTCCCTTGAACCTCCAATGAGAATGGGCTTCTTTTTCCTCTTTTCATTGTGACAATTTTCAAACATCTACAAAAGTAAAAGATTATAGTGACTTTAGACCAGAATGTGCCCCGGCTTTCAACAATTACTGGCTCATGGCCAAGCATCTACTCCCCACCCTTCTGCCTCCCGCCTGGAATATTTGTAAGCAAATTCCAGGCACTACATCATTTCATCCATAAATATTTCTGCAAAGAAATATTATAGATAAGGCCTCTATTCAAAACATGGCCACACAACCACCTCATCATTATCATGCCTTAAAATATCAAGAGTCCCTTAATATCATTAGATGTCTAATCAGGGTTCGTATTTCCCTAGTTGCCGCATCATTTCTTTTACTAGTTGTTTAATTTGCTTCAGGAGCCAAATGAGGTCCACATAACTGCAGTTGGTTGAGGTTTTTTAGGCCTCAGTTGATCTATAGATTCTCTCCCTCCTTTCTCTCTCTCTCTCTTTTTCTTATAATTTATTCACTAAAGGAACCAAGGCATTTGTCCTATAGGATTTTCCACATCCTGGATTTTGCTGATTACATCCCTGTGGGATCATTTAATTCATTCCTCTGAATACTGTATTTGCAGTAAATTGGAACTTAGAACTAGAGGTTTTGATTAGATTCAGGTTTGATTTTTCTTTTTTTCCTTTAATATATTACTTCCTAGATGGGCTTGGGTATTTCCATCAGCAGGCGTAAAGTCTGGCTGTCTCTCTTACGTTGCTGTGGTAACCACTGACTGTCCTCATGTGATCTGTTAATTCAGTACAGGGCACAAAATGAGAATAGTTAAATATTATAACTTCTTGATTTATTAGCTGAAATACTTTCCTCAAGAAAAAGAATTTTACCCTTACCAATGTTTTGGTGATCTGAAGGTACAGTACATCTAGGAAAAGCATGCTCAATGCTCAATTCTTTTCCACTACTTTACCGATTTTCAGGGTAATGACTTGGTTCCTTAGCATTTTCTAAGGTGACAGATGAGTTTGGAAGAGCAGGGAGCTCATCTTTTTGGTTTGTTTTGTTTTGGTAGTATCATTGTGTATTTAGGCTTTTTTAACATCCAGTGTTTCCGTCTACTGCCATTATGATTCTTATTGAAGCCAAATTGACCCTTCACTGGCCTCTTCACACTGGTGAGTCCTTTTGACATAGCCCCAGGATCTTTGATAGCTTCCCTGCTATCTAATGGGATGAGCTACTGCAAACTGTCTCCATTTCCTGCACTGAGCCTGGGGCTAACCATGTGTTCACAGAGCCCCGGCTCCTTTTAGTAGGAAATGGTAGTTAGATACCAGAATCTGGGCCCCAAGGGTGCTCCTGCTTCTAACACTGGTTGTTGTGTCTAGGCCCTATTAATGAACAACATGGAAATATTTTTTTGTTTTTTAAAGATAAAACATCGACTGATACTTCGAATTCAATCTCAGGATAATAGGATTTTTAATAATCTCATTGGCCTTTTGTCTCTCTTTTCCCCATTCTGAAACTCCAGTTCCTGAAACATATTTAGATCCCTACTTTGTCCCACAACCACTCACAACAGTTGCGGAACAGCAATATCAACACTGTGATTACTGGAAATAGTCTCGGATGATCCGCAGTACTTTCTGTTCTTAGGGTGAATCCCACTAGGGGTGTACTTCGCGGTACCGTGCCCTAGTCTTTTGAAGTAATTTCTCTTGTAATCTTGCTACAGCTCAATACACTGTTCAGGTCATTGGTTTTGTTTTGGTTTCAAATTTTAAGGAGTGATTTTTTAAATTTAATTTCGTTCTATAATTATGTAGCACTTTTATATGGTCCCAAAGTTAAATCTACAGAGCAAAGGAAATTTAGAGAAACTTAGCCTAAATTCTGATCCTCCCCTTTCCCCACAGGTTTATTTCTTTTTGTCTATTGGTCAGTTTTCCTCCCATTTCTTTTAACATAAATATATACATGCATAAATGTGTAACGTCTCCTTAGATAAATGACAGCAAGCTCCACCCACTTTCTCTGTCTTGCTCTTTCATTATATCCTGGAGCTTACTCCAAAAGAGTACATAGAGATACACACAAATATTCCTGGTTCCTTTTCTGACATCCGTGTTATACTCCATCGTGTGGATCTCCCAGAGTTTAGTTAAACCAAATCCCTAGTGATGGCTCATTTCAGCTGATTCCAGTCTTTTACTATAACAAACATTTCTGCACTGAACGGCTTTGTCCATACATCTTATATTTTCACATTTAATTTTGGAATAGATTCTTAGAAATGAGATTCTGGGCCAAAGAGTAAATGTGTATATGAGTTTGCTACTATTTTTAATTTCTTTATTTAATTTTTTAGTCAGGAAATGTATTTACATGATTCAAAAGCCAACAACTGTGAAAACGTAAATGTGTAGCAGAATCTTCTACCCCATCCAGTTCCTCAGCTGCCTGGTTCTATCCCTCCCAACCCCACAACTCGCTACTCCAGGCAACCACTGGTGTTAATTTCCTACATAGCCTTCCGGGATGTTTTATGTGAATCTATGTGCATGTAAAAATATAGACAGAGAAAGGGAGAGGGAAAGAGAGAATTTCCTTACCTTTTGTTTTTTAACTCCAGCAGCTAGCAGGCCATATACAGCATCCTACACTCTTAACCAGTAACATGCTGCCTCCACCAGGAACAGGAGCGCGCCACTTTATCCCTCTTCCCTACAACCAGCGAGGTGGCTCTTACTGGCCCCTGTAATAGCCTGATGCGCAGAGTGACAGCTGGGCTCCGCCCCCTTCCTTTCCACTTTGGCTGTTACATTCTGCTCGCTGCTCCCCATCACACACACACGCACACACACGCATGCACGCACGCACACACGCACACCCGGTGCAGCTCCACCCTGCCATGACAGAGCTGCCTTCCTGAGCCCCCACCCTCTGCGGTGAAGTTGCCCATCTCAAAAACCTAGGTCCGATGCACCTGCGCCAGCGCCAACTCACCTGCACCCCCCAGCCATGCTCAGGGCAGTCCAGGCTGCTTACTCCAAGACCAAGAACCTAATAGAGTCCATCAGCATTGATCCTGATTAACCAGAGCAGATAGGGGGACAGCAAAGAGAAACCCTAACACTCATCCAGCAGCTGTGCGTACCCCGGAAGGCAGGGGGCTTCACCCAGGATCTCGGGTCCACAGATCTGAAGCCAGCTCCTGGCAGGCCACGGGCGCTGACCAGCCCTCCACCCTCCTGGCCCTCAGTGTGGCAGCGCAGGACAGGGATCCCCACCTAGTCCTCCCTGTGGTGAGGAACTGGGATGGGTTGGTGACGGGCCTTCCCCAGCGCCAGGTACCTGGGAAGAGTTCATCAGACTGAAGCCTGTCGAGTGTTTACGTGGGCGCAGAGTCCTCCCTCGGCTGCCCGGAGCCTGGCTCCCTCAGGCAGGAGAAGGTGCAGAGGCCGGCCATTCTATTGTCAACTTAGCCCCGAGGGAGAGGCCGCTACACCTTAAGCCGCCTCCTCTTCAGATGTGAATGGAGAAGCACAAGTGGCTCACATCCCAGAGGAAATACTTGGAAACAGCCATCATCTTGCGCTTCAGGCCTAGAACTTTAGGATGACCGGGTCATTGCGACACCACAAAACCATGCTGTCATTGTGCTGGGCACTTCTTTCTGGGTCAGTTTGGAAGACCGTCCCTGGTGATACTATTGTAAGGCAATTATACACATTTCTTGTCCTTTATCTTTTAAAAAATGGTTGTGTAATTGGCCTAAACCCAATAAAACAATATTTACCCAGATTTTGCACTTGCAGGGAAACACACCACACAATTAATTCTAATGGCATAATTAATTCAAATTTACATTAATTAAATTAAATTAAAACATTAAACTTGTTTCTTAATCTACTCCAAGGAAGTTCGGCAATTTAATTGCTAAGAAACAAGATAACCAAAATAAGGAGGATATTTAACATACTTATTAAATGCCACTTAGTATTTCTGATTAGTATTTTTAGGGTCTAATTAGTGTCTAATTAATTTGCTATAGGCTATCTTTTCACAATGCCAATTAAATTTCAAAACATCCTTTATAAATACACCGCCATGAAAAGGGGAAGATGGAGCATTGTTGTGGGGGCGAGTTAATCAGGGGACATCATCGTGCTATTGTTTTCTGCCTATAAATACCCATGCTTATTAAACCTCATCAAGTGTTGCTTTTCACCATTAATTGCTATTTAATCAACTTCAAATAAATTAGGAAATCTCTGAGACCAGCTGTCATCGTTGGAGACGGATGAAGCACCCAGAAAACAGGAGAGTGGGGTGAGAGGGATCATGAGGCAAGAGGAGAAGGAAGGGGGGCAGGAAGCAGATGCATTTTGGGGGGCAGGGGGGTAGATGGGATAATAGGTGACACCGAATTTCCAGATGAGGTTTTCTTGCCGTTATTCCACCTCTGCGTGATGTTTAAGATTGAAATCCCAACTTGGAACAAATTCGAAAGAGTAAGAGTCACCCACAGACTGGGAATTCCAGGGGAGAAGCTGCCCCAGCCCAGGTGGAGAAAGGTGTAGGAGCGCCGGTGTTAGGCTCAGAGCCCCCCACATCCCTGCTGGCTGTGTGACATGGTGTTAGGCACTTAACGTCTCTGAGCCTCCATTTCCTCATCTGTAATGAACAGGGCCACTCAACCCACACATTTGCTCAGGCCTCCTTGCTCAGAGGGACCCTGTGTTCAGTTAAATGCTCTGCAGCCATCATCATGCAATTCTCGGTCATTTTTTAACAAGCGGGTCCTCCGTTTTCCTTTGCACTGGTCCTGCAAACTCTATACCTGATCTCGGTAAAATGCCTCCCTGTGGGGTCACTGTGGGAATCGAGTGAGAAATGACACAGAAAGCACCCAGCCTGGTGCCCCACTGAGCGTAAGCCACCCAGTGAGCAGAAGATCCCCCCAGAGAGAACTCCCAGAAGGACAGAGCCTCCGGCGGCCTGTGGGACTCCTCCACTGCCTTCCCTTCCCTGGGGGCCGGGAGCCTAGGGATCTGGGCTCCTGCACTCGCTCTGCTCACTGGCCCAGACTGTGAAGGCGCTCTTGGCCTCTTCTGGAACATTCCTGCTGCTCTGCCTGAATCGCTGGCCTCTCCCCAGCTGATGGCCTGGGAGCCAGAGCAGGAAGAGGAGGGTACCATGGTGACTGCCCGGCCCAACTTTCAAGACAGCATCCACGTGGGCTTTGTGTCGGGCCTGAAGAAGTTCACAGAGTACTTCGCCTCCGTGCTGTGCTTCACCACCCCTGGAGACGGGCCCCGCAGCACGCCCCAGCTGGTGCGCACCCACGAGGACGGTAGGCACGGCGCAGCCCTGTTCTCTCTGCCCCGCCCACCCCAGGGCCAGGCGGCGCTCCGGGCACAGGGCGGTCCTGGTCCTGTCCCCCACCCTGGGGCACCCCGGGAGCACCACAGGCTCTTGCAGACAGTGGTCTCTCTCTGGCTCTAACTGGCATTGGGTGGGGTGGGGGCCCTTTGGGGTACAGTGCCTGGGCCTGTGGGACACCTGAGCTTCAGTGAAATCCTGGACACCTCGCTGAAAGTCAGCTGGCAAGAGCCAGGAGAGAAGAATGGCATCCTCACAGGTAGGCACCACCCTGTTACTCAACCTGAGAGTGAGGTGGGGTCACAAAAGGTCATCTAGTCCATCCCCCTGCTTTTGACCTAGTGTTCATCCAAAGCCTCCCAGCCGACCACTCTTCTTCGGGAAGTACTCAGAGAACAGGCTCTCAGCCCCTCCGCTCTGTAACATATCCCGGATCTTCAGCCACACCCTCCAGTGGCCATCGCAGTGACTGGCCCTCCTACAATCCCCACCCACGGGGACATCCCACTGAGGCTATGGCTGGAGCCCAGGGGTGATGTGCCCACCTACCTCAGCCCCATTGCTCCCGAGTATCTCCCTGCCAGCCTAGCAAAGAAGTAGGGATCAGAAGGGCCAAGGCCAGCTATGGTCACAGCCAAGGTCCTGCCACAACCGGGGTCTCTCCCCAGGGTACCGGATCTCCTGGGAGGAATATAACCGAACCAACACCCGGGTGACCCACTACCTACCCAACGTGACCCTGGAGTACCGCGTCACAGGCCTCACTGCACTCACCACCTACACCATCGAGGTGGCCGCCATGACTGCCAAGGGCCAGGGCCAGGTGTCCGCCTCCACCATCTCCTCGGGGGTGCCTCCAGGTAGGTGCCCACTCTCAGGGCAGGACGCCCGGCCTCCCATTGTTCTCCTGTCTTCAGGAGTACTGGCCTTCTTCCCTCATTGGCTCCATGACCCCCTGCGCAGGCTCTGTTCTCATGATGCCAGGTCTCTGGATAGAGGCTGTGGGCTCCCCGCCACTCCCCACCGTGGCTCTGGGAAAAGCCCAGGGCCCAGAGAATCCCACCCTTGTCTCACTTGTCCCACTGCCTCCCTTGTCCCCTTCTCAAGCAGTGGTGTCTGTGATTCAGGAAGACCTGTCAGCGTCATCCAGAAAGCCCAGCGGGGATTCCAACCAGTGGAAGTGTTGGTTGGGAAGCGTTGGTTGGGGAGCGTTGGTTGGGAAGGGTTAGAGCAGGGCGGGAATAATCTCAACCCGGATGTAAAGAGCAAGCTGAGGTCCACTGCTTCTGCCAAGCTCTGCAACCTTGAGCAAGTCAAGTGGCCCTTCTGTGCCTCAGTTTCCCCATCTGTGGGAAGACAGACTAGATAGCTACGTGGTCCTGGCAGGGTCTGTAAGTCTATGCTTGTGTGACCTGTCCGCTGAGATGGCTGAGATACCCGAGCTTCACTCGACCCCAGATGCTAAAAACAGTGACACTGACAAGTATTTATGCAGTGGTCCCCAGGCCCAGAGCTAAGTGTATGCATCAATTCATTTAAACTTCACAACCACCCTGAGGCAGGTGATACTATCATCACCTCCATTTTACTGAGTAGCACAGAAAGGTTCAGTAACTAGCCCTAAGACACACAGCATGGATGCAATGGATCTGGATTCCAACTCAGACAGTCTGACTCTGGGATCTGTGCTCTTTCTGTTCATCCTGAACCCCAGGGCTCCTAGATAAAATACGGGCTGCCTCCTGCCTCCACACCTCCTCCTCTCTCTCAGCATTATTGGGCTTGGGAGGGCTGTGCTGGGCTGTGTGTGGGTGGGCGGAGAGGAGGATCAGCCCGTTCCCTGGCCCTGGGAGTGCCCTGGAGGCCCTGGGGGATTCTCGGAGCCCCCAAGCCAGTCTCAGGCTCCTGGTCTGAACACAGTGAACCCCAGGTGCAGGAAGGCAGACTTTGTTGGCAGGGTGGGACCCCGCCCGCTCCCCCCAGGCCTCTCTGTGTCCAGAGGGTCCCCTTCAGTGTGGAAGGATCTCCTCACCTGACGTCATTCCCCTGTTTTCTTTTTCCAGAACTCCCAGGGGCCCCCACCAATCTGGGCATTTCCAACATCGGCCCCCGCTCCGTGACCTTGCAGTTCAGGCCAGGCTATGATGGGAAAACCTCCATCTCCCGCTGGCTGGTGGAGGCCCAGGTGAAACCTGCCGGAGGGGAATCCTCAAGCCCAGGCAGCCTGCTCTTGAGAACAGATCTCATGTGTATTTATGCCTGTATGAATTTTCACATGCAACTTCAGATGGTCAAATCCAGAATGCTCACAGTTCCCAAGACTGTCTCCACCTCCACTTCATGTGTATACCTGTACACACACACACACACACGCCAATAACCTCGAGCCAGGCGGTACTGTCTGGCCCAGAAAAATTACCAGCTGCCACCTGCAGCCCTTTAAACCGTGTCCTCGGCTTTGGCTGCAGCAGGGGACCTGTGTTCCTCCCCCAGAAATGGTGGCTTCTGATTTAGCTGGCGATGGAGAAGCATGCGAGGGTGTTCAAGGGAATCACCTGGGCAGCTTGTTAAACCCAGCTTCCTGGGCACCACCCCAGGGATTATGATTGGCTAGGTCTGGGGCAGGGCCCCAGAGTGATTTATAAATGGCATTCTGCCAGCTTCTGATGCAGGAGCGCCCAGGGTTACACTGGGAGTCATGTTTAAGGGCCTAGAAAGATAGAGGCCCCATTTAGTGCCCTCCAGGTGAACCCTGGGGTTCGAACCAAGACGTTCCCAGGGCAGGGCATGACCCACCTAGGAGCTGGAGCTTGGAGCACCCCGACTCACCCTGCAGGTTGGGCAGGTCTGAGGGTGTCTCCCTTTTCCAGGTGGGCATAGTCGGGGAGGGAGAAGAGTGGTTGCTGGTTCACCAGCTGGCCAACGAGCCCGATGCCCGTGCCATGGAGGTGCCAGAACTCAACCCCTTCACCTACTACAGGTAATAGGACAGGGTGCAGGGGCAGGGAGGGGCTGTCAGACTGCAGGCTTTGGCCCTGAGGTCCCCGACTCCCCATCTCGCTCACCCTCTTCCACCTGCCCCAGCTTCCGCATGCGCCAGGTGAACATCGTGGGCACCAGTCCACCCAGCCAGCCTTCTAGAAGGATCCAGACCCTCCAGGCACCCCCTGACATGGCCCCAGCCAACGTGACCCTGCGCACAGCCAGTGAAACCAGCCTGTGGCTCCGCTGGATGGTGAGGCCCCCTTGAGGGCAGCGGCGGGCAGGTGGGGGAGTCTCCTTAATCCTCATCAGTGTGCCGGGGTCGGGGGCCACATCCAAGGGGTCCCTCCAGAACCCCTGCAGCTCTCTTCTCTTTGCTTCATACTCAGCACCTGGCAAGGTGCCTGATGACCAATCTCTGCCAAGTGAGCAAATGCCTCGCATGAGGAGCTAGAAAACACCGCTTATGAAACATTATCATGCACCAAACATTTTACATTTCTTATTTCATTTAATCCTCCCAGTAGTTCTGCAAAGGACATTTTAGTATCCCAAGTTACAGTTAGGAAAACTGAAGCTCAGAGAGGTTAGGACCCTATCCATAGCCACACAGCTCCCAAGGGGTGGGTCTAGGCTTCGGATGTAAGTTGTTCCACCCCACCAAGTCAGAGTGAGGGGTAGTTTCTGCATTTGAGGGGAGCTGAGGGAGGGGCCCTTAGACTCCCAGACCATCCCCACTGATCAGGATAGCGTGTCAGGGGTCGTTGCTCCACGTGGCCCTGCAGAAAGTCATAAGCTGGAGGTTTCGCCTTCTGCCAGGTGCTATTCTGAGTGCTTTACTCAAAGTCAGGCCTTGAGCCCTTTCTGCAAGCCTGTGACAGCATGCATCCTAGTCCCTGCTTTACAGATGAGGAAACTGAGCAGAAGAGTTCGAATAACTGGCCCAAGTCCCCCCTCATCCTCCCACACCCTTTGTTTAGCAGCAGGACTCAGATCCCCAAGCCGGGGAGTCTGGCCCCCCAAATTCCCAGCCCTAATCAGCACAGTGCTGTCCCATCTTGTGGGGAACATTTCTGCCCTGGGCTGTCCCTTGAGATCATTTCCTGGCTGGGGTTCCACAAGGCAACAATCCAGGAGGTGCTCAGAGCATACAAGAATTCTTAGGCAAATAAATGCGGACGTGGCCCAGCTGCTTAGAGGATGAGGGGACACCCCCATGGCAAGAGCCTGCTTCCTCCCTTCAGCAGTGCTGTCTGGCCCCACGGCTCTTTTCTGTTTCTATGTGAGATTGCTTACTAGTTGTGCAAAACACAACTTGCACAATGCCACACTGTGGACCAGGACTTACTAGAAAGCCATTATTCCCTTCCATTTGTGTGCACACCTAATAAAAGTAGCTCACGACACCATCAGCCCTGGGCAAATGTTAGTTATGAGTTAGGGTTCTCCTGCTAGGGTGGGTGGCACCAAGCCCAGCCATCCCTCAGTGCAGCCCAGCAACCCAGTCTTTGGTTACCTCTCCCCTCCCACCCTTCTCTCTTCAGCTTTGCTCCCTTGCAGGCTGGCTCCCGTCTCCCTCCTGTATTTCATTTTAACATTTACAAATACTAAATGGTAAATGGCTAAGGAGTCTGATCCCCAGTGGGGGTGGAGGGGAAGTAAAGGGGCCACTGCTGTGTGTGCAGGGCCCCCGGCACCTCCAGTCCCCTTCCAGTGCCCAGTCCTTACCTTTCCATAGTGGGTAAGGGAGCGTGCGCTCAAGGCCCACCTCCAGCTCTCAGGCCCACCGATTGCCAACTTAATGGCCTATGGTCTGCTTCACGTCTGTAGGCATAAGGGCTGGCAGGAGGTGGTGAGGATGTAGGGAGTGCGGCAGAGGCCGAGAAACCGGAGAAAGTGAGCCAGGCTGTGGGAGCTGTGGACCCTGGGCGTTTTAGAGCCCCTGGGGAAGCAGCATGAGGGCAGGTGAGAGCTGAGGGGGGCCCCAGCTATAGCTCTGCCACCTTCAGAGGAGACTGTGAAGGCCAGGCACTCAGCTCACACCTGCTTCCGATGCCAGGCCCCACCCAACATGCGCTCACTGAGCCAGCAGCCACAGCCCCGCCAGCCTAGTCGCGGGGCCCAGGAGAGGAGTCTGCCTTCTCTTTGCTGAAACTCAAACAAGAAGCAGGCTGAAAATGCAGCAAGAGAGACTGAGGTCTGCTAAACAGAAGGACTTCCTGTCAGTGGCTGCAGCTCCATCTATGCCCAAGATGCCATCTCCCCATGCTTGCTTCTCCAAGGGCAGGCATGAGCTCAGACCAGGTGTTTTGTAGGCAATTAAATAAGTATGTGTGAAGCCTGAGTGAAGGGGTTAAGCGGTAGAGACAGCCACGGACAAAGGTGGCTTGCTCATCAGCGTGTTAGACAGGCCCCACTGCCTCGGCAGGGTAGTAAGTTTGTCGTGTTCACAGAATGGGTGCCGCCTTCCCTTGGAGCAGAGACAGAGGAATGGGGGCCATCAGAAACACAGAGTTACAGACTGAGCCATACCCAGTGAAAGTGGGCACTGGTTGTTCAGGGGACTGGGTAATCCTGCAGGCTCCCTGGAAGAGGGCGCACACAGTTGTGTACAGAGTGTGGGCTGGTCTCCCAGCAGCTCTGCCTGCCCTGCCTTCCTGCAGCCTCTCCCAGAGATGGAATACAATGGAAACCCCGAGTCAGTGGGCTATAAGATCAAATACGGCCGGGCAGATGGCCGCAGCAAGACGCTGAGCCACGTGGTCCAGGACCGTATGGAGCGCGAGTACACCATCGAGGACCTGGAGGAATGGACGGAGTACCGCGTGCAGGTGCAGGCCTTCAACGCCATCGGCAGTGGGCCCTGGAGCCAGACCGTGATGGGCAGGACCCGGGAGTCAGGTACCGCCGCCCTCCTCCGGCCACCCCATTGAACCCCCCTGCAGCCTTTGGCTGGATACCCCTGCCTTTGCCTCGCTGCCCTTAGGACCTGCCAAGACCCTTAGGTCTGGAGTTAGTCCAAACCGGCCCACGCTCATTCTCCTGTTGGTGCTCAGTGTGGCAGCCCGTGAACCCTCCCTGCAGCTGCCCCCATCGCTCCTGGAGAGGCAGGGGCGGGTCCTCACCTCCGGGGGTAGCTAGGCAGGCTGCACTCTCGCAGCTGCCCATTCTGTGCCCTCACCTTTAACCCTGACACCCAGTGGTGCCTGAAAGAGCCTGAGATGGGGAGGTCAGCTTAGCTCTCAGAACATTCCAGAAATGCAACCAGCAGCTCCTTGGGACCTAGTAAGGGGTCACCCACAGAAGATAAGCCTCCAGCCTACAGGCAACCTTCATTTGTCCACACAGGCTTCACCACTCTGGGGCTTCGCTCTGGCACCTTTTAAATGACAGGTCCCTCTACCCTGGCCCCTCCCCCGGCCCCCCTGCTGTGCTGGCAGGATGTGCGGGCTCACCCTAGCTGGTTCCCTGAGCAGAGGACAGAGGCTAATCTGCAGCCAGACATAGCATCTGTGACATTCCAGAGCCAAAAGGAGTCATCGCAGGGGGATTTGCTATTTGGGGACCGTCGGCGGCACATTTCCTGCCCCAGGTCCCATTCCACTCCCTCCCACTGCAGGATCACCTTTGGGTCCTGAGCTCCCCCTCTCCCCCTCTCCCTCCCTCAGTCCCATCCTCCGGCCCCACCAATGTGTCTGCCCTGGCCACCACCTCCAGCAGCATGCTGGTGCGCTGGAGCGAGATCCCGGAGGCCGACCGCAACGGGCTCGTGCTGGGCTACAGGGTGAGTCCCGGCTACAAGGCCAGGCGGCCAGGCCTCTGTATGGGCTTCCGCACAGAGGTGCCCTGTCCTCGGGACCCCCCAGGGCCCAGGTCCTTGCCTTCTGAGTCGACACAAGGGATCTGTCTGGTGGCCCATCCACCAGTCACCATGGCAAGCTGGGATTCCTCCCTTGGGGGTGGGCCCAGGGTCCTTGGGGCAGCTCCACCCACCCAGGAGGCCATGGTGGCCCCCCAAGCCTCTCAGCTCTGATGCGCTCTGCTCCAGTTTCCATTATCTTCGAGAATTCCTCCCAAAGCTGCACCCTACTCACCATGACTAGCTGTGTGACCTTGAGCAGGTCGCACCCTCTCTCTGGGCCTGTTTTCCTTCTGAATGCTCTCTAAGGAATCCTTTAGCCCTATGGCTGAGTGCACCTTTGCGTCCCCTGCCTTCCGGAACATTAGCGTCCGCCCATTACCCCACGCCTCCTGGGGGCCAAGCTGGTCTGAAGCTCCACACCCACCCACCCCCTCCGGCTCTTGGAGATGAGACTTGGGAGAGGAGCTGGCAGGACAAAGCCCAGGCCCAAAGCCCTCACCCCTGCACTGGGCTCTGGCAGGTGATGTACAAGGAGAAAGATTCGGACTCCCAGCCCCGGTTCTGGCTGGTGGAAGGGAACTCGTCACGCAGCGCCCAGCTCACAGGCCTGGGCAAATACGTGCTCTACGAGGTCCAGGTGCTGGCCTTCACGCGCATCGGGGACGGCAGCCCCAGCCGCCCTCCCATCCTGGAGCGGACGCTGGATGATGGTGAGTTCGACTCGCTGCAAGGCTGGGAAGGCTGGGAGCCGCCCTTCCCCCTGCCCGGTCAGCCTCGCCTCTCTGGGGTCATGCTCCACCCCAGAGAGAACTGTAGCCTCAGGCTTCTCCCATGGGAGGCAGGTCACTGAGGGCCACCAACCCCACTGCCAGGGGAGGCTGATTACAGATAGTTGCAGTGCAAAGGCAGTTTGACATGCGATTCAGTCTCTTGCTCTCTCTCTGGGACAGGCGTACAGAGTAGAGACTTTTGCACTGTTTTGATTTCTTTGTTGCCGGGGGCAGGTTCGCTTTGAGTAAAGGTCTTCCAAAAGAAAGCCTTGATTTTTTTCCTGGCCATGAGCCTCCTGGTCCTGTTTGCAAAAGAAGAATACCAGTGGGGCTCCAGGCATTCATCCTGCAGGGAAACTGCCCGTCCACGGCTGTCTGTCCAGGGCCCCCTCCCTTCTCCCCACACACATGCTCACATAGTGCCCACCACAAACATTTGTGGGGGCCAAACAAGAGCACAAAAGGAAGCAAAAACATCCTATGTCTATATATTCCAAAGTTATACATCAAGCTAATGATCTGTTAAATTCAATATGTTCTACCCTCTGCCTTGACGTACATACCCTCCTAATGACTTGGAAGGCCAAGTTCTAGTTTAAAAATCTCAGTCTTCTTGGAATTCTCTCAGAATGAGGCAGTGCAGGGAGAGTTGGCCCCACCCCGACCCCCACCCTGTTCTCCTCCCATCCTGCCTCCTGGCCATGCCTTTGGGTCCCCATCCACAGGCCCCCAACAGCTACCCTCTGGCCATCCCTTCTTCATGTCTGTGTTAGAACACAGTGCCGGGCAGAGCAGCCTTCCACAGGAGCTCACCTAGCTGCGTGGCCCCTGCCCCACCACCTCGCCCACCTGCCCTGCTGGAACTGGGCTGGGCTTGGGGCTGAGCCGCTGCACAGCCACCTGCTTCTCCTTTGTCCCCTCAGTCCCAGGACCGCCCGTGGGCATCCTGTTCCCAGAGGTGAGGACCACATCGGTGCGGCTGATCTGGCAGCCCCCCACTGCCCCCAATGGCATCATTCTTGGTAAGCCTTTGCCCCCTTCCCGTGCGCTGGCTGCAGAGGGAGGAGGAGGAATCAGGTGTAAAGGAGGCCAATTCGGTGATGGCAGAAGGGAGACGAGGCCTAGAAAGTGTCCACATCTACTCAGGAAGGATGCTGAGTCTTATTTCTCCACTACAAATCTGCCTATAAGATGATAGGCTGGCAAAGGCGAGGTCAAGTTAGTTTTGTGTCCTGAAACGCTCCAGACCCCCCAGCCAACTGGCCATCTGGTAAACCTTGGCTGCCGTTCCTAAGTGTGGCCAGGTGAGGGCGCACTGGTCGGCTCAGCTCAGCCAAACTCACTGTGGGCAGCAGGACCCAAGACTCGAGGGAGGGATGCTGCAGATGGGAGGCATCGTTTCATACTAGTTTCCTCCCCTAACACGCACGTATGCTCCTGCCCTCATGGGCCAAGAGTCCCAGGGTTGAGTCAGCAGCTGTGCGAACTTGAGTGAGTTGGTTCCTCCACGGCCTCAGCCCCCCACCTGTAAATCGGTGGATTGGACAGCCTGTGCCTGGCTCGGGGCTCCCCGCTGTGAGGCCTGCCCAGGTGAATCTGTTCCTCCTAAGAGAGTGGAAACGGGAAAGTTAAGTGCATTGGACTTAGCTGTGGGCTGGAATTCCAGCTCAGCCACTTCCCAGCAGGTGGTCTGGCCTCCCCGAGCCTCAGTGCCCTCACCTGGGGCTGCTATGGGGGGTCACAGATAATGTGTATAAAATGACCAACCATGCCCGTACAGTGACACCCCCCAAGTGGCAGCTGAGGACACCAGAGTGGTCAAGAGGGCTTCAAGCAGATGACCCACAGCCAAGGTGGCCCAGGTGCAGACATCATGCTAACCGAGGAAGGAATGGCCCCTTCTCGGGGCTCTGGGGGCAGCGTGCCCTGCTTCCCTGCACAACCCATGTCCCCCCTCCCCACAGCTTACCAGATCGCACACCGGCTGAACGCCACTGTGGCCAGCACTGCTGTGGTAGAGGTTCTTGCACCCAGCACCCGCCAGTACACAGCCACCGGCCTCAAGCCCGAATCTGTCTACCTGTTCCGCATCACGGCCCAGACCCGCAAAGGCTGGGGAGAGGCTGCCGAGGCCTTGGTGGTGACCACCGAGAAGCGAGGTGATGCCCACTGGGCTGGGGCAGCCTTGGGGGACAACCTGGGCCCCACCCACCCACGCAGATGCTGAGAGCCTCTCCTCGGGGGTGGGAGGGACCAGTGAGTTAGAGTCCCTTCTGGGCTGGAGAATGGGCTCAAATCTCTGACACTAAGGTCAGGGAGGACTCCGGTAGCTTCCCCCAGGCCGAGCTGGGAGTTTCCCTCCCAAGGATCCTGCTCTGCCCAGCTACCAATTTTTTAAAGGGCAAGTTGGTGAGACCAGCTTCTTCCCTATTCTCCTCCCCTACAACAAAAGCCATGCCCTGTTGGGTAGAGGATGGGGCTGTAGCCTGGAGCCCCAGCTGCATCGCCCTGCTGCGACGAACTGGTGCGTCACCCAAGGTGGGGCTCACCTGAAGCAGATCTGAGATTCGGGTTCCTGTGAAAGTGACTTCCTAGGCAGTGAAATCCCACATAGCGGTTTTCAATCAGGGGCTGCTTGTGCCCCGGTGGACCCTGGGCAATGTCTGTAGACACTTCAGTCATAACTAGGAAGGAGGTGCTACTGGCATCTGTGGGTGGAGGCCAGGGATGCTGCTGGACATGCTGTGATGCACAGGACAGACCTAAACAGGAATCATCTACCCCAGATGCCAAAGCGCTAGGCTGAACACTGTACAAAGGGCAGGTGGCAGTGGGCAGGAAGCCAGCTGTGGGTGGGGTGTGAAGCAGAGTCCCATAGAGGGACCCATGGGCTCAGTGCACTCGTTGTGGGGCAGCATAAGTTCCGTTTCAGCGCTGTGGCAGCCGGGGTGTTCACACCTCCTCACTGTCAGTCCCTGGTTGGGCTGCTCTCAGGAGATGACATTCCCAGGCACTGGGCCTCTAGCAGCCAGAGGACAGTTGCTGACCAGGAGCCACAGGTGCTGGCTGTTGGGACCACGTGTGCACGGACATGGGATGGGGCAGGGGGCGGCATGCCTGAGCCCAGAGCACCTCCTTCCTTTCCTTGAGAAAACATACCCACCTTTACCTCTGCTCACTTGCCCCTCCCATGTCCGCCACCTCCCAGACCGCCCGCAACCCCCCAGCAAGCCGGCGGTGCGACAGGAGGATGTGAAGGCACGCAGCGTGCTCCTGTCCTGGGAGCCGGGGAGTGACGGGCTGTCCCCCGTGCGCTACTATACCATCCAGACCCGTGAGCTGCCCAGCGGCAGGTGGGCGCTGCACTCGGCCTCCGTGAGCCACAACGCCTCCGCCTTCATTGTGGACAGGTGAGCCCTAGTCACTAGCTCCTCCGTCCCCCACTCCCAGCCTGACAGCACCATGGGGGACCCCTGAGAAGGAACACCCGGCACCCGCCCACCCCAAATCTCTTCCCCACCACCTGCACCACCCAGGGGCCTCACACACACACACACACACCCTCTCACCCCTTCCAGCTCTGCCCTGACCCCCTCCCCCTCCCCTGAGCCCTGTTAGGGCTGCCTCTTAATGATCTATTTCTGGAGCCTAGAGGCCCCCCTAGAGGAGCGTTTGCCACCCTTCATTAGTGATCCCCCCAGCCAGGCGGCACTTCCCTCTCCACCTGTAATGGGATTGGAGCTTCACTCTGAAATCTGGCTTCAGTTGAATTCCTAGTGGGTTGTATCTTTTATATTCCAGTCGATGTGACTGGGAGCTCTGAGCCGTACATTCCTCCTCCAGTGAATCAGCAAAGAAGACATTTGCCTGGAGAGGAAATGAGACTGACAGAGATGGGGTGCAGGTTGACTCTTGCGAACCCCAGCCCTTCCTAAATGTACTGATTTCAAGGAAGGGGTGGCAGCTCGCGGGGTAGGAGTCTGCTCAGAGGGGGTATTAGAACCGCATGGTCCTGTGGGGGCGGAAGCGTGCGGCTTCCCACCCGGGCACCTGTGGCCCGGCCCGGCCGTCCTGTTACAGCAGATCCGCTTCACCAGCCTCCATGTTCCCATCTAAAAGGCCGGCCCCGTCTGCCCCCTTTCTCTGAGCAGAAATGGGGGCCAGGGGAGAGCTCTGTTCACTGAGCCCGGCCCCCCCGCTAGGCTCAAGCCCTTCACGTCCTACAAGTTCCGAGTGAAGGCGACCAATGACATCGGGGACAGCGAGTTCAGTGCGGAGTCGGAGCCCCTCACCACCCTGCAGGCTGGTCAGTGCCCCCCACGTGGGTCTCTTTCTCCTTCTGGCCACTGGGCTTTCCTTTCTGAGGGGAGAGCCCTCTGCCTGCGGGACCCCTTGTCTGGCTTCCTGGGCAGAGTGCCAAGGAGGTTGGGCCAAAGGGCCTTTGCCGTGGGCTCGGGCACCCATACCCAGCATGTTCTTTCTCTGATGTCACCAAGCTTGTGGCGATCTCAGACCACCAATGAAGGGGAGTGAAGGAGGCCTCAGCAGCACAAGAGGCCTGTGGCTCTAGGACAGAGAAGAGGGGGCTGTGGTCCCTGTGTTTAGGTCGGGGTCCCATCCCCTCTGCTCGCCGACAATGGCCCTGCGTTCTGTGGGTGTGGCTCAGTGGGCAGAGAGGGTGACTTTCGCTGGAGCTGGCCCACAGTCCAGTGTCTGCAGAATGTGGTCCCCGCGGCCTCCCAGGGAGCCTAAGCCCCAGCCCCCAGAGCTCATCTGCCTGCCTCTCTCTCCCCAGCCCCCGACGGAGCACCCACCATTGTCTCGCTGACACCGCATACCACCACCTCCGTGCTGATCCGATGGCAGGTACGGCCCGGCAGGTGGGGAGGGCCTGTGTCCCATGGGAGCTCAGCTTTGCAGGGAGACCAGAAAGCCAGCAGCCCCTCCCGGGCTGGAGCACTGTACACACATACACAGACATGAACGTGCACACGCAGACATGCCCCTCATGCCACTCTCCGGATAATCATGTTGGGCAGGTGCTTGTGCAGTCCCCTCTGCGGGGGACCAGACTCGACTCAGGGGGGTGATGTGACTGCTCCCAGGCTCCTCTGTGGCAGGGCCAGGTTCAGTGCCCTGAGGTTTGCTGAATCCTGACACAGAACAGCTTCCAGGACCCCAGGGTCTCCATGAAATCCAGCCCCCTTCAGAGAAGGGATTCCCGATGGACCAAGCTTAGGTGTGCGCACCTGCACTGCTCTTAGCACAGGGCTACTGTCCTATCACTGTGAGCAGAAACGCACTGTGCGGGTACAGAGAGCCCCTCCCCTCCAGCCCTCCCCAGCCGCCTGCTCTTTGGTGGGCTGCATCCTCCTGCCACAGCCTGAGGAGGACCCCAGCACACATCTGAACGTACCAGGCTGCCCTGCCATCTGAAGTGCAGCCTTTAGTCTTGGCAGGCCACCCACAGGGGCAAACCGCTGTTCCCAGTTCTCAGGATCAGAGGGCAGGCACCAGTCTTTGCCCACCTCCAGCCTCCCTGAAGGGAAATCCCTTCAAGAGGAAACGAAGGGGGACCCCCACCCAGCCCTCCAGCCCAAGGCCTCACCAGAGGAAGACACCCCCTTAAGCAATGATGACCCAGTGCAGTGGGGAGATGGATGAGACTGGAGCAAATCAAGGCCATCCTGGTGAAGGGGGCACAGAGGTGCCAGCAGCAGCCAGGGAGGCAATTAAGGAACTCATAAAAGGCTGAACCATTTCCGCAGGCTTTTAAACAGGAATCATAAAAAGTAGCTCCCACCTTCTCTGGGAGCCTGTTCTCTGGCTCAGCTGTGGATGGGAGCAGAAAGCAAAGGAGAAATAGTAAAGGTGGAGGGGAGTAATGTGGGCAGGTACCCTCACCCTTGTTCGTGCAGGGGAGAGGGAGAGGACTCTCAGGAACCCCCAGGAAATGTCCAGGGGTTGCCAGGCCAAGGGAGGGCACTCCTAGGCAAAGGGAGGGCTGTGAGAAGAGCTCTGCCCCCAGCATGGCCCTGCGGCCCCAGATGTGCTGTGTGACCTTCAGCAAGTTCCTTACCATCTCCGAGCTTTACCTTCCTGCTGTTACATGTGGATGGCATGGGGATTTCCTTGCCTCACAGGGAATATTGAGGAGTGAAATACCCTCCCTGAAAATGCTCTGTGAATGAAAAATACTCAATGTCATTTTGATTTCTTCTCCCGGTTGAGATTCGGTCTACTCTGTGGCCTCAGGAGGCGGGATGGTGAGGGAAGGAGGGAGGGGCAGCACAGAAGCTGGGAGCAGCAGTGTTCCCACCCCTCCACACTCCCTGCCTTCCATGCAGCCACCAGCAGAGGACAAGATCAATGGCATTCTCCTGGGCTTCCGGATCCGGTACCGGGAGCTGCTCTATGAGGGACTGAGGGGCTTCACACTGCGTGGCATCCACAACCCGGCAGCCAAGTGGGCAGAGCTTACCTGTGAGTGATGTCCAGTCCACAGAGTGGGGGGGATGATGGGGAGCACACACCTCCTTGCCCTGAAGCTCTCAGCTCCCCAGAAGCAACCTAACATGAAGCCCTGCTGCCCCCACCCCATGTATGCCTTTCACCCCCTCCCATTCAGTCACTGAGTATTTATTGAGCACCTACCACATGCCACCAGACACTGGGGGCACAGTGAACAAGACAGACGGGCTCCCGCAGGATCAAGGCACAGTCTGGTTCTCAAGGAGTAAACTCTGAAATAGCTAAGACAGTTGTGACAGCTGTGGAGGACATATTCCAGGAGAGCCTAAAGCCAGCATCAGAGCAGCTTACCTGGGATGGCCTCAGCGCCAACGCGGATGGATGACTCTGAGTCATACCTGTCCAAAGCAGGGGGAGGCCCCAGCACGTGCAGAGGGCCTGAGCAGGAAAGGAAGCCCCAGCAGTCTGGCCTCCTCTGGTTCCTTGGGGATGTCACCCTCCTGTCATCCTCGGATCCAGCCTGCCACTCGCGGCAGGAAGCAGAGAACCCAGGATCAGTGGAAATCCCAGAAGGACATGAGGAAGGAATGACCTGGTTGCACTTTGGGGTCAGAAGGCTGGCTTGGGCGGTGTGACAGTGACGGCAGGAAGAGGCAGGGGTCCAGGCAGAGGCTAACGCAGCGACCACGGCGAGAGCACAGGGTCAGAGCCTTGTGGCAGGTGTGGCTGGGCAGGAGATGGCAGGCTGTGGGCTCCTCTACTGATCCGCGGAGGCAGAGGGTCCGGGTGCCGGGGCAGGTGGTGGGACCCCCACCATCAGGAGAGGAGGCGAGCCACATAGGATCCTTCTGCTTTGATTCCCCTCCCCGAACTCCCTTGAACCTTTGGTGCCTTGTCTTCTAGTATTAGCAGACAAGAAGGCGATTGACTGCATAGCAGGGGAATATTAATAGGGACATAGCCGATCTAATGGCTTGTGTTATTTTCCTGTTTGTTTGGGATTTTTTTGCAGACATGCTTGTGGTTGTGGTTTTATGTGCCTATGTGGAACACAGTCATATTTCCTGGTGGTAAAATGGTTTCTGGTTTGTAGGAGAAAGTTAATGCCACCACCGTTGCATGGTGGTTCTCCGGGAGCTCCACCTTGGGCCAAGGAGCATGCTGGGAGGGGAGGGGACCCCAGAGCTGCCCCCAGGGTGCTGGGCCCCGGGGGGCTCACGGTGCCCTGTGACCTTCAGCCAGCACACGTGCGGCAGAGGCCGTGCTGTCCTGGGAGCTGCCTCCCCCATACTCCCACTCTGGCCCCTAACTCTGGTCAGGAATCCGGAGACGCCCTCCCTCCACCTGCGCCGCCAGCCCCCCTCTGTCCTGTCCCGCCCCTGCCGTTGGGTTTCTCAGCATAGCGCAGTGTGTGTGTGTACTAACCTCCTCTGTCTGCTGTCTCCCTCTGGCCCCCTCTGCCCCTGCCCCGCGCCCCCATAGCCATGTACTCCATGCGGAACCTGAGCCGGCCTAGCCTCACGCAGTACGAGCTGGACAGTAAGTCTCCTTGCATGGCAGCTCTGAGATCGGGGTGGCGAGTGGGGCCTCTGAGGATGCCTGCCCACAGGCGGAGGGGAGTGCCCACTTCTGGCTGCCTGAAGATGGGATCGCCCTTAATGCATGGGACTTTCCCAAAGCACACAAAAATGCAGAGATCACTGGGGTATGGACTGGACAAGGAAATGCATGGTCCTGGGCCCCCTCCGGCATGTAGGGTAACAAGGACAGGAGGTGTCCGGTAGGAGCTGCTGGGCCTGCTGGTTGGAGGGGCAGGCGGCCACACCACGGCCCCCCGCCCAGTCAAAGGCATTTTGGGACATGGTGCTGTCTTCCAGGCCCAGCGCCTGCCCTCCCTGGAATGAGCAAAGCCCCCATCTCAGCCCCAGGGATGGGGGGTGTTCCTGTGGGTGCCTGGCCCAACCGTCGGTCTTTCCCTGAAGTCCCAGCCAGAGTACCCCCAAGGGCCTGAGCCTAGGCCCTGTGGGGTGTGGGGTGTGGGGCACTCAGTCAGAAGCAGCATGAGTTAGATGCTAAACTGTCCTCCTTCCCCAGCCAGTGGCCCACGCAGGCTGCTTGGCCCGTACATTAGGGTGGCCCCCACTTACATCCTGGGTGAAGGGTAGAACTTGCCCCAGGAAAGGAAGAAGGGGGAAGGGAGCCCCAAGGGAGAGGGGGACCATTCGTCTACCCCCGAGCAGGGACAGTGACTCCCACCAGGGTGTCAGGGACCCATTTTCTTGTATCTGCTCCTTTCTCCCAGCTTCTGTCCAGACATCTCCCCCAAGCATCCCCAAAGTTGGCAAAATGTAGGATTTCTTAGCCCAAAATTCCCATCCAGTAAGCCTCTTCCCTCAGGGCTGAGCCCCTGTGTACCAAGCTGGTGGATGGGGGCCCGGCAGGGCTGGAGCTGGTGGGGAACGAGTGACCCAGAACCAGGACAGTTTTGGGTTCACGCCGCTTGTCCCAGTGTAAATATCAGAGGTGCCGCTTTCACTCCCCAAAGTGTCCAGGACGGTCACCCTTGGCCAGGAAGCCAACCCGAGTCATGCTGTGTCCTGATTCCCAGGGAGCAGACAGAGCACCCCCTGGCCGCCCCGCCTCTTACCTGCGCTTTCCTGAACCTTCTCCCAGGCACTAGAACCTCAGGGGCATGTCATTCACAGCTTCTACCCTCCATGCTGGCCCTGCCCCCTGCAAGGACGTGACCTCTGTGTGTTTCTCCCCTCCCCCACTCTCATCCCACAGACCTGAACAAGCACCGGCGATACGAGATCCGGATGAGCGTGTACAACGCCGTGGGCGAGGGGCCCTCCAGCCCCCCACAAGAGGTCTTTGTTGGAGAGGCAGGTGAGCACCACCTGCTCTTCAGACCCAGCACACCTTTGCCACCCCTAGAAACCCAGCTGCAGGAGATACGGGACCCGGGGGCCCCACCCAGCCCCCCTCGTCCTCCTCTTCCCGGAAGCCCACCTGCACCGCATACTCACGACCCCTCACACCCTCCAGTGCCCACAGCAGCACCCCGCAGCGTGGCCGTCCACAGCGCCACGGCCACACAGCTAGACGTGACGTGGGAGCCGCCCCCGCTGGAGAACCAGAATGGAGACATTCAGGGCTACAAGGTATGGGGCGCTCCGGCAGGGAAGAGGGCCCAGAGGGTCACAGGGGCCCTGTCGGGGGTTGGAAGTGACTTGTGGGTGGTAGGTGAGAGAGGTCCCCAGGGGGACACCTGTTCTCTTGGCTATTCACCCCCAATCCACTGACATTTGTGCAGTTGGAGTAAAACCACACCCATCCTCTCCGGCATTCTAAGGACAGGCTGAGCTCAGATGCAGGAAGCTCAGGCTGTGCCCCGGTTTGTATCAACTCCAGGCAACGCCCCCCACCCCCTGCCACCCCAGCCCTCTAACTCCCATGCCAATATAAGACCCCTCAAAATGGCTATTTGGCTAACCCCAATATAATATTGATGCCGGTCGGATGACCAGTTAACAAAGGACCACTAGGCTAGGACTTGAAAGTCTGTTAATGTTTGTGCCTGCTGTGTACATGAGGAGACACCCGGTTTAGGTGGCCCAGCAGTCTCAAAGAGAGCAGGCCTGCCAGCCCTCACCCTGCTGGGTCGGGGTGGAAACACAGGCAACCACCAGAGAAGGTGGCAATAAATGACACACATAACAACAATGTGTCTCCATGGGTTGGAGCCGTTGGGGTGCACAGCCCTCCACCATGTTTGAGGCCTGCCTCCTGGGCCAGTGTCCAGCACCACTCTAATTCCTGGTAGCCGTTTGTTGTCCCAGAGCCCAGTGCAATGGAGGGGTGGGAAGTGTGAGAGCTACCCGGGGCCCCTTGACGTACCTGGCTCAGCACCCCCCACTCCACAGGCAGGAACTGTTTCCACAATGGTAAGGGGCTTGCTGGGTCACATGGTTTGTTAATGTAGGCAGCCCCAGGGTAAGTCAGAACCGGTATAGGAGTCTCTGTCCATCTGGGGTGTGGGCAGGAGGGAGGGGGAATGGCATCTTGCCAAGGAAGCTCTAAAGATGCGTGGCACCCTGAGGGTCCTTGGCCAAGAGCGCCAGCTGGGAAAACTAAATATCACACCCCCAGCATATGCCACCCAAGGGGAAAACAAGGAGGTGGGGCAGAGCCGGCAGTGATGTGGTGGCCTTCGGACTGTCGGGGTGTGGAAGTCTCTGGTCCGTGTACAGCCCCAGGAAATGTGTGGGTGCACAGACGCTGTACACCACATAGCAGATGTCTGGGCTCCAGGAAACATCACCACCAGGGACGTGAACTGGGGAAGTGGAATTGCCGCCTCCCCTACATGTATTAACAAGCACTAACACCAATGATGTATTAGGGGCACTCTGTTGGTGATGTTAAAGCGAACTGCATTTGGGTCAGAGTGAGCTGTGACGTGTGCACGGGCAGGCATGTCCATGCAGCTACATTCTTCCAGTTACATGTTTATTGAGCCATTACTTTGTGCCCAGTGGTGTCCTTGGTGCTGGGAATAAAGCAGTGAGCTTAAATGCAAGGCAAAGATGACCAGTGATGTACAAAATAAACAGCACCTCTGGGTGGTGGTACCTGAAGCAGGTTGAGGGGACAGAGAGAGATCTAGGGGGAGATCTGAAAATTTACCAAGGGTCGTTAGGAAAGGTCTTAGTGAGAAGGTGACATCTGAGCAAAAATGAAGGATGTGAATACCATGGATCTGGGAGAACACTCCAGAAAGAGGGGAAGGAAGAGCAGAGGTCCCGGGGTTGGGGGTGCTTGGCATGCATCCGCCCAGCAAAGAACACCACGTGTCCCATGGTGAACGGGGGTCGACGTGACGGGAGACGGATCCGAGCAGCAACCTGGAGCCCTCTTACAGGCTAGGTGCTCACTCTGAAGGAGATGACAACCATGGGGGGACGGAGGCAGAGGAGTGACTTGGGTGACATGACTTTCTGAAGGGTTGTGCTGACTGCTCTGCTGAGAGTAGCCTGAAATGGGGAATGCACAAACCGTGAAGAGGGAGCCGAGTAACTGGCAGCTGAGAAACTGGGTGAGACGTGGTGGTAGACCAGGCAGTGGCCGTGGCGAGAAGTGTCAGCTCTCCACTTCCATTTGAAGGTATGGCTGGTGGGTTTGATCGCGAGCTCAGTGCAGAGTGTGAGAGGAGAAGCGACAAGGATGTCGGAGCAGCTGGGTGACAGAGCGTCCAGGTATAGGGCAGGCAAGGACAAAAGGCGACAGAAGGAGGCCTGCAGGGAGGCGCAGGAGTCAGCCCGAGACAGCTGTTGGATGTCCAAGGGGCGACACCAAATGGAACTGGATATACGTGTCTGGAGTTCAAAAGAGAGGCTCTAAACTGGAGATGTGAATTGTGGAGTTCTCAGTATAGAGCCCACAGACGTGTATAGAGAGCACAAGAAATCTGAAAATGGAGCCCTGGAACCAAAAAAAGTGAGGGAAATCTCAGAACCCACATGCAGAGCGTGCTTCCCAAAGGAGGAAGGAGTCCGACGTGCCAGCTAATACTGAGAGCGCAGGCAAGATGCAACGTGGGAAGCAGTTATTCAGGGATTGTCAGGCTACAGCCCATGGGCCAGATCTGGCCCACCACTTGTCTTTATAAATTAGGTTTTATTAAAACACAGCTATAGCCGTTGGTTTATGACTTGCCTTCACTACATTCAGATTACAACAGCAGACGTGAATAGTTGCAGCAAAGACCATGTGGCCTGCACAGCCTACAATATTTATTACCTGGCCCTTTACAGAAAACTGATGGCCCCTGAATTATAGCATTAATTAGGTCGAGTTCCTGGGTGACTCTAACAAGAGTTAGGGGTAGGGGATGCCTGCCTGCAGTGGATTCAAGAGAGAATGAGGGGAGGCAGTGAATGCAGACATCCTTTCTGAAGAATTTTGCTTTAAAAGAAGTAGCGAAATGGAAAAGGAGCTAGAAAAGAGATGGTCAACAGAGGGAGTTTTAAGACGGAAGAAATAGCTTGTGTGTATGCTGATAGAAATGATCCCAGGAAGAGGAAAGCTTTGGTGATTCAGGGAAGAAGTGTCAGGGCTTGAAGTCCCGGAGGAGGTGGTCAGGACTGGGACTTCGTGCACAGACGTGGGGTAGCCTTAGGGGGAGGTAGCAGTTCTGCCATGGTGGCAGGAGGGAGGAAGGTGTGACATTCTTCCAGTTTGCCAGCCAGTTGCGTGGCATGTGGCATGGACCTGATTTAACCAAGGCTGGAGTTTGCCTATGACAAAGCCAGAAAGGGCAGGGAATTGAGAATAGTGGCTGGAAGGTGGTGATTATGATTCACTCCTAACCTGCCCCTGCCTCTGTAAGGTGTTAATTCATTAGCCAACATTCACTGAGCACCAGGGCTGTGTCACGCATGTACCTAGGTGCTTGAGACACAGGGGAACCAACCAAGACATGGACCTCTGTGGAGCGTGCCTTCTCACAGACACCTGGCCACCTGTCAGTGTGTACTACGGCTGGGCGGTGTGCCCCCTCCGGGGCAACACTCAGCCCTCTGTGCCATTTGCACAAGCGTCAGTTGATCATCTGACGAAGGTCTGCTGAGACCGCCCCACTGATGTAAGCGTGGTCCTGGGTCCTGGGCGCCAGTCCTCCCCCTTACCCAAGAAATGACTCCAGCATTGACCCCTCTCTCCATGGACAGGGCATAAAAGCATTCCGGAATATGTTTCATTGTTTTCATGCCTTTTCCTGACCCTGCGTATTCTTCTAGCCATCAGCCATTTCTCTGGTTGGTCCCTGTATTTCAGCAGAGATCCTCAGATGAATTGCCTGTACCCACCCCCTGTCCTCCCAGAGTCTCTTGAACCCCCTCCAAGCAGGTTCTCGTTCCTGCTCCCACCCTCACCCCCACAGAAGCATGTCCCATCCAAGCCATGATCTTACCCTGTTGCTCATTGGCGGTCAAGGGCAGGCTTCGTCCTACCTGGCTCATTTAGCACCAGCGTTTGACTCAGTCATGTCTCCCTCTTCCTTGAAGTGCCTTCTTCTCTCGGCTCTGATTGCTGGCTGTTGCTCCTCTGTCCCTCTGCTATTCCAGCTCCTCCACCCAAGCACCAGGGCCCCAGGAATCACTCGTGACCCTTTCTCTATCTAGATGAACTCCCTTCATTTGCACTCACTAAGTACCATTTATGTGCTGAAAACCCCCAGATTTTTAGGGTGTGCTTTGCCCCTTCCCCATATTCAGCAGGAACTTTGTCTGCTCTTATCACCCTGTGACTATGAATGGGCGGAGTTAATGAATGAGTGGCTTAATGAATGACTACATCGACTCTCTCCTCTACCCATAGAGGAATCTCTAAAAAGAAAAGAAGGAAAAAGGGAGAGGATATATAAAAGTAGGGATTCGTGGTAACAAGATGTGCCAAGTGTTCACACATGCAGGCAGGTAGGTCATTTTTTATTAGCTTCCTCCAGGCAAATTCAGCAGCATGCAGAAACCCCTTGGGCCAGCAGGTGGCGCCAAATGCCCTCTAATCCTCCACGTGGCTCGGGCTCCCAGCATAGGTCCTAAAACCAGGCACAAACCTCTGAGTTTCTGACTGTGAGTGTTAATGCCGCTCAATGTGAAGTAATTGGAAGCAACGTGGAGCACTAGCTGTGCTCCTGGACTGAAACCTGCAGGCATCTGGTGGCGTCGTTCTCTGCTCCTCGCCTTTCGTCCAGTCCTGACGTTGGTCCAAGGAATTGGGGGTCCTTAACCCCACCATACAGACAACGAAACTAGCTCAGGGAAGTCCCCTAACCAAATCATACCATTAGCAGACAGTGCACTGGGGTTTAGCCCCAAGCTGGCTTTGCAAATTGTCGTGTGGGTGAATCCTTGGGGGCCTTATCAACCTGTAGATGCTGGTCAAGGGGGGGCCTGACACTGTGTCCCTGATCAGCTCCTATGTGCTGTCCCTGCACCCACTCTTAGTTGGGGTGGAATCTCCCTACACCGCTTCTCAGGTCCCTGCAGAACCGAGTTGGTTTACTCATCAGTAACTCTGTTCTGATGGCTGATGTAAGTCCCACAGGCAACGCAGTGAGCACAGACGGGTTCTGTGTCCTCATGGGGTTTAGACGAGCCGAGGCTGAAGTGTCAGCTGTGCAAAGGGAGTTTCTGGAAGGGCTTCTGAAACAGCTCTTAAATACTCCTATACTATTTCCTCGGTGGCTCACACCTGCCATCCAGGGTGGGTGGATGGTGACCCAGGGTGTCTCGGAGACCCTGGGGTAGGAGGGAAGCCGTGTCTCCATCTCACTGCTGAAATCCTCTGGGCCCACAGATTTATTTCTGGGAAGCCCAGCGACGGAACCTCACAGAACGGGTGAAGACGCTTTTCCTGGCTGAGAACAGCGTGAAGCTCAAGAACCTCACCGGGTACACTGCCTACATGGTCAGTGTGGCAGCCTTCAATGCCGCGGGGGACGGGCCTCGGAGCACCCCGACCCAGGGCTGGACCCAGCAAGCAGGTGGGGGAGAGAGGCTGCAGGGGGAGGCAGGGAGGTCGCCCGGGGAATGGAGGGGGGCCCACCTGGTGCCTGGGCTCTGGGGAGCGTAGAGGCAGTTGCCTTATCCTGCTGAGATCTGGGCTGGGTCCATAGGCACTGTGAGGTGTCCTCCACAGTGTGAGGGCACAGTTCAAAAACAGGGGCACATGTGAGCGCTCAGAAGAGAGAAGCTGTCCTCAGGAAGCCTTGGAGAGAGCCCCTGATCTCACCTACCCACCCCCATGTTGACCCAGTGGCCGCCTTACTGAGAGGCCGGCCAGTCCACACCCCACCAGCCCAGCTCTACTCCCTGCCTTGTTCCCGCCTGACTCATATCTGCCCGGCTTTGTTCCCTCCCAGAGTGCTTAGCAAACAGCCTCTGACGGCCCACACGGTGCTGGATGCAGGCAGCACACCAGCGAGGGAGAAGGACATGGTCCCCATCCTCGGGAAGGAGATCGTAGAGAGCACACACAGGAGCGACCCTCGGGTGGCTGTGTGAGGGATGGCGGGACGGAGGCGGGGGGCATGGGGGGCTGCGGACGGGTTTACCCACAGAACACCCGCTGAGGGGCTGACATCTGAGCTGAGGTTTGGGTGGGAGGAGGCTAGCTGTGGGAGGTTCCTGGAGGAAGGGTGCTCCAGGCAGAGGGAACAGCAGGTGCAGCGGCCTGGAGGCCAGAGGGGATTAGCAGCAGAGAGAAAACCAGGTGACTCGAAAGAAAACGGGCAAGAGGCAGGTGGTAGAGGGCCTGGGGCCTTGCAGGGAAATTTGAAATTGATTCGAAGTGCAGTGGGGAGTCACAGGTGGGCTTTTAAGGGGACAGGAGCTGGCTTATGTTTTTAAAAGATCACTCTGGTTGCTGCGGGGAAGACAGACTGATGGAGAGGAGGGATGGAGGCAGGGAGGCCAGTTAAGAGGCTGGACAGCAGGGCCAGGGCAGAGGAGAGGGTGCTGATAGGAATCCAGCTGGCCCCCTGTGCAGGCCCGGCCTACGCATGCTGTTCAGCGCCACTTGCCAGGCGGTATTATACGTGATCCTTCCGGAAGCCCTGGGAATAGGCCGGGCAGGCGCTGCCCCCACTTCACAGGGGCAAGGGTGGCCTGGCAAGTGATGCTTCTTGCTGGGTCCCTGGCCGGTCAGCGAGGGGGCAGAGGCTCGAGTCCAGGATATCTGTTCGTCCCGGTTATCTGCACTGCGCCGGCCCCCATCCTGTGCCTGCCGTCCACTTCCCTCCTCATGGATTTGAACACAGGCCTTTTATCCTGCCCTCTTTCCCAACCTGCTCCTTCTCATTCTGTAAATTACCTTTTCTCTGAAAGAAACTAAGACCCGTGGAGTCAGTTCCTAAGTACTGTCCTTTCTGGGGACAAGTCCTGGCTCCAGGGAAACCCCTTTCCTCCACTGGCTCCGGAGGGTCTGTGTGCCTGTTGTCCCAGTTGCTCTCTGTCAGTGTCATCGGCCAGATGTGGGCCACCAGGGGCTGGAAGCTTCCGTCAGCAGGACAAGGTGGCTCACACCTGCCATCCAGGGTGGGTGGATGGTGACCCAGGGTGTCTCGGAGACCCTGGGGTAGGAGGGAAGCCGTGTCTCCATCTCACTGCTGAAATCCTCTGGGCCCACAGATTTATTTCTGGGAAGCCCAGCGACGGAACCTCACAGAACGGGTGAAGACGCTTTTCCTGGCTGAGAACAGCGTGAAGCTCAAGAACCTCACCGGGTACACTGCCTACATGGTCAGTGTGGCAGCCTTCAATGCCGCGGGGGACGGGCCTCGGAGCACCCCGACCCAGGGCTGGACCCAGCAAGCAGGTGGGGGAGAGAGGCTGCAGGGGGAGGCAGGGAGGTCGCCCGGGGAATGGAGGGGGGCCCACCTGGTGCCTGGGCTCTGGGGAGCGTAGAGGCAGTTGCCTTATCCTGCTGAGATCTGGGCTGGGTCCATAGGCACTGTGAGGTGTCCTCCACAGTGTGAGGGCACAGTTCAAAAACAGGGGCACATGTGAGCGCTCAGAAGAGAGAAGCTGTCCTCAGGAAGCCTTGGAGAGAGCCCCTGATCTCACCTACCCACCCCCATGTTGACCCAGTGGCCGCCTTACTGAGAGGCCGGCCAGTCCACACCCCACCAGCCCAGCTCTACTCCCTGCCTTGTTCCCGCCTGACTCATATCTGCCCGGCTTTGTTCCCTCCCAGAGTGCTTAGCAAACAGCCTCTGACGGCCCACACGGTGCTGGATGCAGGCAGCACACCAGCGAGGGAGAAGGACATGGTCCCCATCCTCGGGAAGGAGATCGTAGAGAGCACACACAGGAGCGACCCTCGGGTGGCTGTGTGAGGGATGGCGGGACGGAGGCGGGGGGCATGTGGGGCTGCGGACAGGTTTACCCGCAGAACACCCGCTGAGGGGCTGACATCTGAGCTGAGGTTTGGGTGGGAGGAGGCTAGCTGTGGGAGGTTCCTGGAGGAAGGGTGCTCCAGGCAGAGGGAACAGCAGGTGCAGCGGCCTGGAGGCCAGAGGGGATTAGCAGCAGAGAGAAAACCAGGTGACTCGAAAGAAAACGGGCAAGAGGCAGGTGGTAGAGGGCCTGGGGCCTTGCAGGGAAATTTGAAATTGATTCGAAGTGCAGTGGGGAGTCACAGGTGGGCTTTTAAGGGGACAGGAGCTGGCTTATGTTTTTAAAAGATCACTCTGGTTGCTGCGGGGAAGACAGACTGATGGAGAGGAGGGATGGAGGCAGGGAGGCCAGTTAAGAGGCTGGACAGCAGGGCCAGGGCAGAGGAGAGGGTGCTGATAGGAATCCAGCTGGCCCCCTGTGCAGGCCCGGCCTACGCATGCTGTTCAGCGCCACTTGCCAGGCGGTATTATACGTGATCCTTCCGGAAGCCCTGGGAATAGGCCGGGCAGGCGCTGCCCCCACTTCACAGGGGCAAGGGTGGCCTGGCAAGTGATGCTTCTTGCTGGGTCCCTGGCCGGTCAGCGAGGGGGCAGAGGCTCGAGTCCAGGATATCTGTTCGTCCCGGTTATCTGCACTGCGCCGGCCCCCATCCTGTGCCTGCCGTCCACTTCCCTCCTCATGGATTTGAACACAGGCCTTTTATCCTGCCCTCTTTCCCAACCTGCTCCTTCTCATTCTGTAAATTACCTTTTCTCTGAAAGAAACTAAGACCCGTGGAGTCAGTTCCTAAGTACTGTCCTTTCTGGGGATAAGTCCTGGCTCCAGGGAAACCCCTTTCCTCCACTGGCTCCGGAGGGTCTGTGTGCCTGTTGTCCCAGTTGCTCTCTGTCAGTGTCATCGGCCAGATGTGGGCCACCAGGGGCTGGAAGCTTCCGTCAGCAGGACACAGTGTTCTGTCCCATGATCCTCTAGCCGAGGGAAGGCAGGAAAGGCCCCCTGCGCTCGCCTCCCTCCTTCAAAGACTCCTCGCTGACGCAGCCTCTGGGAGCTGGAACGGAAGCCGGACCGGATTAGCTGAGGCTCAGTGGGGGGTGATAACAGCCTGGTGGTGGCATGGCACTGGAGCCCGTGTGGGGGCTGCTGCTGCTACGTCCAAGCTTCCTTCCCGTCCCTCTGTCCTCCCCATCACATCCCTCCACCCCCGTGTCTCTGGGGTCATTCCAGGGTTCTCAGGCCAAGAAAGCATCCCTTCAGGAGGGTTTGACTGTCCCTGGCTCTGGCTGCTTGTGACAGCGCCGTCTCTCAGTGACAAGCCCTGCAGACCCAGGGCACAAGAGAAAGGCCACATCCATGGCGGTTCTGGCATCTAGCTCAGTGCCCACCTAATGTTCTAAAACCAGGACACCCCTTGCCTTCTCCACAAGGGAAGCCGAGAGACAAGCCCCCTAAAGCCAGCCATTGCCTGGCCCGGCAATGACCCTGGGTCACAGGTATGTCCTGCACTCTTGGCCAGGCCTCCAAGCCCCTCAGCAGGAAGGAATCTGAGTTCTCCAGGCTTTAGGGAAAAGAAAGTTTCCTTTCCTCCCAATTCTTGGATTCTGACACTGGAAAGAGTGCTGACATCGTCGGTGGGGGAGGGGAGGGCGCTCTTGAACCCTGGCGGCCTCTCCTGCCCTGTCCTGGGCAAAGGCCGACTCTCTTGTTCTTCCAGGGGCCCAGACCCAAATGCCCCTGCTGGTCCCTCAGAGCCAAAGGGCTCTGAACGTCACGGAAGGAGGAAACCAGACCCTTGGCCCTCTCCCCACAGCCCCCAGTGCTCCCAGCTCAGTCAAGTTCAGCGAGCTGACCACGACCTCTGTGAACGTGTCCTGGGAGGCCCCGCGGTTCCCCAACGGCGTCCTGGAGGGCTACCGGCTGGTGTATGAACCCTGCACCCCAGTGGACGGTGAGTCGGCCTCCTTGCACGGCCCCTAAACCCACCCTTCGCAAGGGCCTTCCCTCCCCGAGATGTCCCCTCTCTGTCTCTGTGCAGTCGGATGTGGTGGGTGTCCCCTCAGCTTATAAATGGGGAGACAGAGACCTGGGCAAGGGAGGGCCCTTTCCAAGGTGACCCCCAGCAAGCCGGGGGCAGGGTCAAAAGAGCAACCTAACTCCCCAGAGAGGGTCTGTAGATAGATTTCTTTCCCGTCAGTCAGTCATGGAAGTAGGCACGGGAGGAGGGGGCAGTTATAGCATCCCGGGGTGGGCAGGTCTCTGCCAGGTCCGTGAAGATGGGGGAGGCCTGGTGATCCTGTCCTGTGCTTGCCTCCAAAACATGGGGTCTTGACTTTAGGCCTTTGTGGGGTGAGGAACTCCTTTGAGAATCTGATATCACCTTGGAGCCCATCCCCAGAAAGAAGCACAAATTGGGGCCCAGGGGTCACTGCACCCCTGTTTCCTTGGTGACCCTCAGGGTGAGAGCCCTGGTCTGCCACCTGCCTCTCTGACCTGACCCTGCTGCCTGCGTGGCCTTCAGAGCCCTCCCTGCAGCCCCCGTCCCACCCCATCCTCTGGCCCTGGCTAAGACCCTGGCCTGCTCCCAGGCCAGGCCGTGCTAACCCTTGCCATGGACGGCAGACACTTCCCAGCTTTCTACCCCACAGCCGATGAGAGTGAGCCCGGGCGAGTCCAGAACTCACTCCTGTTTAGAGAGGCAGGAAAAGCCTTGGGCTGCTGCTTGCCTGGGTCCTGTTCCAGAGCCCAGACAGGCCTCGAGGGTGTGGCTGGCCAACCAGGCAGTGCCCTCGTGGCCAGAGGTGACTGCTTCTGGGGTCACCCCTCGCTCTCACCCCTCCCTGACCACACAGAGCTGGGCCAGAGCAAGGGGTGGAGCCTTGGGAATACTACAGCGGCCAGCAGTTCTGGGTCAGTCCAGGGAACAATGGCCCTCAGTCTCCCCGGCCACCACCTGCATGCCAGCAGCTCACAGTCGGCAAAGCGGCACTGTGTACTGAGGGGAGCTGGGTCCCAGGAGATGCAGCCGGGTGCTGGGCCAGGAAAGGGGCCGTCCCTCCCACAGGCAGGACCGGATGGGACAGAGGTCACAGGATGAGATATGGGTGGATGGTACAGTGACCTCCACCTGGCCTCCCTGGGGGGCTGCCCTCCAGTCCCTCTGTCCAGCCGCCCTGCGACAGCCCAGCTAACAGGACTGTCAGGCCCAAGAGCAGCTCCATGATGTTGAACACTGCATCTGCACCCCAGCCCAGGTCTCAGCCCTGGGTGCAGGTCAGCACCAAGCAGGCCTCGCGAGAATTCCCTTTCCTGTAGGGACCACCACGCCCCGCAGATGTGGGGTTTGCCAGAAATGTCAAGGAGCAGATACCCAGAGCTGCTGTTCCGGGTCCTGGGGCATACCTGGGGCTTTCAGACACATGTGGAAATACAAGCCGGCATTCTGTGGGATTCTCAGGGGGCTAAGGCAGAGGAGAATAGGGCGGGCTGGGTGTCCAGGTGTGAGGGCTCACAGGTTATGTCATTCCTCAGGAGTAGCCTTTGAGCTCCCATTATTCTGTCATTTACTTCATTCAGTAAATTTGGGGGGCACCTACTGTGTGCCAGGTGCCCTGTTATTTTATTTAACCTTATAACATCCTATCAATGCTATCAATTCCCTCCTTCAGTTGAGCAAACTGAAGCCGGGTAGGGGCGTGCCCAAAGGCCTCCGGGACCAGCCCGCAGCTGCAGACCCCGTCTCCCAGCGGCGACCAGCACGCTCAGGGGACCTGGGAGATGAGACCCCAGTCCCGGCCCGCGGGGAGGCTGTCGGTCAGCAGGATTTGGGCTTGTGAGGCTCCGAGCACGGGCTCCCACCTCCTGACCACCTTCCCAGGCATCCCCTCTCATTGCCGTGATTTGGGGTGCAGTTGATGGGGGTTCTGGTGGGGAACTCCTGGCTCTTGCTGGCACATGAGAAAGGAGGGAAGGTCAGGCAGACTGGGGTTGTCCTCTGCTGTTGGTACTGGCTGCAGCGTGTCACCTCCAACTCCGGACTGTGGTGCCCCTGCAGAGGCACTTTCTGAGAGACGGTCCTGGGATTCAAGTTCTGTGGGCTGTGACGTGGAGGAATAAACATGGGGGTAAAATAGACTTGGGGTGCAATGGGTGCTGAGCTGATTTTTCCCTCCAGATGCTGGATATTTGGCAGACAAATAGGTGGCATATAGCTCATCTCGAATTAACTGTGGAGCCCTTTCTGAGAACAGCGTGCAGGACTGTGTTCTGAGAAACAGTTGGGAAGCATTGTGTGGCCGAGGTGCCTGTCGCAGCCCGATTCCGAGGGGGTGGAGCCCTTGGCCGAGGTCTGCCTCCCCCCCACCTGGCTTCCACCTGCCCCGCAGTCCCCACATGCCATGCTTTTTCCCCAGGAGTCAGTAAGATTGTGACAGTGGATGTGAAAGGGAACAGCCCCCTGTGGCTGAAAGTGAAGGACCTGGCAGAGGGGATGACCTACAGGTTCCGCATCAGAGCTAAGACCTTCACCTACGGGCCGGAGATCGAAGCCAACGTCACCACGGGCCCGGGAGAAGGTAGGGGAGCATGGGGCAGACATGGAGCTGCTGCTGTCCGCACACTGCGTTCAGCCCCCCAAGTCGGAAAGGGCCATGGAGGGCCATGGGAGAGCCTGGAGGTGCAGAGGCCAGGCAGCCAGGTCTCTGGCAAAGCTCTCACACCTGGCAGAGCCGCAGCTCGGGGGTGGGGTGGGGGGGGAGTGTGAGAGGTGAAGGGGAGCACTTAAAGGAGGTGATCGGGGAAGACTTCATGGTGAGGCTTTCAGATACACGTGGAAATACAAACCTGCATTCTATGGGAATCTCAAGGGGCTAAGGTGGAGGAGAACAGGACGGGCTGGGTGTCCAGGCGTGAGGGCTGTGGAGGGTCACCTGTGCCATCAGAGTGCTTCTCAAGGTGCATTTTCATCAGAATCCTCGTGGTTCTTGTGGTAAGTGCAGATTCTGGGGCCACAGGAAATCAGAATCCGAGCATCCACCTTGGAAGTGTGCATTTGAACAAGAGCTGGGGGTAGCCCTTGGGCATGCGCTGTGCGAACCGCTGCACTGAGCGTTTTCAGGTGTAGGAAGAGGGGTTCTGAGCGACCAGGGGCAGGGGACCTGCTGAGCTGCATCCTTTCTAGGCTGAGGTTGCCGGGAGAGGGAGTCACCTGCTTTGGGGACCAGGGAGGGAAGATTGGCTCAGTTCTGGCTTTGTGACACCTCTTTGGGCTGAGGAAATCCTTCAGGTCACTGCAATGGCTGAAGTTGAGTTCCGCAAGGTCACTGACACCCAATGCAGGGTGTCCCCTCCTGCCCCCTCCGCCCTGAGAAAGTGCACAGCCCACCCCAAACTTCCCCTGAGATGCCCCTCCCCCTCCTCCCCGCCCCACCAGCCCGGGGTGGATGAGGCCAGCTTGGCCCAGCCTCTGTGAGGTGAGGACGGGCTGCCTCCCTGCCTCTCACCTGCCCCTGGGTTTGCCCTTCCTGCTGGCTCAGGCCAGCCACTCTCCACTTTCTCTTTCTGGGCACTTTCTATTCCCTGCCTCTTGTTCTACAAAGACTCTGTCTGGCTCCTGGGCTCCGTTGAGCCTGCAGGAGAGAGCTTGCCCATTTGCTGCCCAGCTCTGCCCTTCAAACCTGCCCCCAGCCCCTCCTGTGCTGCCTCTCACCTGAGCCAACCTCCCCGGGAAACAACAGGAAGAGAGCTGGCAGGGACAGAGGGCAGTGTGGGGACAGAAGAGGGCCATCCAGAGGACAGGCTGTTCTAACCTGAGGCTTGAAGTGTCCCAGGCGGGGGTGGGCGGGAGTGACAGGAAGTACAGAGGTGCTGAGGGGGCCCTCTGACACAGCACGGAGCCGCGCCTGGTGGGTGTGGGTGAGGAGGGGTCTGCAGGGGAAGATGTGCAGCAGGGCGTCCTTCTCCCTCTGGGCCAGGCAACGGCTGAATATGCTGGAAGCTTCTCGTCCTGGAGGAGAGGACAGCTCCTCTCAGCCCTGAGGGCTGCCCTGTGCAGAATGAGAATTTGCAGTCCTGAGAACCCCCGCCCCGCCCTCCACACCCCCTGGTCTCTCAGCCGCCTTGGCCCTGTGATGGAGGCAGGGTGCACATTACGGAAGGAAGGAAGGGAGGAAGGGAGGAAGGAGAGTGGGCCCTCTGAGGCCGTGGGCTGGGACTGGGCACTGCCAGGCAGTGGGCTGCCAAGCTCTGGTCCTGAGCCCCTGGAGAGCTGTCTGGCCTGCCAGCTCTCCTGGGCCCAGAGGATCTTCAGTCTGAAGCCGACCATGGCTTCTTTCCCAGCAGGCATCCACAGGGCCGCCTGGCGCCCACCTGCCAGTCACCTGCCCACCCACCCACTCACTGGCTTGTTCTCTCATCCCATGAGCATGTGGGAAGGGCTCTGTGTGCCAGGCTCCGGGGTGTGTGAGCTCCAGGTCTAGTGGGGAACTGGCATGTGGGTGACGGCACACGGGGTCTGAGGCCTGGGGGCAGCGGGAGCCTGGGGGACAGGCCCTGGCCTGCTCTGCAGGGCACCCCCAGGGAGATGGGGCTCAGGATCCTTGACAGATAGAACTGGCTCACTGCTCTCACTGCAGAAGTAAGCTCCTCTCTCCTGCCCTGGCTCCTGGGGCCTGGACCCGTGTGGCCAACGTAACAACTGCCACCCTGATGCTCTTGCCAAGCCAGAAGAGCCCGCCGAGGGGCCCAGTTCCCCCTCCCATTAGTAGTGGAGGCCCCAGGGAGGCCCTGTCTCCTCTCCCAGCCTTGTGGCAAATGCAGCTGGGGTGGGGGACTTCAGGCACAAGGCAGAGAGGGCGTCATCACAGGCCAGGAGAGGAGGTGCCAAGGGCCCTTCAACTGCCTCCAAACCAACGCCCTCTTATCACAGACCCATTCCGCCATCATCACACCCACCTCTGCTGCGTGCGCGCGCGCGCGCACACACACGCGCGCGCACACACACACCGCGCAACACCCCTTTCAAGCCTTACCTTCCGGAGACCCCTGCAAATGGGCCGAGGCACTGGGGGCCGATGTAAGTAACAGTCACCTGGCTAGTAAGTTCTGAGCTGGAACCAGAGACCTGGGTCTCCTTAGGGAGACCCTCCTCCAAGAGTTTTTCTGACCTCACCCCATATGCCTCTCCTTCCCTGGAATCTGGAATGTGCAGGGGGGTGTGTGACCCGGAAGAAAACACAGTCGGATCCAGCAGGCCTGGCCTGAGCCTGGTGGCCCGGGCATCGGCACCTGCAGGGTCTTTGCAGACTCTGGGGCTGGGGCTCAGTTTGTCACCCAGCCCCTCCTGCTGGAGTGCGGGGACCCAGGCTGGGTGCCCCTTCAGCTTCCCTACTTCCACTTTGCCCTGTGTGCTGTCTGCAGGTGCCCCGGGCCCGCCTGGCGTGCCCATCATCATGCGGTACAGCTCTGCCATCGCCATCCACTGGTCCAGCGGCGACCCCGGCAAAGGGCCCGTCACCCGCTACGTCATAGAGGCCAGGCCATCAGGTACGCCCGCCCCGGGCTGAGCCGGCTCTCCCTCGGGAGTGAGATCCAGGTCTCCCTGCCTCCCTCCTCCCCGGGCCTCCCCACCTGGCGCACTTTGTCTTTCCTCCCCAAGAAGACCCCTGTGTGACTCCAGGTGGAGCTGGTGGGGCCCTGTGGCGCATGGGAGGTGGGGCTCGTGCTCTTCGTTAAGGAGCACCCAGGAGGCCCTCGGAGAAGGGCGGGCACCTAATGCCAGGCGAGCACCCACTGGGGTGGAGCATTCCTGCAAGACGCCAGAGGCGTGAAGGTGTTGGCTTCACTTGGACTCCTGTGTCCTCCCTGAGATCCCCCTGACCAACACCCCCAAAGGAGGCCACTGTCTCTGAAGACCCCAGCAGCCTCCTTAAGGGCTGCCTCTGCCTCAGTTTCTGTCTTGGCAGTTCCTATAACTGTGCCAACTGAAATCGAATCCCAAGACCTCCCAAAGCCATCCCAAGAGGAACACAGAGAAGTCGCCCCAGGGGGCTGCTCTCCACCTCCTGTTTCGTATGCGCTGTGACGCAGACTTCTCCAGGCTCCCCTTACCCACAGGAGCCCTCCGCCACTGCCAGCTCCCTCTGTTGCTAAGTTTCTGAGTTAATCAGCGGTGCCAGGGTTGGCAAGGACCTGGAGGCTTGTTCTTGGTATTCCATGGGTCCGTGATTGGGTAATTGAAGCTGAGAAAGAAAAAAAAGATTTTGTTGCTCCAGCGTGAACAGTAAATAATAATCATAATGAGAAGTAGTCAGGCCTGTCAGCAGCTAATACTTCTAATGGGAAGCATTGAAAAACCCCAGTGATGAACTTAATACCTCAGGGTAGATGAGTGCTAATCATTTAAATAGCCAATAGTTAATTCCGGGGATCCAGGAAGCTGCTACCACCCCACCATTGCCTTAATCTTAAGCTAGTAATTGCAGTCGCAAAAAGCTATTGCATGCAGCAGCCCAGACCCAGTATGTAGCTGGAAGATGTACACGGGGTTGGCTCTTCCCCGGCTCCAGATGGTCCCTCCCCAGCCCTCCAGGGCCGGCTGCTGAGTTGGCCAGGAGACCATCGCGTGCTTATCCCAACCAGGGCCCATGCCTGTTTTTTCCATCCAGCTTGGCCAACTGGGGTGCCAGGCTGTGGAATGTTGGCTCCAGACCTTGGCCTGTTGATTTTCCAAGGTTCCCTGGGAGGCCCAGCATGGGGCCTGGTGTTCCAGGTTTGGGGGCTGTGACTTAGTCCACACAGGTGGGATCAAGGACCCAGCGTAAGAGGAAGAACTGAGCCAGTGCCCCCAAAGGATAGGGTGTCAGAGCAGTGCCCAAGAGCTGGTGGCAGGGACAGAAGGCTGCAGGAGAGGATGGAAGGCAGAGGGAATGCCGTGCCCCTCCCTGCCCCTCTCATGGGGTGGGCACCCCCACCTCCAGGCCTCCTGGTTCTACATCCTCATCTTCAGGATGAAATAGCCCGTCCTCTGCAACCCCTGCATTGCGCGGGCTTCATGCGTGGTGGGACCAACTAAACACACACACCTACACACACAGAGCAGCCATGGAACTATAGCCCAGGGAGGGATTCCCTCAGGCCCCCGGCCCCTGGGACCCATCCCACGCATCAGACGGTGCACTGGGCTGGATCCGGCCAGCCTCTGGCCTGGCCCTGTTGCCGGCTCCACCCTGTGTTTCTGTGCGGAGCAGAATGAGGTGGGTCAGACAGCAGGCAGGAGGCCCCAAGCTTCTGGAGGCAGTCCTGGCCGAGCTCATCTGGCAAACACTGAGACGGCTGCTGACTGTGTGCGGCTCCATCCTGGGCACCCAGGGGCCAGTTCAGTGCTGAGTGTCGGACAGCTGTGGGCTGAAACACCAGCTCTGCCATTCAAGGTAGCATGACCTTGGGAAGATGAGCTCGGCTCTCTCCAAGCCTTGGTGTCCTCGCCTGTAGCATGGGTACAGTGTCGCTTCGGATATGAACAGTAAGGTCTCAGAACCACAGTGCTTGGCAAGGAATGAGGGCCACCGCTGTACCATCAGCATCGTTATCACTGTGACTGTCATTACAGGGCTGTTACAGTATTTTCTTGGTATTATATATGTATTAGTGTTTTGCAAACATTTTAATAAAAACAGTAAAGGGGTCAGATACTCCAAAAAAGACAACTAAAAAAAATATCTGAGACAGTGTTGGCAAGGCAGATCAGACACATCCTGCTCTTGGGGGGCACCAGGATGGGGGACTCCTTCTCATGGGTGCCACCTTCTCTTCACTCTCGCAGATGAGGGCCTATGGGACATCCTCATCAAAGACATCCCCAAGGAGGTGACCTCCTACACATTCAGCACAGACATCCTGAAGCCAGGCGTGAGCTATGACTTCCGGGTCATCGCAGTCAATGACTATGGCTTCGGCACCCCCAGCAGCCCCTCCCAGTCTGTGCCAGGTAGGGCTGAGGGGTTGGGGGGTGCCCCCCAGAAGATCCTGTGGCAGAGGCTGGATGATGAGCCCCAGAATCATTGGGGTGGCACCAAAAGGCATTGTCCTCTCAGTTCTCTGAGGCAGTGAGCCTTGGACCACAGCCCCCGTCAGCTTTCAACAGCGGAAGCAGCTGGGGACCATGCATCTGGGGGCTCTTCTGCAAGCCCTGGGCAGGGGCTCGGGGGCTTGCAAGGAACCGGTGGTCCCAAGACAGGGGCTACTATGAGCTCATCACCCAGGAGGCACGAGGGTACCAGGCCGTAAACTCTGGGGTTCCATGGAAACTGCCCCCAAAACAGCCTGTGGAGCAGTGCCCAGGTCCAGGGGGACTGCCACCCACCCCTTCTTGCTCTCCCCACCCCCATCCAGGGTGTCTCAGAGCTCACAGAGCACTCTGATATCAAAACCCAGGCCTCCAAGTGTAATCACTAACCGCTTTTAATGCTAAGGCCCCTTCCCTCAAGGCAGAAATCTAACTCAGAATTTCACCTCGCTGGGTGAGTCTGCGAAGCCTGGGCACCTCCCCATTGCCAGGTGGGTAAAACCAGGCCGTGGGGAGTAAGGCTGTGGCACTGATGCCAGAGGCCGGCCCCTGCCAGGGGGCATGGATCAGGCTGCTGAGAGGGGGAAGCACAGTCCTGGGGGCTTTGAGGAAAGGGAGCCCTGCCTGGACGAGGCACTTTAAAGACCACTTGTACCTACCCTCCCAGCTCTGCCGCTTTCTGCTCCCACAAAAAGAGCCAGTCCCCTCTGAAGCCTGGGAAAAGTTTTCCAGGTGCCCCACAGGTCAGACAGGCACCTTTCAACACAAATTTGGTTCTGCCTGTCAAGGTAGGCCCTAGGCCATGGGCAGCAAGGGGGGAAAAAGGAAAAATAGCAACACACTGCTACTCCCCCCTCCCGTGTCTGGCAGACATCACCGATCAACCCCAGCACTGTTTTCTAGTGAGTCCAAAAGCAGCCTCCGAACTCTTCTCAAAACAGCCTCCAGGTAGCCCTCTACCAGCTGATCAGAGCTGGCCCTCGAGAGGAAACTGTCCCAGCCAACCTTCTCTAGGTCCTGCCTCCCTCAGAGGGCACAGAGGCCTCCTGCCCGTAACCTGAGAGCCGGTGGTGGGGTCCCAGCTGGAGCGGGAGGTCTGGAGGCGGGAAGGGACTAAGCCCCCTGGACCTGACACCCCCGTCCGTGTCCCAGCCCAGAAGACCAGCCCGTTCTACGAGGAGTGGTGGTTCTTGGTGGTCATTGCCCTGGTCGGCCTCATCTTCATCCTGCTTCTGGTGTTCGTGCTCATCATCCGAGGCCAGAGCAAGAAGTTCGCCAAGAAGACGGACTCGGGTGAGCTGGCACCCAGCCCCACCGGCTGGGCGGGGCGTTCCCAGGTCGGCCTTCCTTTCGGCAAGGGCGGGGTAGGGGTCTCTCTCTCCTGGAAACGCCCCTGCTCTGGTCAGCTGGGCAGCCCAGGGTTCCACACACTATCTCCATGTCCTCTTGGTTTCAACTCTTTAACAAGGGAAAGAGCAGACAGCCCGGCCAGGTGGGGGAGGTGAAGGCAGCCGGCCCAGAGGGATGGAGTGAGTGACTGGGTGTCAATCTCCCCACCAGGCAACAACGCAAAGTCTGGTGCCCTGGGCCACGGGGAGATGATGAGCTTGGATGAAAGCAGTTTTCCTGCCCTGGAACTCAACAACCGGCGGCTCTCCGTCAAGAACTCCTTCTGCCGAAAGAACGGCCTGTACACCAGGTGTGGCTCTCTGCATGGGGAACAGGAGGATGGAGGCTTGAGGACCAGCAGCACCCCTGGACAGGAAGACTCTTGGGCGGGCTCCATAGCAGGCGGTGCCCGCTCGGCCTCACCGTGTCCTGGAAATGGCATTCATGCTCAGAGGCTAGGAACTGTCAGCAAGAAGACACGGTGGGGGCCAGGCAGCACCACCAGGGGCTGGGGGCTGCAGCCGGGGGCTGGGGGCTGCAGCCGGGGGCTGGGCACACCAGGGAGAAAGTCACAAGGAGGGGGTACAGAGGGTGTCTGCTAATGACAGCAAAATTCAAATAACTGGCAAAATTTTACAAACCAACCTCCTGCTGTTGGGAGCCAGCGGCTTCTAATAACAGGCTGAAGCCATGATAGTCACTTGCCCAAAGGCGAGATGGACCCAGCAAAGGTAGGCTAAGCAGGCACACTTGAGTGGGAATTGCCAGCGCCCTCCAGGACGTCTTACGCCTTACCTGTGGCCCTCCCAGTTCTGGAAAGAAAGGGCACTCAGACTGCAAAAGCCCTCCGCCCTGAGCGTTCTTCACACCTACGGTGGTTCTAAGGCAGTTTTCTCCACCCTCAAGTCCACACCACACATTGTCCTCCAAGGGCACATCTGGGAGCAGCCAGCCAGGGAAGGTCCAGGCTGGCAGCGACCGCTCCTGTGTCTCCTGACTTCTTCCCGACCCAAGTGCCCTCCTAGCCCATCCCCATGGCAGGCCACACTGCCAGTTTCCAAGGGCGAGGGCAGCTTCTGGGGCCCACCTGAGCCTCGCCTTATGTGGCCTGGCAGTTTTATGCTCCCAGGAGCTTGGGAGAGACTGGAGACCTGCGGTGGCCTGCCTCCCGCCTCCCTATTAGCATTCCCTGCTCATCCGACTTGGCCTCTCCCAGGCAGCTCACAAAGCTTCTCTCTGTCTCGTCCTGGAAGGAAGAGGCGATGTGTGTGTTCATCAGGAGGACAGAGGGAGGGGTGTGCAGGCCGGCAGGCCCAGCTCTCATCCCCCGCCAAATCCAGCTTTCCAAAGAAAGAGCCATTTGAGGTCACAGCGGTGGGCCCAGCACGGCCACCATAGCCCCACCAGCCTGGCTCCAGGGCCCTGCCACATGGAACAAGGGGACATTTCACGGATGGCCTGGCCTTGCTTGCCTCTCACACCCACAGTGTACACACACAGTGACCCCCACGTGTCCCCTTCACCACTGTGTATACCCGGAAATTCCAGCTGCACCAGAGCAGCCCCAGGCTCCAGGAGCCTGACCAGCCACAGGGACAGCCCCACGCCCTCTGCGTGTCGTCAAGACAGTGTTAACCTGGCACCCCGCTTCCTCGTGTCATGCATCTGCCTCCATGAGGCTACTGCCAGTATTGTTACTGTTTTATTTTTAAGTAGTTAAGGATGTGACTTTGTTGACTGCAATAAAGTCAGTGCAGATATAATACAAGAGGTTGGAGGTGGCAGGGCGTTGCTTGTGATAGAGTCCCAGGTACAGGACTGTTTTCAGAGCAGCATTTCTGAAGCAGACTGATGTTGGCCCTGTGGATGACAGCTGGGGTTCAGAGCCACAGCTCTAGAAAACCTTCCAGGAGCAGGCCGGGCAGATCTCAGGGCATCAGGCCCTGAGCAGTGTCCCCCTTGTACCCTGTCCTGAGGAGATACATCCAGCGCAGAGTCGTGAAGGACCCTGCCACGGGGCCAGTGACCCCTGGAGCCCCCCAGGCCCACCGCCCTGCTCACTGCGCTTGCCCTGGGCTCGTATGGCTCAGGACAGTGCAGCCCACACTCCGGCCTCAAGGTGCCGCACACAGGCCATCTGCCCGGGCACCCTGTCCGGGTTGTTTGTCCAGATGACTCAGAGCCAGGCCTCTAGCTCGCCAGGAAATGCCGACTCTCTCTAGGACTGGTACTTCAAGGTAGGGCAGGACTTAGTGCCCGGGTGGGTGTCTGGGCTCTGAGCAGAGCTGGAGGGAGGGACGCAGTGGTTGTGCATTTTCTCCTTGCCCTCTGTGTTAGTTCAGTTGAGTTTAGGAATCTGCGGCAGGGGTTGGGGGGTGGCTGTCTCCACTTCCAGTTTGCAGGCCTCCCCTGAGATCTGAATCAGGTCTCAGTGGGGCTCAAGAAGCTGTGTGCTGTTTACTGCTGAGTGAGCCCCACTCCAGAGGTCTGGGAAGGGAGAATCAGGGTGCTGCCCCACCCCCCATTCCCCGGGAACGGACTGGAGAGCTGGGGCCTGCCCGGAGCCTCCCACAGCCCCGGCTCCCTCTCCGTGGCCCAAGCCTGTGAGGGGCAGATAAGAAAGGAGGAGTGTAGGGTGGAGGAACCTGAGGGCCTGGACCCCCCCAGACCTCATGGCTTCTCTGTGGCCTCCCCAGCAGCTGCTCTGAGTGAGGCCACCTCTCAGCCTCACCCCTGCCCCACTCCAGGTCTCCTCCCCGGCCCAGCCCAGGCAGCCTCCACTACTCCGACGAGGATGTCACCAAGTACAACGACCTCATCCCGGCAGAGAGCAGCAGCCTGACTGAGAAGCCCTCAGAAATCTCTGACTCTCAGGTGAGGGGCAGGAGGCAGTGCCCTGGGAGGGGGGACCTGTGCGGAGCAGGGTCACCACAGGACTCACTCCTTCCTTTCCTTTATGGGGTCACCAAAACTAAGGGGCCTAGAACTACCCAGAAGTCGGATGTGGGCCAGCTGCCACCCCCCAAACCCTTCTCAGAGTTTGCACGCAGGGCAAATGGGGGCCCCATAACGTGGATCATGTAGGGTCCCCAAAGAGCACGGTCCTCTAGGCTTGGGAGTCCCCCCACATGCTCAGTCACTGCAGAGGAGCTCATGAAGGCAAGGAGCGGGCGCTCTGTGTTGTCAGAGCCCAGAGGTCTGCTAACCTTAGCTAGTCAGGGTCAGCGTGAGCTCCAGAAACAGGGTGTAGGATGCCCTGGGGCCCCAGGAAGGGAAGCAGTGTAGACTAGCAAAGCAAAGCATTCTGTTTTGGAGTTTCAGACCTGAGTCTGAATCCTGGCTCTGATGCCTATGAGTTGGGGTGTCCTGGGGGCGGGAGGTAACTTCTTTGAGCCTCAATTTCTCCATCTGTGGAATGGACAGGAATAATAATAGACTCACGGGGCTCTGAGGAGGATCCACTGAGATTAGGCACAGAGAAGCTTAGCACAGGGCATACAGCAAGTGTTCAATAAATGTCAGATCTTGTATTAAGAAGGACACAGTGTCTCTGAGAGACACAGAACTTCAGAGAGGCTACACACACACACAGGGACACTTTGTGCAGGGCAATGGGGCATGGGGGCTGAGTACATTTCAATAGAGTGATGTCACAGCCTCCCACCCAGCCTTCTCAGCCTTGGCCAAGCTTTGTGGTGGCCCCAGAAAGGGCCAAGAAAGGCCGCTGTATCCCACGCCCTGGACCTTTCTGCCTAGGCCTGGGAGAGGAGGAGGGGGAAGAGGTGCCAGCAGGAAACAGGGCTGTCAGCCAGGTAGGAGGTGCCAGCAAGCCTAGGGTCCAGTTTCGAGCCCTGTAGACTGAGGGCCTCTCATTCACGGGCGTTTTGTTCAGCTCCAGGGTTACTGTTGGGCTTGGCAGAGCTAAGAAGGCTGGAGCTAACGTGGCAGCTCAGAGCTGGCAGGGACAGAGACCCCAGCTTGACCTGGCTTCCCCTGGGACTCCAGTGGTGGTGATGAGCATTTGACTCTAGGCACTCAAGATGCAATTCAAAAAGATAAAGAGACTTCCTCTGCCCATGGGGCTGTAATAAAGGACTCTTTACCCCATGCTTCCGTCTACGGAGAGCAAAGGGGGTGGCCAATGGAAGGGACACCCGAGTTGCTCTGGTCATCCTCCCGTGACCTTCTGCAGAGGGCATTATTAGCCCACCCTCAGTAGTTGAGGGCCAACCTTTCAGAGAGTAAGCCCTCTTGACTGCAGAAGATACTGCCCAGATGTCCCCAGAGCTTTCTATGGCTGTCTCTCCATGAGTCTGGAAGACCATCACAGGGCACAGAGCTGGCCCCTGAGGCCATGCCTGGCTCTCCAGCCTTGAACACTTTGCTGGGAAAAGAATCTTCATTCCAAGGCCATCATAATTCAGAAGTTACCCCCAGGGTGGGCCTAGTACTTAGAATCTTCCTCCTAAGCATTGGATTCGTTTGTGTAAAATAAGATAGTCCCTGGAACAGTTTCCCTAGCAACCTGAACTAGTCCCCCAGGGGGAGCAATACCCAGAGAGAGGAGGCTTCCCAGTTGCAGAAGTCAGTTGCCACAGTCAAATGCCTATGCTCCCTTGGGGGACAGTGGGCCACAGCCCACTCTTCTTGTACAGTTTGGGCCTGGGGCTCTTCTTGTACAGTTTGGGATGCTTTGGGATTCATTTCGGAGCTCAGTTGGGTTGAGTTGGTTTTATTTCCTCCAAAAGCTAAGTTCTGTGAAGGGGGTCCTGTGACGGTTCTGGTTACTGTCTCAGCCCTGGTGTGCTTCACGCCACCTGATACGCGGCGGGTGGGCCCTCTACATATTTGCAAAAGCATGAAAGGACCATTGGGAAGCTTGTCAGGCTGAACAGACTCAAAGACTGAGTATGGGTCATGGGACAGAGGAACAAGGATTCATGCTGTAAAATTACTCCTCCTTGACAACCAGCAAAATACATCCAAAGCGGTGTGGTCCTCCAGAGTAACTCCCGTCCTGGGGCTCAGCATCCCACATGCCTCGCTGCTTTATAACATTGCCATAACCCTTCAAGGTAGGTGTTCATGTCATGTTTTGTGTGCAGAAAGGGAAACTGAGGCTCAGAGATCTCCAGTGAGTTGGCTCAGGCCCAGCAGCCAAAAAGTGTAAGCCCAGTACCCACACTCCCAAGTCTCAGAGACAGAGACCCCAGGCACAGGCCTCGATGGCAGAGCCCAGCTTGGCCCCTCAACCCTATCCCCTTTCCAAAGCCCATTATGTCACCCTCAACAGCAGATGTTTCTGGAAAGGCCTTCAGAACTGGATGATGAGACAGACATTTGAGAACAGTTAACTGTGGATTTTCTATAAAAAAACAACAACTCAAGCCTGTCTTCAAAGGATAAAGACAGACACTCAGAAGAAAGTACTGCAGGCATGAAGCTGTCCCCAAGAGAGACTCAGGCAGCTTTGGACAGCAGTTCACTGGGGCGATCAGAGGGCTGTTCTGCAGGGGGGCCACTCTCTGGAAAAGCAGTGGAACACAGATGTGGTTGATGTGGCCTGGGCTTGAATTCCAGCTCTGCCCCGGACTGACCCTGGGACGGTGAGGGGGTCCTTTGCAGCCCCAGCGCCTCCCCCCACCCAGTGGTGCTGTGTCTCCACAGGGCAGTTAGGAGGAGTGTGTTAAGTGGGATGGAATCAGGCCGCTGCAGTGCCAGGCTTATGACAGGAGCCCCAGAAGAGGCAATCCCTGGATCATTTGGGTTTGTTTGCCTTAGAATTGTTCCTGAAGTCCAGGCAGTTGGCTTTGGGACCACTGCAGGTAGTCTAGGATCCCTGAGGCTATTGTCAGAGCATTGGCACCTTCAGAGATGGAAAGCCCAGGAAGACCCTGAGTGCCCAGCCTTCAGTTCTGTGCTGCCCACAGTCCCAATGTACCATTGTCACAACGGTGAATTGTTCCCTACCTGTGGGTAAAGAGCAACCTCCCTGAGCCCCTACATGTCATCAAGAGGACCCCAAGCAGGCTGACCCATGATTCTGCAACGAAGGTTTATACCTGGTTTAGCAAAGGGATGACAGGACCCTGCTTCAGCCAGAGGCGCCTCTGTGCCTCTGGGGTTAGATCAGAGTTTGTGCCTTCACAGCTAAGGAGACCTGGATATCAGGTCTGCCCAGGGTGAGGAGGGCAGCTCCAGGGGGTGCAGCGGGGAGCAGATGCTAACTCCTCCCCGGCACTGTGGAGCATGTCCTCTGGGGACATGGAGGTAATGGAGATATGGCCCTGCCTCCCAACTTGGAGACAGAGCAGCTGGCCTCCCTCTGATGCCCCTGTTAAAATATGAATAAGTAAATCCTGTTACTGCTCACTTGCCCTGTGAGCAGCCCCTCGGCTCCACCTCAGTGTCCAGACGTGGAGCCTTCACTGCTGGGACACTCACTTTGGGATTGATGGTGGGTGCCGCTTAGCGCTGCGAACGTGCTGGTTTCCTTGGGGGCATATCCCTAGGGGTCAGCAGCCACACAAGCCAGCCCTCAGTTTCAGCTGCCCTAGAAGATAACCATCTGTCTTGTTGAAGCACCCCACCCCCTAGGTCCTCTGAGAGTGAATTTCACGTATGCCACCCGGTTTATATTGTATATCAGACTGCCCAAAACTCACTCTTCTAAATTGGAGATCTTCCCAGCCCTTTCCCTGCAATGTGGTAATAAACAAAAGTCCATGTTACTTATAAACAAACACACATGATAAATGTAAGGCTGTAAGGGTCTGAGGGTGAAGGCTAAGGGAAGGTGGGGCTGGCTGTCCCTAGGGGCACAGGGTGTGGGGTAGGGGATGCAGAAGGGGGTTCCAGGAAGGGGGTTGGCCTCCATGGAGCCTATCTCTTCCTTCCTGGGTACATTTATTCAACAGCTATTTGTTCTGCAGCTACTAAACAGTACCTGGCAGCTAAAGTAGTTGGCAAGACCAATTCCTTTGAATGTTACATTATGGAGCATTATGATCTGTTAGGGAAGACCTTGAGTATATAATCAGGTTTTCATTTCTCATTAAAATATGCAACACAATCACTAACTTCAGGAGGAAAATGGCCTACAGTCCCTGCCTGCTTCCTGCAGTGTGGGGGCACATAAAACAATGCAAGGAGTCCTGGGGTATGGTCACATCCTCCTGGAGGCTCACAGAGGGCTGCCTGGAGGAGGTGGCACTCAGCAGGGCCTGGAAGGGTGAACAGGATTGGGTCATGTTCAGAAGAGAGCAGTGCGGGTTTGCATTTGCAGAGTGGCCGTGCTGTTCTGTCCTCGCCCTCCCTCTGCTGAGTGTCCACAACCTTTTATTAGTGTATGCCTCTTGTCCGCTGGGTTGGGTCGCAAATCTAATAGGTTCCCCAAAGCCCATCTCCAGCTTCTCCTTAGCCTGACCCATACAGGCCTGGGAAGCCTAAGCTTGTGCCAAACTTAGAAACACACAGGCAGTGCAGAGAGCACCTAGAAGAAGGAGGTGTTGAACATCTGTGTGCCACCCCCTGTGCTGTGTACATTCACATTTAAAATCTAACAGTGCTGCCGTGTCTAAGTGAAAGGACCTCTGTTTAACATCTGGGGAAACTGAGGCTCAGAGCAGTCAAGTCCCTTGGCTACAGAGCTCAGAAGTACAGGCAGCAGGGATTCAAATCTGGGTCCAGCTGGCTCTGAGGGCAGTGTGCACTGCAGCCTGGCCTCACCCAAGTTCCTGGCAGAGGGTAGATGGGAAGAAAGAGGGCTTCGCCGACCCTGACACCCCCCAACCCCAGTGACCTCATGTGAGGCCGCATCTCTGATAGCTGAGGGTGGGCACACACACGTTAGCTGTCACTCACCTGTAAGTAGCAAATGTGGCATTGTGTCTGAGTGGACCTTTTTAAAAGGACGTTCCTGGACATAGATTTCTAGCTGTCTTAGTACTAGAAGTCCATAGCCCTGACAAAATTGTGCCTCAGGGGGGCTTCCAGTGAGGGAGACGCTTAGCAAACCCCTCACTCCCACTGCCCCTCAAAGTCCAGGGAGAGGCCTGCAGGCTCAGGGGAAGGGCAGTCATGGGGACTGATGTGCAGGGGGCTTCAGGCCTCCCTCCATGCAGAGCCCCCAGGACTGCAGATGGGGGTGGGCTTAGCGTCCAGTCTCCAAAGGGCTGCACAGGGTGACTGCCTGTCATCTGGGCAACACATTCCTGCCCGGGTTCATGAGATTCAACAAGAGGAGGGCACCCTGCTGGCACACTGGTCCCCAAGCCCAGGGCAGCACCACCTATTGCTTGCTGTATCTGTTGCAAATCTGAATCTCTGCGCGGGAACCCGACAGAATCGCAAAAGGCTTCCCTTTGTCGCCTCCTTTGTTTGGGTATTTTCTCTGAGTCCTTCCCCACCGGCCCGCTCCACGCTCCTTCCCTAGGCCCCGTGGTTGCTGATTGAGTGGCTTTGAGGAGCTGTTAAGAGGCCAGGAGCTGAAGCAGCGCCTGATTGCCTAGCGGGACTGCCGGTGAAAGGCCCCCTTTGTGCTGGGCCGGTTACTGGGAAGCTGCATTCAATTACTGAGGCCCGCGCGCAAGAGTTAAAAGCCGGAATGGGCGCCCCTGTCCCCTCTCCGGGCTTTCTTCTCTTCTCACCCCACCCCCATCCAGAAAAGAAACAGATGTTCGGTGCTGGAGGCAGAGAGCAGTCGCTGGTGCAAAGACCCCCTCCTGGCTTTGGGGAGCTGGGGGAGGGGCAGACCAAGCTCTAACCGCGCTGCCCCTTCTGCAGCACCGCTACATCCAGCTCCCAGCAATTCTCTCCATTGCCCATCCCCTCAGGAATACTGGTGTACAGTGTCTGGCCCATAGGAGGCGCTCTGCAGATGGCCCCTGACCTGATGAAGATTTGGATGAATGGGCTTTGGGATCTGGGCTCCCAGGAGGGCCAGAAAGGCCGGTTCCCCACCCTGCCAATCATGGGGGAGGCAGGGGTTGAGCATTCCCCCTTCCCAGCTGCCTGAACACTGAGTCAGCCTCCCCAACTCCTGACCCCTCCCAGGGGGCTTCCAGGTCCCCTCCCACCCAGACCCACTCTCTCTCTCCCTGATAATACCTTATACAGCATCCTCTCATTTTACTCTGTGAACTGCAGGGATCTGCCCATTTTACAGACAAGGATGCTGAGGCTGAGAGAGGCCAAGTAGTGAGTCCAAACCTAGCTGGTAAGGTACAGAGTTGGGACTTCACCATGCTACAGTGGCGTTCTGCCCCAGAGACCCACTGATACTGGGGTGGTTCCCAGTGATTTGGGGACTCTGCCCCAAGGCTGGGGCCTGGAGCTAGCCCAAGTTTTAGAACTTCTAGCAGTGATGCTAGCAACTCTTCAAGACAGTTAGAGGAGCTCTCTAAGAGAGACCTAACCTGTAGGGAAGACTGGGGCAGGGGGCACCCTTCCTTGGCCCCTACACGGAGACCCTCACTGCTCCTGGACTGGAGGGACCCCCGCCCCCTGCCTCATGGCATCCACCAAGCTCAGCTCAGACTTCAGCCTCTCAGCCAGCCCCACCATCAGGTGCCCAGCCCTCAGCCGCCTCCTCTCTGCTGGCATATGGAGCTCCGGGTCTGTGCGGCCCCTTTGTCCCCTCCTGGCCGGCAGCTGGGCAGGAGGCAAAGAAAGAGGCCTGCATTGTGCTGTGTTGTAGTCATGGGGAGAATGGGCTGAGGGACTTCCCATTGTCTTGGGCAGCGGGCTCTGGGTCTGCCTGCCAAGGGCATTGAGGTCCTGGGGGTGTCTGCTGGGGTGAGGGGGCTGAGGAGGAGGGGAGGGACCAGAGAACATAATTGTGCAGATCCTCCAGGCAGGAGCGTGGCTGTAAAGAGCACATGTGGGCTTTGGAAAATCCGGCAGATCTGAGTTCAAGCCCAGCTCATCATTTCCTTGGGCAAAACCCTCACCCACTGCGTGGTGTTCTCACTGGTACTCAGGTAGCGAGTAGCTACAACACGGAGGTGTGAGAATTAAATACAGTAATAGGAGGCAGTGTTCCCTGCTGTCTGGCAGAGCGCCCGCCCCAGTACTGTAGTGTAGCTATTTCTCTTGAGGGTCCAGACACCATAAAGGGACTTAGGGTTCCTGGAACAAGTGCACGTTACTTTTCCGAGGGCTCAGACCCTTTGGGTAAGGTCGCTGTCCCTTTTCTTTGCCTGTAAAAGCAGGATACAGCTGATCATTCCAAACTCATTTGTACTGGGCTTACTGGGTTTTCTTGCTGCAGTATTTTTTCCAAAGCATGTTTTTACTTAGGTTGACAAAAGGTACTGCCTTCAAGCCCGTTTTACCTGGGCACAGATGAGGCGACCTGAGTGGGGTCTTCTGAGCAGTATATCACTGAGGGGGTGCTGTTCCCTGAAGTCAGAGTCTGTCTCTTCCAGAGAGTTCTAGGGGCGGTCCCATCTGTTGTCTTAGTTCTCTAAACATTGCTGGGAGCTTGGGGTGGGGGAGGGGGCGTACGATATTTTTAGCTCCACAATTCAGATCCCAGGGCTGTGTTACTTTTCTGCCCAGATGGACTCTTGTCTCCTGCCGATTTCCCCAATGGGCCGAGGAAGCACATCCCCAGGGCACTAACATATCAAGAATTTTAAGAATAATTTTATACTTCTCCAAAAAGCCTCAGAGTCGTCATCATGTGACATTCAGAACTTCTGTTGATTTTATAACTGAGTGCTGCTTTTATTTTGGGTCACACATGGGTGAGCACCAGCATTTGTTCAGTGCCAGGAGCCTCTAAAAGTCTTATAATCTGGCCCTGGCGTTGTCCCCAGGCATGCAGTAAGTCAGGGGTGGGACCAAAACTGGGGCTCAGTATCTCACGCATGAAGCTCGATTTTTAAAGTGTAGGTTTTATTATTCAGGCCTGGGGAGGCCAGCAGATTAGGAGAGGTCTACCATTGATCAGATAATTATTTGGTTCCTTAAAAGAGGCCACCTCACACCACCCAGGGTCACATAGGGAAGCACCCCAGTCGGGTCAGGAGGCAGAGGGAACAGGAGCAACACGTGAACGGGAGACTTTATGGAAGAAACCGGCTTAGGCCAGTTCGAATAAATTCACTGGGCTGTGTGGGGTGTAGGGGCTGTCCCTGCTTGTCTGGCACCTGGCCCTGGGGTGATGATGGACAGGATAGTGGGCCAGCTTCAGAAGTGCAGAAAATACAAGGCATACTTAATTCACCCTCAAAAACATTATTCTGAATGAAAAAAGGCAGACACAAAAGTCACGTCTTTTATGATTCCATTTGTACCAAGTATCCAGAACCCGGAGGCCCATAGAAACAAAGTGGGTCTGGTTGCGGGGGGTAGGGGTGGGAGAGGAAGAATGGGTAGGGACTGCTTCACGGGGCAGTTTTACTGTAGGTGATGAAGATATTTGGGAACTAAATAGAGGTGCTGGTTGCACACGTTGTGAATGCACTAAATTACTAATGTACTAAGTGGCACTGACGCTTACACCTTTAAGTGGTTAATTTTTGTTATGTGAATTTCCCCTCAATTCAAAAAAGAATGATAATAAGTCAGGTCTTCTGATCCACATTGGGTATCTGCAGGCTCTGTGCCGACGCTGTGTAGACACTTCCTATCCGTGATGAGCTCAGAAGGAAGCAGAAGGTGGGCACAACGGGGCATTATACCCCCTGGCAGTGAGAGGCCCAAGGTGCCCACAGTCCAGGGTTTGGAAGAGGCTGAGCGGATCCAAACCAGAGCACTGGGTGCCTTCCAGCCCAGGCCGTGCTGGCCTGTCCCCACGGGACCACTCACACCCCCGATTCTCTGTCCTCCCAGGGAAGCGACAGCGAGTATGAGGTCGATCCGAACCACCAGAAGGCCCACTCCTTTGTCAACCACTACATCAGCGATCCCACCTATTACAACTCGTGGCGGCGCCAGCAGAAGGGGATCTCGCGGGCTCAGGCCTACAGCTACACAGAGAGCGACTCGGGCGAGCCGGACCACACCACCATCACCAACAGCAGCGGCGCCCCACAGGGCAGCCTCTTCCGGCCCAAGGCCAGTCGGACCCCAACGCCCCAAAACCCCCCGAACCCTCCGAGTCAGCAGAGTACCCTCTACCGTCCTCCCAGCAGCCTCACCCCTGGCTCCCGGGCCCCCATAGCAGGATTTTCATCATTTGTTTGATGTCTGAAGAGGAAAAAGAAAGAAAAATGGCACCAAACTCCCCTTTCCTGTCCTCCCCTTACCGCCTGCCAGAACAGAAAAACGCCAAGAAACCAAGGAACCAAGTCAGCTTTTCACCTCCTGAGTTTATTTTTGCAGAGATTCCAGGGCCAGCAAAGCCAGGGTTGAGAAGGAGGGAGAAAAAAACATGAAGGACGTGTGTGGCCGAGGGTTGGCTTCCAGATTGTGGGGCTCAATGCTCCTTCAGAGACAGCAGTTGGGGGCTTGAGCCCCTGGAGAGGAGGGAGAGAAGGCAGAAGTCTGGAGGGCTCAGGGCACGGGTGGCTGCAGGGAGAAGAAGCTTCTGGGCATCCAGACAGCTGCCCGCTCTGGCCTGCGTGGGAGTCCTGGGCCCGCTGCTGGCTGAGCTGCACACAGAGGGGCATCTGTGGGCGCAAACTCGCCTGCTCCCGCTGCGTCCTCTCACCCCACCCCTGCACCGCCGGAGGGCCAGGCTGGCCCTGCTGGCCCCCGCCCTGCTCCTCAGCCTCTGCTACCTGCTCCCTTACTTCTCCACCCCACAGATGGTTTATCTAGAAAGAGGAAAACACCTGAAAGATGAGAATTGGCTTAGCTAGCGCCTTGTTCCTAACATACCTGCTTTATTGTGAATCCAAGGAAGAGGGCCCCTCGGGGTGGAGGAGAGTCCCCCCAACACTGAACCCAGCTGTCCTTTACTTGAATTCACTTTCCTGAGCACATACCCAGGAGAGATGAGCTCGGAGAGCTGAGGTAGGGGCCTCCCGGGAATAATGGGATGGAGCACAGGAAGTCAGGCATGTGCCAAGGAAGCAGTGTAGGCACTGCCCCCTCCTTAAAGGAAGTTACTTGGACAAGGAAATTGGGCGTGCGTGGGGGAGCTGGGCAGGGGTACAGGAGTGCCGTCCAGGCAGACACTCCCATCTCCCCAAGTGGACATCTTCATCCTAAGACATGTACCCGGGGACCTGCAAGGAAGAGGGTCTGGGGATGCACTCCAAGGGAAACCCTTTGGGTCCTCCTAGCCAAATAGGACACTCCCTTTCAGATCTGTGGCCCCCTCATTCTCAACCCTCAGCTCCTTGAATGTAAAATACCCCACCTCCCAAGCACAGGGGCACAGAGGCCCAGGGATGGGCCAAGTCCCTGGTCCAGAGGCTGGAGCTCCCAGACTGTGCCCAGTTGGCCCGGCACCCGGTTTACAAAGAGTCAAGGACCATCCCAGCACCCCCAGTGATGTCCTCCAGGTTCGGCTCAGCCTAGCCAGGCCTCAGAGTGAGGATGGCCGAGTCCAAAGTGAACCCGATCCCAAGATGCACAGCCAGGCCGGCTGGGAGGAGCAGGTCAGATGGGACCAAGGGTTAAGAATAGCTGACAGGAGGCAAAGCTTTTACACACAGTCTGCTCCAAGGAATGTTCTTTAGAAAGCCACTTCTGGTGGCCTGGGTCTTCCCATCAGCTCAGGACTTGCAGATGCAGGGATTGAGGGAGGGGCCTCTCTGTGTAATTCCCTGGGCTCCTGGGCCCTGGGCATCCCCAGCCAGCCCTGCAAAGCCACCCACCCCCGCAGTTGGGATGGTTGGCCACCTTTGTGAGAGGAGATAGCTGGCAGAGCCATGTCAGTTCAGCGTGGGGCCCCTCACTGGGGGTGCTAAACGGCACTGCATGCCCTGCACAGGAGGAGGTGGTGCCCATTTAGGGGATGAAGAGGACAGGAGGCCTGAGTGGAGGATTTGGGGAGCAAGCCAAGGAAAGAGAGGCACTGTACCCCTCCCCACTGGCCCCCAGTCAGGTGACTGGATTGGAAGCAGGGCCAGGGGCCCAAGGAAGGGGCACCCCCAGCCATGGGCTCTTCCCACATGTTCAGACCCCCAGGGAATGTGTATGGGGAGAAGCTGAAAGATGGCCCAGTAGACTGGCTGACCCCGCTCTGGGCTCTGAGCAGCGCTTCTCCAGTAAGTGGGCCGGGAAGGGAAGCACAGTCTTCCCCCCGAAGGAGGTGCCAGCCTGAGGTCTGCCCCTGTGTACATTTGTCGTCACCATAGCAGCCAAGTCTGCAGCGGCCCGCCTGTGATCACACTGCCGCTTTCTCTTTCCTTTCCTTTTATCTTTCTTTTTTTTTTTTAGCCACCTGTGCTTTTCCCTATCTGTTGTGTGTTTCACCATTTAAGGAAATTTCAAATTATCTTAGCCCAGCCCAGTGAGGGGTTTTTGGAGGGAAAGCAAGGATGAGTGTAAACATAGTGTATATGCATATATATCGCACATGAGGCCAGATTTCCTTTGCCTTCCATGAGTCATCTGGTGCACTGAGATATTGCCCCTCTCTGTCCCCCGTGCTCACTCACACCCACCCTGACCCATGTGCACACTGGGAATGGTGCCATGCACACCTGGGCTCATGTACATGCCACACAGACATACACAGAATGCACGTCCGTGTTATGTGAGCAAGGTCTCTTTCGGCTGCCTCCGACATCTTGAGTCGTCTCTCCCGTGTGAGGCCAGGGCAGCCTGAGTCACTCCCCTGTGGGGTGCGGCTGGCATCTGTTGACAGAACAGGTGAAGACACTGCAACCCAGCACTCAGGCAAGCCCGTTGGAAGTTCAGCGTGGGGCCCCTCACTGGGGGTGCTAAACGGCACTGCATGCCCTGCACAGGAGGAGGTGGTGCCCATTTAGGGGATGAAGAGGACAGGAGGCCTGAGTGGAGGATTTGGGGAGCAGGCCTGAGTTGGAAGGCCCACCCTTGGTCAATACCCACCCTGCCGCCCCAGCCACATCTGGAAGCTCAGGGCTCTAGCTGTGAACTTTAGATTTCTAAGAGGACATCTCTTTGCCCTTGTTTACATATCTGCTGGGGCGGTGGAGGTTCCCAACCCCTGTCCAGACTTTGCATTAGATGGATGTGGTGGGTGTGCACTGCCTGTGGGCAACAGGGGGCCTCCCTGACCATTGCTTTTCTGGGTCAAGGCTGCCAGGGCCCCTGAAGTGGCTTCACGTGAGGACCTTCAGCACCTTGGGGCTTTGCCTCCCTGTGTCCTCAGGAGTCTCCCGGGGCCGCCCTGCCCTCCTGGCTGCACCACCAGCTGTCCCAGCAGCCCCACACCCAGACTACCAAGACAAACCAAAAAGACACTCTAGGTTCCAGAAGCACCTTCCTCCCAGGGCCCCAGGGAGTTTGCAGACCCAGGCTGGTGCCCCTGCTTTCCCCCGACCTGACACTGCCGTGATTCCGATGAAGCAAGGACACCAACAGCTGCCCCGCGTGGCATGCACTGCTGCCTTGAGACCTTCTGTCTCTGCCCCCCGCCCTCCCTGGGCAGAGCTTTTAAAGGTGCCAGAGCCTCCCCTAAGCCCACTGTGGGCAGGGGCTTCCCTCAACTTCCCACAGTGCACATCTGAAGGTGCCCACACAGGGTGAGGGGCTGATGGCAGGAAGGGACAGGGGCACCATCGGCGCAGAATGTCTTTGTACAGCCCCACTCAGTGGCAACCCTGGGCACAGGTGCCCTCCTGGGACACCCTCCTTCTGTTTGTTTCCGTAAGAATAACCAAAATCATTTCAATGTGTTACCTTTCTTTACACATACAGACTCCAAAACAAAAACCTACACAAATCTTTATTTTTTGATTTAAAAGATATAATGAAAAATTATGGGGAGAGTATTCATTATGGCAGGTGTCTATCTGTAAGAAAAAAAATATATATATATATATCTGTAATGTCATATAGCTTGTTAGCAGGTTTATTTTTTAAAATAAAAGGTAAGAAGGAAATTGATTTGAAATATATACCACGAGAAGTCCCATGTCCTATCAAACTTGTCAGTATTTTATAAATAAACTTTTGTTTTGGAGTTTTGAAGCAACATCCATGCTTCTCCTCCCTGGAAGGTAAATGGGGACCCCCCCTACCCCCATGTCACCCTCAGCCAGTCTGCTTTGGGACTCCCATTTCTAGCCATACTGTGTTTTTGCACAGAGTGTCAAAGATCCAACTACTTGCTTTCTTAATTTATAGGTGAGTGGACTGCTGGGCCTTCAAATGAAGTGCACTGTTTTATTTATTTTATACTTTTGGGATAAGAACCTTTCATATTAGGCCAAATTAGAGGCAAAATGGTAATGATTAATAATAATAGTAATAGCAATAGATAACACCTGTATGGCATTCACTCTGTGCCAGGCTCTGTTCTGATCACTTTACCTTGATTAGCTCATGGAATCCTTGTGGCAACCCTGTAGGAGGGAAAGTGGACAGGAAGAACTGAAGTGGCTTGCCCTTGAAAACTGGGAACACCAGGATTTGTACGAACACAGTCTGGCCCAAGAATGTACACTGCCTCTGATATTTCGGGGGCAAGTTCCTTGCCTGTTTTCATTCTACAAAGCCAGCAAAAAATTTAGAGAAATTATGAACTGAAGACTTCCAGTTTCTTTCTGTGTGTAAGGAGCTTGGACATTGCCACTGCATCCTAACAAGTAAAAACCTGAACAAACTGAGAAGTCAAGAACTCTTCTCCGATCCATAAGAGAAGTGAAATCGCTGAGCAAACTGCTGCCCCCAAAATTAAAGGGACAGACAGGCGAATGCAGAGACACTCAACCTACAGGGAAGAAATTACGAATTGATAGAGGAGCAGAACCCTAGAATCTGTTACATTTTCCCTAATATTTTATAGTTTTTGCCCATGACTAATTCGACACACTTTTATTTTTGCAACTTTTTTAAAATTCAACTATTTTTCAAGAAGTAACTCTTCTCTTCTTCTGCACTCTTATCCACTTACATCGTCTTTAATTAAATTATGTAATCACTATACCAAGTAGAACTGACATAAACCAGTTTGATAATAGTGATAATTGGCTCTTATACAGCCCGATTCAAGAGCAGAAGTATATGGTATCACAGAACGCAGCCTATTAGCCTTCAGCATTCCGGGGACTGTGGGCATCTACATGGTTTGCAGAGAGAGTGTAAGGAATCATTGTTAGGACCAATCGGTTAAGTAAAGGTCAGACAAAGGAGCTTCTTATATATTATAGTACAAATAGTGCTCTGTACCTTACAACCCACTTTCAAGGTGATTAAGGGATTTTTGAGGGTACTTTTGACTACACATAACCTTTATCTTATACATAATCTGGAACCCAAACCACACATTAGTTGCAACTCGGCTTCAACTGATTTGAGGATGTTTGGTTAAAGGGTAGCAGCATGGAAAATGGAAAACATTCTAGAACTAGAGTCAGAAGAGGGGCTTCTGTTCTGGAACGGTTGCTTGTAGACAGACTGACAACACCTCTTCGTTTTCTCGGGGAAGTGAGGGACCCACCAGCAATGAGACTGATGGAAAGAGCAGGTAAAGCAATAGGATTTGAAAAGAAGGACTGACCACCCAGAAGGAACTTTCTGGGGTTGGAGCGTATTTGTTCTAGACCTGGGAGAGGTTTCTATATCTTTTAATGCCAATCTTCCTCATTCATTTCTAAACCCAGCCTGGCTCCTCCCTATCTGTGGCCAGTGGGCATGGACTTTGGCTGTCTGCAGGACCATTACCAGTCAAATACACTAGGAAAGGAAGAAAAAAGAGAGAGAGAGACAATGATCATACCAAAAATGAAGGTATTATCTGCTAAGAAGAAAGTGGGGAGGGGAGCAGAGGTGGTTTCCAAAGCCAAGAAGACGCGTGTGATATCGTGCTGGCTTAGATTATACATAGTGCTCTTTCTTTCCACTGAGAACAGGTCACCTCACCTGGAAAACATGGGGGCCTCCCCTCAGGACCCAGTGGGCTCCCTGAGTGACTAAATGGGAAAAGCACTTTGGGGTGGGGACACTAACTAAAAAGAGCATGGGGTTGGCAAACCTGGGTTCCCACAAATTCTAGCTTGAACTTGAACTTGAATTCAACCTCTACCACCCTCCACTACATCACCTGTGGAGTGGGTACAGCTTTTGCCTTTTTCAAGATCAGACTTATGGAACGAAGAAGAGGAAAATAATCTCGCAGATACAGGTGACCTCCAGAAGGTTCCTCCTCGGGCATCCCATCCCCATTTCTTTTCCTGCACATGGAAGGAAGGACAGGCCCAGAACTGTCAGAGCTGCTTTCTTGGTTTCCTAATCTTGATGGCAAAGCACTTTGAGGCTTGGCTGGAGTCAACTGATGGATAAAATTGTTACTTTTCTTTTTGACATCCTAGCTTCTGGGAGGGAGGATTCACCAAAGGAGCTGGCTCTGGAGGTCATGGGTCACAGAGGAGTGGTTAAGGCGCAGTGTAAGTATAACCCCAGGGGGAAAATAAGTTCCCGGCCTTGGGCAAACTACCTTTGAAGCCAAAATCAGACAAAGGGAGAAAAGTGAGAGAGACCCGTTTATTGCTTACAAGCAGTTGTCCACTTCTGCTCCCTGTGTCTCTCACAACCAGGCTGTAAAAAGGGACCCCTCCCAGTCTCTCTGGTCCAGATATATACCCTTGTTCCACTCCCCCAACCCTTGTCATCACCAATTAATATGGAGATGGCTACTTCTCTCCATCGCTTGGAAACACCTATTGATTTGGAGATACACTAGGCCAGGTGAGAGATTCTGAAAATATTGCAATTTTACCCGCAGTTAACTCCAGGCTAATATAGCCAATTGGCTCCATTAGATTCTGGCCCCTCTGCCCGCTTCCCGATGGGCTGGCCCCTCTGCCTGCTCCAAGGCTCCCAACACATACTGTGACTACCCGTCTCTAATTCTGGCCCTGGGAGGCCCCAGGCAATCCAGGAGAACTTACCACTTCCTATTTGAGGGCTGGCTGGGCTCTGCAGGGCCAGGTGCTGTGAAGCTAAGCAGTGCCATGGGAACGGCAATGGAAATAACTAAACCAGGTTTGCTTCACTGCCCTCTTAACGTTGGTCATCCAAGTGAACCGGGCCCCTTGGGTTGGGGTTTTATTACTACTCAGCCAGAGCTTCAGCCTGGGCCTGAGTTACCCCAGAAGGCACAGGGGGCCAAAGCCCAAAAAAGTGTCATCCACTGCTCTGCAGAGATCCGGATGCAGTGACACCCTTGGTGTGGCCCTCCTGGAATCTGCCCTGGAAGCTGGTTACAGGGACCGGAGCCCAATCCAGTACTGACCCACCTCTGAACTGAACAGGAGGGCTCCTCATTATGGCCCTCACTGAACCCCTAGCCTGGTGGGCCAGCTGCCGGGGAATGGGGGCCTGGACTGGCCGCGCCTACCCCTCTGCTACCTACAGCCCTGGAGGCGTGGGGGGACTGCTCACAGCTCCTGCGGGGCCTGGATATAGTAGCTGATGAATAGGGTCACCATAGGTCCTGCTTTTACACCTATTGTCCTTGTGTAATTATTAATATTTCCCCCTTTTACTTTGGTTTATTAATTATCTGGTCCCTCTACTGATGAGTGATACTTGACAACCCGGGCAGGGCCCACCCTCAAGCCCTCTCTAGGGCTGGGCCCTGGGACTGCCATGCTGAAGCCTGGGAGAAATCAAGGGACCATCTCCTGGACACACTCACTGAGATGTGGGACGAGTCAGGTTTCTTCCAGTGCTGTCTCTTCTGCTCAGTTCCACCTCTCCAGGGTGGGACACTGGGACCCAAATTCAGAGGGAAGCTCATGCCCCTTACAGCTTTCTCAGACCCTGTGTCCTGCCCTTTGCAGGAGTCCTCCGGGCAGCAGTCCCTTCGGAAGGCTCTGGGAGGCAGGTACTGAAGTCGGGGGGCCCCCGCCCTGCCTGGACTTCTCTGACGGAGGGGTTCTTGTTAACAGAGCTGCCTAAGAGAACTCAAAACATCTTCCTTCTCTAGGACTGCCCCGTCCCCTCTCTCCTCCTGCTCCCCAAGAGTGGCAGTTTGTTTGTGACACTTGATGGAAACTTGGGGGAACCTGTGCTGGTGCTACGCTGTCCTGAGGAATCTTGGTGATCAGCAGAGTCGCTAGAGCAGAAAACACAGGCCTTGGACTTAGGAAACCTCGGTCTGGTTAGGGTTGCCAGATAAAATACGAACCAAATTTTATATGCTTATCTGAAACCTTATTTGTTGTTACCCAAAATCCAAATTTACCTGGGTAAATCCTCTATTTTTATTTGCTAACTCAGCCCCCTGGCTTAAATGCTAACTCAACACCAGGTGCAAAACTTTTGGCATCTGTTTCCTCCTCCAGAAAATGGGGATGCTGAAAATTGCTCTGTATCCCTTGCAGAAAAGCTGTGGTATTTGAAAGGAGATTACGTGTGAACATAATTTGTAAGCCATACTGCATTCTACACATGTAAGGGATTATTGCTATTGTTCGTGGATAAAATGACACTAACGTGGAATCCTCTAAGAGCTTCTAGCTTCAGGCATAATTCCAGCTCAGTCAGTCGCAACTTGCAATCCCTTTCCAAGTCATGGTCTACCCTTTCTCAGGACCCTTCCCAGCTGGAAACTGCATCAATAGAACACTTCGGAATCTTAGAAACTGGTCGGAGGAAGGGGATGGGGAGCTAAACCTGCCTTTGAGAGTGCACCAGTCATGCTGGAAAGCAACAGTTCAGCCTTGGCCCAGGGTTAAGACCCTGCCTGACCCGGAGGAGGAGACCTG